AAATTACCACTAAACCACGACTAAAATATCTAACTAATAAGCTTGTGCCGGAGGCCCCGGGGGGAAAGGCATCTATGACGTCTTCTGGCCAAACCCCAATTGGCGGAGCCAGGAGATTGAATCTCTACCCTCGGGGCTCCTCCAGAAACAACAAAAAAACGCTTCTTGTGGCCACGTGGAATGTTCGAACACTCACTGCGGAGGAGAGGCTGCCACTCCTCTGTCGGGAGCTGGACCGATACCGCCTGGATCTCTGTGGCATTCAGGAGGTCCGGTTGACCGGTTCTGGCTCCTGCTACCATGAGGGGTGGACAGTCCTCTACTCGGGGCAGCAGACTGCCAAACAACAGGGTGTGGCTCTTCTTTTGAACAAAAGAATGAAGGGGTCGTGAGAGCGTGGCGGTGAGGTGTGGGAAGCTGTAAACCCCAGGCGACTTTGGGCTCGCTTCCCATCAACCGGAGGCAAGGAGTGGTGGTCGTGGTTACTTATGCCCCCACCGAAGACGAACATCCGTGGAGGGATGCAGGCAAAGCCGATGAGTCAGGTGCCTTCTACGACCTCCTGTCACAGGTGCTGGCTAAAGTGGCCCCTTGGGATAGAGTCATCTTGTTGGGTGGCTTCAATGCCCGAGTTGGTCATGATGCTGGCACCTGGTCTGGAGTGATTGGAGGGCATGGGCCAGATCAGCTCAATAACAACGGTAGGAGGCTGCTAGATTTTTGTGCAGACCATGGGCTTGTAATTACCAACACGCTGTTCCGGCATCGGCGCATCCACACAACATCATGGATGCATGCTGAGTCCAAGCAAGAACATCTGCTGGACTACATAGTGATGTTTCGATTTAAAGCTTTCGTGACTGCAAGGATTCATCTTCTTTGGTTCTCTCAGTAAAGGCACGTAGAATGAGAATAAAATAATAAAATAAAACAATAAAATTCTCACGACGTTTCGGCCACAACACAAGTAGCCGTCCTCAGGTGAAGAAACAGGACTGTCCTGTTTCTTCACCTGAGGACGGCTACAGGACTGTCCTGTTTCTTCACCTGAGGACGGTTACTTGTGTTGTGGCCGAAACGTCGTGAGAATTTTATTGTTTTACATAGTGATGGACCAGCGGATGCGAGCCCATGTCCTTGACACAAGGACCTACTGTGGAGCTGATATGCCCTCTGACCATCGACTAGTCATCTGTAAGATGCGCCTGCCATTCTTCCACTCCGGTGGTGGGTGTACACCCAGGACCCCATTCCAACCTAAAGTGGCCTGGTCTCAGTTATCTGATGAAAGTTGCAAGTGAGAATTTCATCATCGCTTGCGGCTGGGGTTGGCATCGTCCCCCACTCCTCCTGATGTCGAGGGCAAATGGGCGAGGTTTAGGACTGTGACTCATGCAGCTGCAATGGCTGCTTTGGGTACGCGGTCCAGACCTCCCCAGAGACCCTGGCTGACTGAGGTGTTCAAGATGGTTGAGAAAAAGCGACAGGCCCACTGTTACCGGCCACAGAATCCCATGTCAGAGAATGAGGAGGCTTACCGCAGTCTTCGCTCGGAGGTTCGGAGAGCCATGAGGCGCTGCAAGGATGGGTGGTGGTCGCGGGTTGCTGAGGAGATGGAGTCTGCCTCAGTGGCCCGCGATCACAAATCTCTATTTAACTCCATCAAAAAAGTAACCTGCAGCGCCACACCTATTACCATCATTAGGGTAAAAAATGGTGTTCCAATCTCCGACCCCCAGGAACAGGTTTGCAGATTTGCTGAGCATTTCTGTGAGGTCCTGGGGGAGGGGAAACTCCTCAGCCAGGAAAACATCGTGGCACAAAGTGGGGATGACCATGCTGAGGCTGCGGTGCCTCAAATATTGGAAGAAGTCACCCCCTGTCAGTGGCTGGCTGAGGTGCCATCTGTTGAGGAAGTACTGAAGGCGATCCAGAGTCTGAGACCAGGAAAGGCACCGGGCAGAGATGATCTCCCAAGCGAAATGCTGAGTGAGGGTGGCGTTTGTGCACAGACTGCCCTATATGACATCATAATAACAGTCTGGACCACTGGACGGGTTCCGCAGGATTGGAAGGATGCCCTGGTGGTCCCCCTCTTTAAGAAAGGGGACCGCACAGACTGCAACAACTACAGGGGCATCTCACTCCTCAGTGTGCCGGGAAAGGTCCTGGCAAAGTTTATTCAACATCACCTTGCCAGGCACGCTGAGGAGATCCTTGCGGAGCCCCAATGCGGTTTCAGGAAAGGGCGGTCCTGCACAGATGCCATATTTTCTCTCCGTCTGCTACAGCAGAGGTGTAGGGAATTCCAACAAGACCTACATCTCTGCTTTATTGACCTGGTCAAGGCCTATGATACCATCAGTAGGCCTGGGCTCTGGGTTGTTCTTCGTGCTTTTGGAGTCCCTGACCTCTGCTCACGATCATTAAGGACCTTCATGATGGTGAGTGGGCCCGGGTAAAACTACGTAGCCGGGAGTCAGAGCCATTCCCTGTACACCTTGGGGTGCGACAGGAATGTCCTCTGGCTCCCACATTATTTAACATCTATTTTGACCACGTAGTTCGTGAAGCCTTCAATAGCTGTACCGGGGGAATCTCCATTTGGTACAGATATAGTGGGAGGCTGATCGATGCCTGGGTGTGGTCAAGGGATGGCTCCCTATTGCTCAACCACATTATGTAAGCCGATGATTTGGTAATAGCTGCTCATTCAGAGGAGGAGTTGGAGACGCTGCTGCTGAGACTGGAGCGTGCCACTAAGAGATTGGGCCTTACCATCAGCCCCACCAAAATTAAGCACCTGCCTGGGTATTTTGTACCATCGGACACTCCACCCCCACAACTCCCAATCGGTGATGGGGCAGTTGTGGAGAGAGTGGAGAGTTTCCCATACCTGGGCAGTGTGCTTATGACCGGTTCCAGTTTAACAGCAGAGGTCTCGCTCCAAATCAGTCGAGCAGCAATATCTTTTCATCGGTTGCGTAACGCTGTATGGATGCTACATGGTCTGTCGCTCCGCACTAAGCTTCGGGTCTTCTCGGCCACGGTCATTCCCTCCCTTCTCTACGCTTGCGAAACGTGGACCTCCTTAATGGAGCATCTTCGCTGGTTGGAAACATTTAGGCTAGCCTGCCTACGATCCATCCTGGGTTTAACCAGGCTGGATTGTGTAAGGAGCTCACAAATCCTTGAAAGATCTGGGCACGGTCCCATCGGTGAGCTCCTCCGGCAGGCAAGGCTGTGTTGGCTGGGTCATGTAGCCCGCATGCCCAGCCACCGCATGCCGAAACAGCTTTTGTTCGGCCGGATCGAGGGGGCTAAACGGGCGCGGCACGGGCTAGAGAAGAGATGGAGTGATGTGGTACAGGAGGACGTGGAGCCGAGTGGACTTGCCGATGACTGGTACCAGCGGTGTCAAGATCGGCCTCTATGGAGGAGGCTCGTGAAGAACGCTATTGGGCAGTTGGTGGCAGTCGCCCTCCAACAACAATGGAGGGCAGAGGAGCGACGCTCACAACAACGAGTGGAGCGTCGGGTGGCTAAAGCACAGCAGGTTGGCACAGTAGGGGGCACAGGTGGTGCACCAGCCAGTCATCTCAGTCACTCGACCCGTGGCACCTGGGTCTGCCCCGTGACCTCCTGCCCGCGGGCGTTCGACACTTCACGTGGCCTCAGGGTGCACATGTCCTGGCACAAGCATCGTGGTGACGTCACCGCCACTTAGTGGCGAATGGCGGTTGTTGTTGTGTCTCTCTCTGTGTGTGTCTCTGTGTGTCTCTCTCTGTGTGTGTCTCACGATCACCTGTGTTGCGGTCGGTGCACTTCTCTCTCTTCCGCTCGTTCTCTGCTCCCCCCCCCTCCCGGGTCCCGTGTCTCGCAGCCAGCTTTCTCTCTCACCTGAAGACGGTCGCTTGCGTTGCGATCGAAACGTCGTCATCGATTATTTTGTCTTCCTACGTGACTTTACCAAAAGAACCAAAGAGTAATCATCATAGGGTTTTTACTCTTTCGGCCAATAAAATAGGTGTTAAGATGTTCAAAGACCAAATATAAACCTTTTGCAAGAAATCAAGTTCGCATTAACCACACGAACTTGTGGTGAACATGCAAACATGCTCTGATAATATTTGCTTTGATACTGGCAAAAAGGTAATTCTGTAGCTGCTCACCCCGAGTTATAAATACCCTGACAGTGCATTGTCTTTGTACTGGTCGCCTTTTGGCGTTCTCTGGTCTGACACTGGTGAGACTAGGCTCTAAAGAAAGCTGTTCCTGGTGTAGGTCAGCGGTTTCAAAGACAATGCGCACCATCTCTCTACCGAGAGCGTCTCAATTCCGGATCAAATGTGTCGACTGCTCCGGGGGGGGGGGGGGGGGGGTGGGAGGCAATCCCAACTCTCCAGAAGTAGTACTATTGTATTTGGCCGTATGATTTTGTTGTTGTTGTTGTCCGTATTGAAACGGCTGTACGCCGAATGGACATGAAAACTCAATTCCCCTGTACAGGAATAGGGGCTAAACCGTAATGGGTTGACATGGCACGCGCGATGCAACCACACAACAACAACAGACTCTTTGTTTTTTTCGGTAAAGTCACGTAAGGTAAAATTAAATCAATGAAAACAACTTAACTTAAATCACGACGTTTCGGAGGCAACACCAGCTTCCGTCTTCAGGTGGAACAGTCACAGACTGTTTCTGGTGAAGACGGAAGCTGGTGTTGCCTCCGAAACGTCGTGATTTAAGTTGTTGTTTTCATTTATTTAATTTTACCTTACGTGACTTTATCGAAAAAAACCAAAGAGTATGAATCCTTGCAGTCACGAAAGCTTCAAATCTAGAACAACAACAGACCCAGCCCTTTCATTGTCCCGCGTCTATTGTCGTCGCCTTGTGACGCCACTAACGTATCCTCTGCGCTGTGACGTCGTAGCGCTGCTTGAACGACGACGTCATTTCTTTGTTCGCGCGCGATGACGTCACGCAGCGAATTGACGTCACGAACCCGGGCCTTACCCCCGCCCCCCTTTCTTTTTTTTTCTGTGTTCCAGGCGTCGCGCACCTTCCAGGCCGTCGCGCACGTTCCGAGTTCGCAGTCGTTCGAAACTTTCGCCGGCAGCTGCGCGGCACTCAACGGAGTCTCCGCTGTGCGGCGAGGAGGAGGAGGAGCACGGGTGGAAGAAGCCGAGGCGACGGGCCATGGGAGGGAGCGATAAGAGGCGCCGCGAGGGGCGCGCGGCCCGGCCCGCGGCCCACGACAGGCCTCATTCAGGCGAGACCGGCGCGGAGCCGATGAGGCAGCGGTCTGCGTCTCCCAGGGAGAGGGGGCAGCGCACGGAGTCTCCTTCTAAGCGCAGAGGGCAGCGCTCGGAGTCTCCTTCTAAGCGCAGAGGGCAGCGCACTGAGTCTCCTGGTAAACGCAGGGGGCAGCGGTCTGCGTCTCCCAGAGAGAGGGGGCAGCGCTCTGCGTCTCCTGCTAAACGCAAGGGGCAGCGGTCTGGATCTCCCAGAGAGAGGGGGCAGCGGTCTGGATCTCCCAGAGAGAGGGGGCAGCGCTCGGAGTCTCCTGCTAAACACAGGGGTCAGCGCGCAGCTTCTAGAGAGAGGGGGCAGCGCTCAGCGACTCCCGTTAAACAGAGAAGGCAGCGGTCTGGGTCTCCCAGAGAGAAGGTCCAGCGCCCAGAATCCACTGGTAAACACAGGGGGCAGCGCTCATTGTCTCCAGTTAAACACAGGGGGCAGCGCTCATTGTCTCCAGTTAAACACAGGGGGCAGCGCTCATTGTCTCCAGGGCATCGCTCATTGTCTCCAGTTAAACACAGAGGGCAGCCCTCGGTGTCTCCTGTTAGACGCAGAGGGCAGCGGTCTGGGTCTCCTGTTAGACGCAGAGGGCAGCCCTCGGTGTCTCCAGTTAAACACAGAGGGCAGCCCTCAGTGTCTCCTGTTAGACGCAGAGGGCAGCCCTCGGTGTCTCCTGTTAGACGGAGAGGGCAGCCCTCGGTGTCTCCTGTTAGACGCAGAAGGCAGCGGTCTGGGTCTCCTAGCGAGAAGGGTCAGCTCCTGGAGTTTACCGGTCGACACAATGGGCAGCGAGGGCAGCGGTTGGGGTCTCGGGAGAAGGGGCAGCTCTCAGCGTCTCCCAGAGGGAGAAGGCGCTCAGAGTCTCCCCAACACAGGGGTCAGTGGTTGGAATCTCCCAGACACAGAGGGCAGCGCTCACTATCTCCCAGATGCAGGGGGCAACGTTCAGAGTCTCCTGGAGCAAGAGGGCAGCGTTCGGGAGGAGACCACGGTACTCGCGTGTCTCGCTGGGGGCCCCAGGTACGCGAGGGCGAGCGCACCTGGGAGCGCTGGGGCACGAGGCCCCCGGGTTGGAGTGGCCCGGGGTCCCCGTTGCGCGGTGCGGCAGGAGGACAGCGGGAGACATCGGGGGACCCCGGGAGCAGGAGGAGCAAGGGAGATCAGGATGGCAGCAGTGACTCCGTGTCATCGAATGACTCCCGCAACTACGACTCGGGGTCGGGTTCTGGCGGCAGCATGCGTGGCCGCTCCGGGTCGAGGTCAAGATCGAGGAGCTCGGAGATCGAGAGAACGCGACTGCGTGGAGAGGATAAGAAACGGCAACGCGAGGAGCGAAGGTGAGAGTTGGTGGAAACGAGAGGGAGGTATGGGCGAGGTGGATGAGATAAAGAGTGGAGAGGAATAGGAGCAAGAGGGAGCAACATAGGAGATCGAGGTGGAGAGAGGAATGGAATTCCTCTATAAGAGGTATGAAATGTGGAAGGGAATTTAAGTCTGGTGGGGAGTGGAAAGGATTGTATGGCACAGAGGGAATCTGGAGGAATATCGGTGGAGGATGTAGTGGAGTGAAGGAAGGGAAGGGGTGGAGGGTGAGAGGGGAATATGGAAGCAGTGGATAGGGGAGGTGGAGGAGGATTTTGGGAAGGAGGTTGGTTATATGGGCCTCATCCAATGAAATTAGGAATTCTACCACCGGTGCAGATCTGTCATTGGAGAAAACCACCACCCCCTCCGTTCACAAAAAATTCTACCCAAACGGGCAAATGAGTGGCGATCATCTCCACTGACAGAACCTGAGCCACATTCCGTGTTTGGGGACCAGTGTTGCCACGGGATTACCACTGCTCACTCTCACAGGGTGATTATAATGAGCTGGCAGGTTCCATGATGGACAGCAGCAGAACTCTTATCATAAATCGAAACAAGGAATTACTACGAAACAGTAATAATGATGACACACATCTATGATGAACTGTATGAATGACTACATCGGTTTGAATGCATAAAATACCTGTGCGAATAACTTGCACAGCAGTTCTGTAAATGAATGACCACTCCCTGTCTTTCGAGATTTCATAATTCTATCAACGAATTCCCAACCCTGTGTATGACTCTTGACGCTTTGTTTTATCCCGCTGTACTAGTGAATGTACCCCACATCTCCATGTCTCAACCCCCTTGCCTTTCGTGTCCAGGCGCCAGAGGGAGCTGGTGAAGGCGCTGGAGACCCCCGAGGAGAAGCGAGCTCGCCGTCTCTCCAAGAAGGAGGCCAAAGAGCGCAAGCGGCGTGAGAAGATGGGCTGGGGCGAGGAGTACATGGGCTACACCAACGCAGACAACCCCTTCGGAGACAACAATCTCCTAGGCACCTTCATCTGGCACAAGGTGTGCATGTGTGTGGATGCATGTGTGTGGATGCATGTGTGTGGATGCATGTGTGTGGATGCATGTGTGTGGATGCATGTGTGTGGATGCAAGTGTGTGGATGCATGTGTGTGGATGCATGTGTGTGGATGCATGTGTGTGGATGGCCACCCACCCCCTCATGTGCCGTTGCCAGCCTTCATATGTGCTCGGGCTTGCTCCAAAAATCTGTTAAGGCTATACATGGGATAATTTGTATTTAGGTTTGTATAAATAGATGTGCTCCGCCTTAAGACTGTATAGGAATATATGTCTCTATTATGTATCGGTGTGTATAGATGTGTATGTATATGCAAATGCACGCGAGTGTCGTCTGTGTGTGTCATGCGTGTCCAACTCTTGTTCCATGATCCAGGCACTGGAGACAAAAGGCATCTCTCACCTGAGCGACAAGGATAAGAAAGAACGCAACAAGGGTATCCAGAAGGAAAACCGCATTGAGCTACAGAAGGTGGGAACTCCTCCTCCTTCGCCTAACAAAGACACAGCCCAGATGCACAAACAAACCCTGTGGAGCCATTGGCCCACGGGTTGCACATTCAGCAACTTCATTTAATTTCATGTGGCCTGGGTGAACACGAGGCCTACACCTTTGAAATGGCCCACAAACGATATTTATCTGTGGACAAGCACCTTAGTTGCACTAATCGGGTTTTGGGGGGCAATATTTTCAAACCTGGAAACACTGTAATAATAATATTAGTGTGCTCAATCACTTCTGTCACTGCAAGGGCCTCTTACAGTGACAGAAGTGAATGAGGTGCGTGTTTGTGTGGTTGCTAAAGGAGTTTGAGAGTGGTATTCGGCCCTCAGGAACAGGTTCCCCACCCCTGGCCTCGGCTCGAGACTTGCGCCAATCTGTCTTCCCTTCCCTGCTATTGTAAAGTCTCATGATTTGATTTAAAAATAAATTATCTGCCTGATTTTACTGTCATTTGTGGTTCGCCCATTTGTTCCTTCACGTCATGAGCTTCAATGTAACAATGTCATAGTATTTGCATGTATTCTGCATACAATATAAATACATTTCCACGCAATTTCACGCGAGTATCATGAGCGTAATCATATATTTCTATTGATGAATCGGTACATGCACCCATGGTGACGAAATGAGCTGGCGCGCAGGGAGCTAAGTGGATTGTTACGTCGCAGCACCCTGATAGATAGCGACGGTTTTGGGAGGCATTTAGTGGTGGATTGATCAAGGCCGATGATGATGATGACGACGACGCTGTTATTCCCCGGGACCGCTGCTGCAGGTGAAGCAGCTGAGGCTGGAGCGCGAACGGGAGCAGGCGCTGCGTGACCAGGAGCTTGAGATGATGCAGCGAGACAAGGAGGCCGAGCACTTCAAGCAGTGGGAGCAGCAGGAGGACAACTTCCACCTGCAGCAGGCCAAGCTACGGTGAGCGCCCACGCACACACGAGTTAGTACAAGCGTTGATACACTTTCATTTTGAGTTAGAGAATGATTTTTCACATGACTGTCAGCACCAGATATCGAAGAAAAATAAGTAATTAAATACTCGCACAATGTATTCAACTATGTATTTTCCTTCCTTATCTGCTGCTCTGTGTGACAGACACGTGTAAAAACATTCGCTAAATAAAAATTAAAGTGTACCAGTGTGCTGTCTTTTTTGGTGCACTTGTACCCGTTCACATAAACTCGCATGCATACACAAAGACAACCTCCATCCACGTGACGTGTTGAAGGCTCACTCACAGGTCACTTACGGAGGCTCAAGCGGTTGTGTACAAATGTGCTCGCATACTCGCACTCGTACGTGTGCTCACGTGGACTCTTGCATGCGTGGACTCGCCTACCTTGACTGATGCGCCCACCCCTTGGCCCCGCATCTCAGATCCAAGATCCGCATCAAGGATGGGCGTGCCAAACCGATCGATCTCCTGGCCAAATATGTGGGCATGGAGGAGGAGGACCTGGCTGTGGAGATGCACGAACCCTACACCTTCCTCAATGGCCTCACCGCCTCCGACCTGGAGGACCTTCTGGAAGACATCCGGGTAAGACACAGGGGGAAAAACATGGGAGAAGAGAGGCACGGAGAGGTGAAGGGAGATACAGGGAGGTACGGATAGATGGAGACGAAGGGAGATGTATGTATGTACCTGAGTTTGAGTACCGCTAACGGCCTACACGAGTGGACGATCATCTGAACCGGTTCTGGGCCTCCCCTAGGTCGACTCAGCCTCAAATGAGTACCTGGTGCGGTGTGTAAACATCGCCACTAGGGAGACGAAGGGGGCCGGGCGTGATGTTGGCCACCCACCCCCTCGTGTGCCGTGCCGGCCTTCATAAGGTGCTGCTCACTCACAGCACTTGCCCACCAGCATGTTAAACCTATACTGGGGGTCTTTGTATGTACAGATGTGCATGCTTTTATGTGCAGGTATACATTGAGCTAGAGCAGGGCAAGAACGTGGACTTCTGGAAGGACATGACGATCATCACAGAGGACGAACTGGGAAAACTCCGCAAGAAACAATCGGAGGGCACAGGGCCTGGTACAGAATTTACCATTCACCTTTCTGTCCACACACAGCTCACCACATCCCCCTGACTCACCACATAGCTTTCACCACTCATTAACTTCTCTATCCATTCACTGACCACTCACCTCTGATTTATCACTCACTTTCACTATTCACCCACTCACTTAACCAGACACATGCTTTCACTCACCCACCCACCACTTACCAGTAATACATTGACTCACATGCTCTTTCACCACTCACTCTCCCATCAACTTAACCACACCACTTATACATGAACTTGCCCTATATAACTTCACTCTGTAGTCACTCATCCATACATCCACTAAATCTTTCATCCACTCACTCAGTCACTCCAGAATCAGAATATGTATTTATACTAGATGAATCCGATGAGCTATAAAGTTATTTTTCACAGATGTCCTCCTTAAAGCCCAGTCTCCCTCTCTTCTTTTATATCGACCTCCAAACTCCCTGTGTTTCCATCTCTCTAATCATAACCCTGACCCAAACACAACCCAAACCCTACCCCAAGACTTTACTCTAACCCTGGGTTTTAACCAAACTGCAATGCCTCGCTCCATAATGCTAACTCGAATCCTGACTCTTACCCTAACATTCCTCCAACGCTTACCCCTAAACTCTCAAACCCATCATTAGCTCCAACTCCTAACTCTACAAATCTAACCCCTGTTATAAACTTCAAATGTTCCCGCAACTCTTTTCCACAAACCCCCTTACCTTTGCTTTTTAAGAAGCCGGGTCATGTGACACAGGTATTCTAACTTCGTGGGTTCTGACCTGAGGATGCCTGATGCAATCTCAAATTAAACATCTTTCAGCTTCACTCTGAGCAGAAATGATAACAATTGGCATGTTGTTGCACACGTGACAAATTCATTTGTTTGGCTACGTCATGTGGTGGAGGGTTTTCATGTAAAAAATTTGGCCAGGTCTCAACCAAAAATCAATTATGAATCCCCAAGCCTTTGTTGATTTCGCAACCCTTTTCCCCTCTCGCTTCCCCTTCTCCCTCACCAAACTGCGGCACCACTCCCCTCCCCACCCCCCTCCCTCGCAGTTGACCGTCGCGAGGGCATCAACCCTTCGGTGGCGGGCGACGTCTCAGCCGTGTTCAAGGGCAAGACGTACGCACAGCTCACAGCGCTGAACCAGCAGATCACGGGCAAGATCGTCGCGGGGGGCACCACGCTCGACATCGGCTACTGGGAGGGGCTGCTGCAGCAGCTGCGCGCATATACGGCGCGCGCGCGACTCCGTGAGCGCCACCAGGACATCCTGCGGCTCAAGCTGTTCCGCTTGAAGCAGGAGCAGGGCGTGCAGAGCCAGCCCCTCTTCCCCATCATGCGTGGCGGTGGTGGCAGGGGGGAGGGCGGACTGCAGCAGAGTGCAGGGGCGCTGTTGCCAGGGTACGTGGGGGTGGTGTGTGTGGGCATGTGGGTGTTATGATGTGTCTGGGGAGTGGTAGTGTAGCGGTTAACGCACTGTGCTACGAAACCGGTGACCAGAGTTCGATTCCAGCTCATGGCTAATAACAGTGACGATTATCTGAACCGGTCCTAGGCCTCCCCTAGATCGACTCAGCCTCAAATATGTACCTGATAGTGTGTAAACATCGCCACTGGGAAGACGGAGGCGGCCGGGGGTGGTGCTGGCCACCCACCCCCTCATGTGCTGTGTTGGCCTTCAGCACTTCCCCCAACAGTCTGTTAAGGCTGTTATGATGTGTGGGGGTACCTGGTGTGTGGAGGTGTGGTGTGGGGTATGTGGTCTGTGAAGGTATGGGGACGTGTGACATGCGTTTTGGTTTGTGGGGCAGTTCTGGAGTATGTGTGTCAGCCTGGGTCCTATTGTTGTGTGCGGACTGATGCGACATGTGATAAAAATGTTTAACCACACCCCTTGCCCTGCTTGGCCCCCAGCCACATACAGATGTTTGGTGACGCCAGAGTTGCACGGTTTGATTGTAGCTGAGGTCGGGAAATAGCCAATGGAAAACCACCCGTACTGCGAGGGCCCCACGCTGGTCTAGCTTGTACAGTAAAACCTTGGATTGTGAGTAACTTGGTCTGAGAGTGTTTTGCAAGACGAGCAAAATTTTTAAATAATTATTAATTTGATAAACGAGCGAGGTCTTGCAATACGAGTAGTATGTATAGACGCTTTGTCTGCCGAGCGTCACGTGATCACAACTGATATACGAGTGCTTTGATATACGAGTGCTTTGGATTACAAACACGTTTCCGGAACGAATTATGCTTGCAATCCAAGGTTTTACTGTATATGTAATTGACAAAAGGGTAACAATTAATTCATTTCGTACTTGCGTGTTCATGTACTGGACGTAATAGTCATGTGTTTGATATGATGCATTCACTCCATATGTATCGTCACTTATACATGCCAGTGACATTGCTATAGAGTGTGGAGGTGGTACCCACATGCCCAGGTGCTGTTACATGAAGAGGGTGGGGCATTTAATTCCTCATTGCAGGTCCCACGCCAACCACACTATACAGCTGACATGCGCAAGTTCACACAGGATACGTATAACGATGGCGCAGCTTGCGTTCACGTGTTTGAACTTCCCACGCATGCCCCCCCCTCGCCCTCCCAGACCCTCATCAGCTGCGACTCCATCGAGCGCCGCCGCCACCAACAACGAGGAGGAGGACGACGACAACGAGGAGGACGAAGCCGGCAAGAGCGGGGAAGGGGCGGGCACAGCGGGGGACTCGGTGCTGACGGAGGCCGATCTGGTTCGGCAGAGCTGCGAGGAATACGAGGCCGGGCGCTACAGCCCCACGCTGCTGCCGCCCGACGAGCTGCCCGTGGAGGCGCACGTCATGGAGGCGGAAGAGGACAACCAGCGCCTCTACCTGGCGCGCAAACAGCTCCAGGAGACCGGTGCGTCACCGCGGGAAGCGGCGTTGCGTGAGAGAGCGGAGTGAGGGAGGGCACCGTGTCTTGCGGGAGGAGATAGACTATGGGCCAGGGCAGAAATCGGTACCATCAAATGTTTGTAAAATTTTAGTTGTACCGATTTATTTACATGGCAAATAAAAGTTGCTTGATAACGCCACTTATCTACACTCTAGGGGGCAGCACTGTCCAACAAGGACGACTGCAGATAAAAAAAATGTTAATTGCGTGTCAGTCAAATGTATTTTGTTTTGTGCAACTGGAATTTATCCAATTGAAGGGATCAGAGGTTAAGTGGTGTAACGACTGTGACACCAAGCCACCTCTGTATTTATGTCTTTAATATTTACATGTACTTCAACACCCCACTCCCTCCTGCATCTTTCTCCATGTCTCCCTTCACTCTGTCTCCCCTCACACTCATCTCATAATCAATCCTCGTCTCCCTTCTCTTCCCCCTCTCCACCTCACTGGCCATCTGCTTTCTTCTTTCCCCCATCTTTTTCCTGCCTCCTCACTTTTCCCGCAGGTTCAGCTGAAGACACAGCGGAAGATGCATTCGAGCGTCGTGCGCGCGAGGGAATGGGCACGGACGAGGCGCGCTTCAGTGTCGAGGTGCCCCTCACGGACAAGCTCTACCTGTGGTCGGACAAGTACCGCCCCCGCAAGCCACGCTTCTTCAACCGCGTGCACACAGGCTTCGAGTGGAACAAGTACAACCAAACGCACTACGACTTCGACAACCCGCCGCCCAAGATCGTGCAGGGCTACAAGTTCAACATCTTCTACCCGGACCTCATCGACAAGAAATCGACGCCGCAGTACTTCCTGGAGTCGAGCGACGGCGACCGCGAGTTTGCGACGCTGCGCTTCCACGCCGGGCCGCCCTACGAGGACATCGCCTTCAAGATCGTGAGCCGCGAGTGGGAATACTCCCACCGCCACGGGTTCCGCTGCCAGTTTGCCAACAGCATCTTCCAGCTGTGGTTCCACTTTAAGAGGTACCGCTACCGGCGGTGATCGAACTGCTGGCGGTGGACTTTTGTATATGGGGCACGTATATTCACATGGAGCTGCAAATAATCCGTGTAGCCTGCATTACACTGCAGGGGCAAGTGCTGTTGGCGAGAAATTATTGTCGCCGGTAGGGCCATAATGTGCTCTCCTAGCTTTGGTTTCATTTCGAGGCAACAGGACCGGGTGGTGGTTTGTGTACGGTCACGTATGTATGTGGACTTGTGTACGCGTACGTATGCATGTACAACATTTTTGTCAATCAACTGCTGGATGGCCGCCTCCCCCGCACCATGTGGGTATTGGAAGTTGACTGTACTTTGCCATGCTGGTCATTGCGGATTGATGAAGTAGGGATGAATAGATGTGGGAGCAAACTTCAGAACAATAGATTTTGCTGAACTGCCCCTCTGCTGCCCACAATGCAGCAGCATATTACCACCTGCCGTTTATGGACACCCACCAAAACACTATCCAAGCTTACTTCTATTGAACTTCCAAGATAGGGCGCATTCTGGAAATGCATAGGCACATATATACAAAGATTTCACGTACAGCCTTTAAGCGTGCACTCAGTGCTGTCATGGTGTATTCACTGATCCAATCTCCCACTTGCCCACCTTTTCACACAATGAAATCACCCACAACGACCTATCCAGCTTACAAACTCACCCAACCAACCTGACCACCCATCCAGTGTTGCTCATGAGTACACTTACCTGAACAGACCACTCCTGCGCAATGCTGGTGTAAATGAGGGTTGAATGACAGTCATGTTTGGTAACTTTGTTCTGACTTGAATATTTTGTAAAATTTGGGTTTTGTAATAAATTGTTTGTGACCCCCCCATATGACCTCTTAAAACTTGACAGCCACAACTAGCCAATTGATGTGCATCTTAACAGTGCTGTGCTGATGGTGTACTTTACAATGGCTTGTGAACAAAATTAACTTTAAGTCTGGTGGACTGTGGGCAGTAAATGATGAAACGTCTATTTGATGTAAATATAAATGTTATTTAAAATAATTGAACCCCTTCCACACCTTGCTGGTGAGGCCCAGAGAAGTCAAAACCAGTCAAGGACTTACCATCTACAAATGCTGCTGAGAATTGTTATTCCAGGAGACTGATAGGCTGAGGGACTAACCTTTCACCACTGTTAGCCTTGGTTGTGAATGAAAGGGATGTTCCTGGGTTCATACACACCGGTACATACACGCGTATGTACACCATGCATTCATACCACATGTACAAACACCTACCAATGTCAGTGCCTCACATTTGAGGAATGAATGCATATGCCTCGAGTGGTGATGGGGCGAGACTGAGGGTAGTGGTGGAAGAGTGCTGTTGGGAGAGTTCAGCTGGCACGTGGATGTGGTTGCCAGAGTTGTTTGCATACCTGCGAGTGGAAGGTGGGGGGAGTCTAGCGGTGGTAGGTGGCGACAGCTGTAAATGTGAGATGTGACTTGTAAGCTTAGGCCTGAAATATTCACAACTATACAACCCTGCAATGTTTACACAGCTACATGCATACACCCACACCTCGTACGCATAACAGGTCCAAGTTTGTCCAGTGGTCGCCACTCCTTGAAGCCTCCCCCTCTCGTGATTTGGTTTTACATCTATGCTCCATCTGAAACATTCTATGCATCCAGTGTCACATGACCTAACCCTATAGAACAAGATTCTACATACCTGGGGCACATGACCCACTCCCACTTTGTTGGGGTCAAGTACGGTGGGGGCAACTCATGTGGCCCAGGTGGAAAGGACCCAACCTCACCTCCCAATTAGCACAGTTGGCTACGTACGGTGCAAAACAAGTGCAACATACATGTGACCCAGTGCGGTCATGCGATAACAGGGTAGGGTTCACATGACCTAGGTGGGTGTAGAGTCATGCGACCCACCTGGGCAGAGGGTTATGTGATGCAGGTGAACGGGGTGGTGCTGCAAGGCGACCGAGCAACAAGAACGCGTGCGAAGAGACCTGTTCACCTGTTTAATCCACAGCACCATTTTGAAGAGAACACGAGACATTAAATCACACGACACCGTTGGGCAAAACCACAAGACCCCCAGCTGCAGTGGCCGATCGTATAAGCACACCTTAAATGTAGGACGACACAACCCAAAAACAAAATGAGTGGGCCTGTATTTGGTCGAGGAATTAATTAGATAGAGGGAATGATGGATGGTCATGAGCCTGGATATTAACAGGGTCAGAGTCAAAAGCACAGATGCTTTAGGAAATTACGTTCAAGACATGTGGGCAACAGAGGATAATGAGCAACTTCCCTCAATGCAGAAAATCCAGTGGTTAATGTGATACTGGTGTGAATCACACGAGTGCCGTCACTACAACGCTAATGAAGTCAATTTAAAGTTTTTTTCTTAAAAACTAAATTTTCAAGCTCGTGTGGGATAGCACAGCCACAGTGACCCTTTATACACGTGCAGAAAAAACTTTAAAGTTCTCCTTCAGAGCTCGTATTTTACTCCGCAGGTTTAAAAACGGTTTTACTACTGACATCGTGATGTCACGCTCGCTGGTGTAAAACCACCACGTTCAGTGAAACCACCCTGTGGTTCACCCAACTGTTTAATGGTAACATTTTTTTTTAAACACGTGACATCACCACGCAGCACTTGGAAATTACTTCATGCGATTTGATGTAAACAGGAAGAGACCATTTCGATTTAAAGCTTTTGTGACTGCAGGGATTCTTCTTCTTGGTTCTTTCGGTAAAGTCACGTAGAATGGAAATAAATAATAAAAATAAACCAATAACATAAAAAATAATGTTATATTTTTATTATTTTATTTCCATTCTACGTGACTTTACCGAAAGAACCAAGAAGAGGAAGAGACCAGCAAAAACGAGCTAATGAAAGGACGGCACACTATTTTTTTTTACTTACGATTTACAATGTTACAAAATGAAGTATAATTTACGAGAATACAATAAGATACTTTATCTGGAACAGATGAACATATACCATCTGCACTTTATTGCAATTGCACTTTAATAAAAACTACGGAATCACGCAGCCTCATTCGGGCGGCTTTGTTAGGCGATGAGAGCTGTAACAACAATTCCACTAAGCATCGATTACATGGCAAATAAAATTGGCAATATAAATTCATTATATTTTTTGCAAAATTTTTGGAGATAGACATTTTTAATATTGTTGTGACATCGTGATTGTAAAACAGTTCATTTTTTCCGATGTAAAAAGGGGCCAGCGTAGCTGCTGAAGAGCCGTTTGATGTTTTGGGTTGTGTCAGCCTTTAAGGGAAAATGCACATTGCACCCCTCTTACACGGATATCTACACACGAATGGATGAACTTCACTCAAGTTGCTTTAAACCATCGGCCACAGAATCCATCAACCTAGGTTTCAAAGCCAACAAAGATTGCTGTTTCACAACCACAAGACATTGATTTTATAACAATGTAACCCTCGACTCAGATTCACACCGCTCAGACCCTCGAGACCAGTGGTTCTCAAACTGCTTTGGCCCGCGGACCACTCAGCCGATGCAAATATTCCTGTGAACCACCCAGGCCTGGTGACAAAACACGTTCACTTATCTCTAAATACCAATACAGGAGGATTCATATTACTAGAACAGCTCGGTTTTTATTTGGGGGGGGGGGGGCATTTAGATGTTAGGGTTCGGATAATTTAATCAGGGTAGTTTACCTAACCTCATTTATGAAATTTAATGTAACTAATGTATCCAAAATATGAATTTACGTCCAAAACAAAAAGTATAACCGTTGTCATTATTTCCGGATCAACCTGCATTTGCATCACAGCCCCGCGGGGCACCTGGAGCACCGTCGTGGACCACCGGTGGTACCGGGGCCCACACTTTGAGAACCGCTGCTTTAGACACCCAAGGTCAGATTCACAAGATCCTTGGTTCATAACTTGAAGATATTGAGGTTAGAACCAATATGACTGCAGGTTAAAAACCCAGATTCCGTGATCCTGGATTCTCAAACCAACAAGATTCTACGTTCAGAGACACTATCTCCCCCCCCCCCCCCAAGTTCAGAACCCAGGCCTTTCCCGAGTGTTTCTTATCATTGAGGTCGTGTTCTCGTTTACTTGAGCTGCCACAGTTAAAACGTAACCAACCACAAACGTACAAACTGATACGACTGCCTTAATTGTTTTTTACATTTCGCCCGTCAATTAACTTACGTTTTTTACAACCCACAAAAGGTGAATACATTCCTGAATTGCAAACAGAATTCACTCATTCACATGCCACTCTCCTAACCCAGAGCCGATCACCGCTAGCTATCCTATATTTTCTGCCCCGTGTAGCATTGCCAACACTTTAAAGCAGAAAGTCACCAATTGACCCTCAAAAAGTCGCAAAACTTCATACTGACAAACATGTAGGGGGTGGAGGGGTTGGGAAGAGGTCATTACGGAGGGGGGATGGGGGGGTACGGGAACCCATTGAGGTACAAGGAGGCCGTCTAGCCTTCCTCTAGATCTACTCCAACAGCTGCCCCAACACTTTCTCACCCATAATGCACCATGTGTGCATAATAATAGTAAGTCTGCAGCGACAATGGGCGACTGCATGGAATTAAGGGAGCCACAGGGGTTTCTGGGTAGAGCAGTGCATCACGGGATTTGTACATGTGCCTTTTCACCAAGATGGCACGTCTATTAGTGACGTTAAAGACCCCTGATTGGCGATGATAAAGACCCCTTCTAGCACCCTGCCCCACAATGCACCGCGGCTCCCCAATGGCTAGTGCTCCCATCCTTGTGCAGTCCCACAATGCCAGCCCACACAGCACCAGCGAGTGTTTAGCACCATCACAGCCAGCACCATCGCAGTTATCGGGGAAAAAGGCGCTTCTGGTCCTATCTTCTGCCACCCAACTCCCCATAACTGCAACTATGTTGCAGGAGCTATGTGGATATGAGGAGTTTAGGGGGGTTTCCGATACAGTAGTTATGGGGCTTATAAATGCAGGCGTTAGGGATTCAAGGGGTGAGAGGGTTGATGGTTTTTTGATATGAAGAGTTGAGTGAGCTTCCATTTTGGGGTGAAAGCAGAACTCCCCACCCAGATTTAACATCAGCCTCAGGGGTTTCACCAATGGCTGTCAAGAAAGAGTCCGCATCACCGAAATGCTGGGTGTCTCTCTCAGGAGGTCCATAATGGCTGTGTTGGAGACACCAAGCCAACACCACTGAGATCCAGTGTTTTAAATTAATATTTCAGCCATGCATGATAAAACCAGCTATTGGTCGGGGATTGTGACATCTCTACCCAGTCACTAATGGCCATACAAAATCCATCAATTTAATAATAAAACTTGCTTGCAGCTATAATTTGGCTGCATGGAGAGAACCTTGTGTTTAAGGAGTGGCTCCCAAGTGGGGCCCGAAGGGCAGAAAAGTCTTCCTCCGACATCAGGGCCTGATGTTAAAGCTGAGTATTGCGACAAAGTTTTCCGTACGAGCAAAGAAATCCACCGCAAAAAAAAAAAATTAAATGTTAAAATATCAACGACACATTCACAAAACCACCAAACGAAACAAACACTCAATTGTGCACTGGGAATAAAAAATTATGCAAAAAACACATTGATCGCCACCACCGTCGCTGTATGAAAACACAAACACCAGCACGCGGTGTCAGCTGCCTCCACCATTGGTGACCGCCAGCGCTATGAGTCGCGGAGACGGAATAATGCGACACCAAGGCTTGTGGCTGCTCTCGGACAAAATGACGAGTCAAATAATATTTAAATTAAGAAAATTACTGGGGATGTTTGCTAGGCATGGTTCCAACATGACTGTGACATCGTGCTATCATTACAATTGATGATGTGTCAGGTTTTTTTTTTTAAACATACGTTTAAAACATTTTAACGACAAGCAACCGAGGCCGTCTAAATTCTACTCAATCGCTCCATTCGCTTCGGGTCGCGTTTGACTGCGACTGCAAAAGCCAATAATTCTGGCTCATGACAACTCAATATCGAGATGGCACTGGATTCAAGATAGCGCTGTCAGGCCTCCCGGGGAGATGTCTTCTCCCCGGGATTGCGGAGGGAGAGGATGAAAAGGTGGAGAGTTTCTACAGCTCAGCCTGACCAGCCATTTGGCGGGGTTTTTTTGTTTGTTTCGGGAGGAAACGGCGCTTGTCGCATTTGGCGGTGCCCCGTCTGGGCCCCAGAATGAGGTCAGAGTGATGAGAGAAATAGCACCAAGACGCCTTCGAGGTTTCCTTGAACGCGCTTTGCCCCCGTGGGAGCGCAGTTCCCTCGCGTCACCAAAATCACCCATTCTCTCCCCCCACCCAAGACCACAGTCTCTTCCTTGAAACGTGAGCCTACCCAAGATTTAAATTCCTCCCCATAACCCCCCCCCCTCCCGCACCTTCTCAAGGCCCAAACACTTCCTTGAAATAAACAGTTCGCCCCTCAAGCCCCCATTAACCTTGAGACCCCAGTCTACTCCCCAAGACCCCCATCTCCTTGAGACCTTCTTTTGTGTTCAGAGTCAAGGGACGTCTTCAGCAGTAACTTCGAGCACCAGAACTCTCCTTGCATAGCTGATGGCGAGACAGCTCGAGGTAGAGGTGAGAGAGTGCTGAGAAAGGGGAGAGACCGGGAGGAGCAGTGAGACAATGAATCATGGGATAGTCAACTATAGACCACCCAGCACTATCACCACTAGAACTTTAGACCACCCAGCACTATCAACCACGAGACTCGAGAGCACCCAGTACCACCTCACCTTGCCGTCAGGCCACGCTGGCCCCTCAGCCTCTCGCGGGGAATGGCGGTTGAACTCCGAGCGGCACCCATACTGCGCCGTCCAGCCCAAGCGGCGGCTCTACGCCCGGCCTCGCCGGCGCCGCCCCCACCTTCCCCGCCGCCCCCACTCTGCCTGACCGCTGCTGCTGCTGGTGCTGCTGGTACTGGTGGCGCTGGTGGTGCGCAGGCGGTAACAGTGGCGGCGGCGGTGGCGGTTGGGACGAGGGGTTGTGGAGATTGTTGTGGGGAGGAGACACCAGCAGTGGCACCAGTGAGCTGAAGGTGGTGCCCAGCAGTGGGAACGTCGACCGGGGGAAGGAGGCTAGCGGGGGCCGCGCTGGCGCCGGGGAAGTCCGGAGGACCGTGGTCAATGACGGTAAGGAGGAGGATGACGACGACAACAATAACGACGATGACGACGCCGCCGACGATGATGATAACGACGGCGAAGAGACGAACATTGTGTTGGTGCTCGACGGGAAATGGAAGGAGGTGGTGCCAACTGGGAAGGAGAAGGAGGGAAGCGTCGCCGTTGGTGGGAAGAGTGTGGATGGCGCCGACGACGCTGCTGGTGCCGGCGGCGGGGGGGGTGGGGGAGGGAAGACCGCGGCGCCGGCGTGGGGGGGCACCGGCGGCAGAAAGGACAGCGGCGTCATCGGCAAGGGGAGGCACGGGGGGGGCATGGGGGGGGCATCTGGAGGCAGATAGAGACAGATGGCACCGTCACGTGTGTGTATGGGTGTTTGTGTACATCTGTGTGCATATCAACTTGTGTTGATGTAGGGTACGGTTTTACATATATATAAAAACGTACCGTACACCAAAAGATTTAAAAGTAGTTTCTTTAGAACCGCTTTGCGTTGTTGTCCTTCCTCACACCTACAATTAGCAGTTGGCTACGTACAGTGAAAAATAAGTTCAACATACATACATGTGTCCGTGTGTGTGTGTGCATATGTGCACATGTCAGCGTACGTGTGCATTGTGTCTTTACGTATCTTTAAATCCACTGCTGGATAAACACCCCCATTCACTGTGTCAGTCATGGAAGTTGTTTGACCATACTTGACCACGTTAGCAGGCACATATTGGTGAAGTAGGGTCCAGGGACAGGTTAAGATATTGAACTCAGATCGCTGTGTTCATAGCAGATGGTGCTTAACCATTGTGCCACCTCTCCTCCCCATATGTGTATGTCATTAAATGTCTATGAATGTGCATCTATGTCTACGTGAGTAAACATGTCTGTGTACCATTGCTGGGCTGGTTCATTTTGTCTTGAGCTCCTTCCCTTGTCCCACCACTCCTGCCCCTTCAGACAAAGCAGAGACAGAAACACACACACTAAGACGCAAAGCCCCACAAGGCATTATAAACCTTCGGGGCAAGTGCTGTTAAGCGATCACCTATTAAGACAGGGACATAGCAGAAGAGTTTTAATGTGCCCGGCTGGCTTTTTCTAACCAATTGTGGTTTAAAATTCATTGCACTAGGTACTCGTGTGAGGGCAGGCCCAGGACTGGTTCTTAGATCATTCACCACTGATGTTAGCCGTGGCCAGCAATCGAACTCAGGCCCCATAGCACAAGTGCGCTAACCACTACACCACTGCTCACTTGGCCCGACTCGGCACACACACACCTACACAAGTACACAAAGACACACAAATACACACCCACAGACTTGTACAAAGACAAAGACGCCCCCCAATATAGCTTTTACCAGACTGTAAGAGCAAGTGCTGTTAGCGAGCACCTATGAAGGCTGACATGGCAGATGAGGGGATGGGTGGCTAGCACCCCCCGGCCTCAGCAAAGGTAAACAGACATCAACAACAACCGCCATTCACAATCAAGTGCCAGCGACGTTACTAAAACACAAGCGAAATGCACTTTCTGCATACAGACACAAAGACAAAGATCCCCCGTATAGCCTTTAACACACTGTTGGGACAGGTGCCGTTAGCGAGCACCTACGAAGGCCGGCACAGCACACAGACACAAACTCACAGAGGTGCACGCTCACACATGGCCTCACTCAGTCACCTGGGTGCGTCGCTCCCCTGCCCGGCCTCGGGAGTCATCGCGGGGCCCCTGCAAGGGCTGTCCCCCTGGGAAGGGCCCTCGCCGCCTCCGGTTCCTCCCCCGGCGACCCCACCCTCCTCCCCTGCTCCGCTATGCCCCGGAGAATTCCGCAGAGACGTCTCGGGAGAGGAGATTGCCGTTATTTCTAGCGGCTGGTTAATGGTGCTCACCTATGGGACACAGAGAAAATGAAGGAGACACTGAAAGGGAGGGAGACATTGGGAGGGAGACATTGAGAGGGAGGGAATGAGGAAGACACTGGGCGTGAGGGAATGAGGGAGACACTGAGAAGGAGACCCTGAGGAGAATAGATGGAGAGAAATACACTGGGAGACACTGAGAAGGCAGGAGGGACAGAGAGAAGATGACACTGGGAAGGAGATACTGGGATAGAGGGAGACACTCAGAGGAAGGGTGGGGGACACTCACCATAGCGGTGATGTTGAGTGGGGACCCTGACGCTTGGCATCGTATCCCCCTCACCCCTCCCAGCGACTTCTTCTTCGGCAAAGAGGGCAATGGAGACGACGAGGACGAAGAGGAGGAAGAGGAGGAAAGTGACGATGATGAGGACGATGATGACGAGGATGAGGAGGACGAGGAGGCGAGGGAGCCGCCTTGGCCCCTGCGTTTGCGACCTCGTCGCCGCCCATTGGGGTCGGCCAAGGGGTCACAGCCGCCCTGCTGGGGCAGCACGGCATTCTGGGAGAGGTGCAGGGAATTGTGGGAGAGGTGTGATGCATTCTGGGAGAAGTGCAGGGAGTTGTGGGAGAGGAGCGGTGCGCCGTTGAGCGGCGGAGGGGAGAGGTTGGCGGGCAGGAGCAGCGGGGGGCCCCCCTCCAGTGGAGATGGGGAGAAGGTGGGGGCGCCTCCTCCTCCAGGAGGGCCTTGGGTGGGGGCCACCGGCTGGCAGGGAAGAGGGGGAGCACATGGCCCATCTTGGCTGGAGATGGAGGAAAGTGGCAGACCTGCAGTGCAAAAAAAAAGAGACAAATACCCCCTGAATAGCCTTGTAGACTGTTGGGGAAAAGTGCTGTTAGTGAGCACCAATGAAGGCTGGCACGGTACTTGAGTGAGTGCTTGAGCGAGTGGGAGCCACAGTGGCGAGATATGAACTTCCTAGCCAGGTATACAGGAGGACATGGGTTTGATCCCGACCTTGACGCCTGTATATTTGGAGTTTGCATGTTTTCCCCGTGGTTGATTGGATTTTTCTCCAGGTCCTTCTGTTTTTACCTCTGCATTTACAAACATGCGTTTTGAGTATTTGGCTGTGATAAACCTCCATATGATAAGCCCCTTCGTTGAGCTATCATGTGGCCAGGTCGCTTCGGAAAAAGAGCTATATACCTCAGTGAGCCTTACCTGGTAGAATAAAGCATTATAATAGTTTTTATATGTATGGACATCACTACTCCTGGCCACCTCTATATCCCAAGTGCTCATATTTACTCATTTGAGGTCGAGTTAGTCGACGTAAGGCCATCAGGACTAGTTCAGGGAACCCTTGTCAATGATCTAAGCAGTGCCCGGGAATTGTCGTGTGCCAAGCACTGTGCCACCACTCCACCTATTGTACACATGCACGCACACATGTACACGTGCACACATGTACACGTGCACACATGTACACGTGCACACATGTACACGTGCACACATGTACACGTGCACACATGTACACGTGCACACATGTACACGTGCACACATGTACACGTGCACACATGTACACGTGCACACATGTACACGTGCACACATGTACACGTGCACACATGTACACGTGCACACATGTACACGTGCACACACAACAGCCGCCCTTCTCCACTGAGTGGTGGCAAAGCACAACTCCGTCCGTGCCAGGCAAGGTGCGTGCTTGCTCACACAAAGACAAAGATCCCCCGTATAGCCTTAACAGACTGTTGTGGCAAGTGCTGTTAGCGAGCACCTATGAAGGCCGGAACGGCACACGAGGGGGTAGGTGGCCAGCACCACGTCCAGGCGCCTTTTTCTCCCCAGTGGCAATGTTTACACACTGCACCAGGTACTCATTTGAGGCCGAGTCGACCTAGGGGAGGCCCAGGACCAGTTCAGATAATCGTCACTGGTGTTGGCTGTAAGTGGAAATAGAACTCAGGTCACTGGGTTCAAAGTGTGGCATGCTAACCGCTACACTACCGCCCACACACGTGCACACAGACACTCGCACACACACATGCACACAGACACTCGCACACACACGTACCTGATGCGAGTCCCCTCGGTGGGCAGGCGAGGGGTGTCCTGGTAGGGCTGTCCCCCAGACCCCTCCACCCCCCTTCAGCAGGGGTCCTCCTCTGTGGCAGGGGAGGAGAGACACAAGGCAGAAGTCTCCATTAGCTCAGGTTCCCTCAGATCCCTCACCCCGTCTCGGGTTCCTCACCCGTCTCATGTGCCCACCCCCTCCCAGATCCCCCTGCCAGCCGTCACCCCCTAACCCTGGTCCCTCATCTCTCACCCCCTCTCATCCCTCCTAAGGTAACCCTCCTAAGCCTTCACCCCTTTTCCAGGTTCCCTCATCGTATCCCGGGTCCCTCGCAAATCCCTACCGAGGTCCCCGTTTACCAGCGTCACAATCCTCTCGGTTCCTCTACCCTGGCCGGCCCTCGTGATCTCTCAGGTCCCTCACCCCCCCCCCCCCCACCCCCTCTAGAGCGCTGCACTCCATCCCAGCTCCCCCCCACCTGGTTGCCGTGTGTGGGGGAGAGCTGGGGGCTGACTGTGGAGTTTCCGGCGGAGGAGGAGGCGAGGGGGGGGCGGCGCGCGCGGAGGAACGCACAGCGCACCGCCTCCGGGTCGTCCTGCTGCAGAATGCGCAGCAGTGAGCGCGAGGCGCAGCAGGCGGGAGCGTGCGTGCTGAGCAACGGTACAAGCGTTTCACAGTGCGCAGCAGAGAGGAGGGGTGCGACTGCGAGCGTCTAGCAGACAGTATAACGTATGTAAGTGTACGTACACATGTTGAACTTCTTTCGCACCGTACAAAGCCAACCGTGCTAATCGGAGGTGGGGGGGGGGAGAACAAAAAACTAAACACCAAAAGCAGTTCAAGAAATGAGATTTAAATCTAGATTTACAAGAGCGTAGCTCCAGTGGGCTTCCCTAATATCAGAAGGAAGAGCGTTCCAGACGCTGCAGAAGCGCAGCTGAAAGCGAGCGATGCAGTGACCATCTTTGTTCGACGGTCAGCTAAAAGCCGCTGCGAGGACGACCGCAGTTTGCGTGATGGTTATGCTCTTTGACAAGCTCAGCAAGGTAAAATTGCGTTGTGTTCGTGAAGTAGCAATGAGAAGGAGTGAGCAGCAGTGAGCCCAGGTGTGCGTGATCGTGCAGCGGGGAGGGGCGGATGGGTGGGGGCGGGGGCAGCGGACCGCGATGTTCTCCTCACCATGGTGTTAGGGGGGGCGGGTGACAGCACGCTCGCCAGCGGGATGCTCACGGGCAGTTTGGGGGGCGGCTGCCCCCCACCAGCGGGTGCCTTCGAGGGCAGCACAGTGCTGAGGGGGATGCGCACGGGGAGGCTCCTGATGGCGTCAGCACTGCGGGGAGGGGCGGCGGTGACGGTGGGGCACTGGCAGCACGAAGACAAACAAGCATATACGAACACAAGTTAGTTATTGAAATCTTATTCCACTGGGCTTGTGCTTGGGGTAGTAGGGTTGTTGTTATGGGACTGTTATGTTTCACGTTATAGGTAGGAGTAGGACTAGTGTTAGGACCAAGATTAGTATCAGGGACTGTGTGTTAGGGTTTGTGTTAGCACTAGCATCAGGGGTTAGGCTGGTGCTAGGATCAGCACAAGTGTTCGTGTCAGGGCTAGTGGTCGTAGTATTTGTGTCAGCTCAGCACGAGTGTTCGACCAAGTCGGGGCTTTACCTCCTCCTCCATGGAGTTTGTTTCGGCTGCTGGGGGAGGGGAGAGAGGGAAAGGTGGTGGGGGTATACGCGGGGAGTCGACCCCATCGAGGTCATGATCTCCGACTCCATTCTCATGCTGCTCCTCCAACCTAATGGGAAGGGTGACACACACACAGTGTAAATGCATAAAAGCACATTCCGGTACCAAGACACAGGCATACACCAGCAGCTGCTATTCACCAATATGGTGCTTATGCCAGAAAAAGTGAAATTTGAGACCACGTGAAATGTGGAGGGCTGAAAGTCAGGGGACAGAGCGAGACCCGGGCATTATCGGTTGACCGAGAAGACTGGCAGATGCGCCAGCTGCGCTCTCCACTGTGCCAACTTGCTGTGTATTAGCAACCCAGCGCTTTGCTCGTTGTTGCGAGCGCCAATCCTCAATCTCCCATTGTTGCTGGAGGGCAACTGCCTCCAACTGCCTACTCCAAACAACCTGATCTTGACACCACCGATCTCAATTGCCAGCGAAGCCAGTCAGCTCCAAGGCCTCCAGTACCACAACCACCCATATCTTCTCTGACGTCTTTAACTTACCCTGCGCCTATTTGGTCCCCTCTATCCGACAAAACAGAAGTTGCCTGGGAACGCGGCGACTGGGTATGTGAGCTACATGACCCTACCAACGCCACCTCGACTACAGGAGGAGCTCTCCGATGGACCAGATCTTTAAAGGATTTGTGAGCTCGTCACACAATACAGTGTGGATAAACACAGGACCTTAAAGCCGGACAGTCTGAATGCTTCATGTTGCCACAGGTGTTCATGTTGGAAGGTCTACATTTTGCAAGCACAGAGATGAGAGGGCATGCTTGTAGCAAAGACCGGCAACATCATGTGGAGCAACAGGGCAGACAACTTCCACCAAGCGTTCAGCAACCGACAAAAATGTCACTTGATTGATTCAGCATGAGACCTCTGCTGTCAAACCAGATTTAAGCCAAACCCTTCTCCCCATCCCGGACACTATAAATAACGGCTATCCCCCTATCTTCAACCCCACCCCTGCCCCTGAATAATTCCCCACACCTCACTTTAACCCTACCCTCGCCCTGGCCGCCAGCCCCGTCCAAACCGCGCCCCCGCTCACCACCCGCGCCCCGCGCCCCCCCCCCCCACCCCCCCCACACCTGCTGGGAATGCCCGTGTGCGAGTCGGGGGTCCCATCCTGCGTCAGGTGCCTCCTTAGTGCAAGCTTGGCCGGGGAGAAGCGCGTGTAGTCAGGGGGGGCCGAGGAAATGGGGGGTCCTTCCCGGGAACGGGGGGCACACGAGGAAGGTCGCAGTCTCACCACCCTGGAGACACGGAGGCACGGGAATACGTAGACCACAGGGTGAGTAGGTGTGTGGGTGAGTGAATGAGTGGTGCGTGAAAATTGTTTGAATGCATAGTGAACATGCCCAATGCATAAAAGAGTGGCGAGTACGTGTATTTATAGTAAGTTTAAAATAATAGTGAGTGTATGATGAATAAGTGGTGAACATTGAGGTGTGGCGAGTAGTGTGGGCAGATGGCGAGTAGTGGGTGTGTATGGCGAGTGAATGGTGAGTGACTTTATCGGTGAACGAACGTGCGACTGTATAAAGTGTGTAATCAGTTTAGAGCGATTCAGTTGTTTTGTACGTTCTATGTTGTGTAGTGTGCAGTGAGTTTGCAGCAAGTGGGCGAGTTTGCGGTGAGTTTGCGGGACGAGCGCCGAGCAAGCTGCCAGTTTGCGGCAAGCGCCGAGCGGGCGGCGAGCGGGGGGTCCCACCCCTCACCTGCGCGGGTCGTGGTGCCCATTGACGAGCCCCTCGGGAGCCCCACCCTCGTGCCCCCACGTTGGCCCGACCGCTTGCGCCCCGTCGCTCTTCCCGTCGGCACCGGACAGCACAGTCTTGTGCGGCGAGCTCACGGCCTCCGCCCGCCGGCGCTCCAGCTCCAGGATGTTGATCTGAAGATGTCATCAGAGGGCGGCCCCACGGATCCGGACGTACGTGTTAGATGCTCGGAAGACATGGGTAGCGTTTGTTACTATCAATTGGTCCTCCTTTAAAGTTGTGGCTGCTCCTTCTGCTTCTGCACAGTAGCAGCACCTTTATAACACAGTGTGCATGTGTGTCAAGGTGTCGGCATAGGGAGCGAGCACCTAACAGCACTTGCCCCAACAGTCCGTTCAAGGTATATGGGGGATCTTTATCTTTCATTTTGGAGCATGGGGAGCAATAGTATAGCAGTTAGTGCGCTGCAAAATGAACCTGGCAATCAAAGATCGATTTCTGCTCACGGCCTACACCAGTGACAATTATCTGAACCGGTACGGGGCCTCCCCTAGGTCGACTCAGGCTCAAATGTGTACCTGATGTGTAAGCATCACAACTAGGGAGACAATGGCAGCCGGGCATGGTGCTGGCTACTCAGCCCCTCGTATGCCGTGCTGGCCTTCCATAGGTGCTCTCTAACAGTACTTGCCCCAATTGTGTGTTATGGCTATACGGGGAATCTTTGTCTTAGTGTGTGTGTATACCTGCAGCTCAGCCACGCTGCGCTGGTTGTGCGCCACCTTCAGCTGCAGCGCCATCAGCTCCCGGCTCAGAGTCTCCTCGCTCAGGGATTGAACCTCCAACCCCAACTCCCGGCAATGCGCGGCCAGCTGATGCCACAGATATCACAGGGGACAGCTGATGCTAACGATATCACACACATCTGTGTGGATGTGTGTATGTACGTATATACATGGTGAATATCTAAACCGGTCATGGGGCTATCCTAGGTGGACCCAGCCTTAAATGAATACCTGGTGGTGTGTAAACACTAGCACCGGGTTTTGTGCTGCCACACCACACCCTCATGTGCCGAGTTGGCCAACATTGGTGCCTGCAAACAGCACTTGCTCCAACAGCCTGTCGAGGCTATAGGGAGGTCTTTGTGTGTGCATGCAAGTGTATGCAAGTGTGTGCAGATTGTCACCAGCTGGCAGCAGCGCCGCGTCAGTGTGCTGATGCTGTGCTCCAGCTGCTGGCCCTGCTGGCGCAGGAGGCTCTGCTGCGCCACCCCCTGCCTGTGTGCGGAAGCCAACTCCGACAGACTGGTGCCGGACAAACCCAGCTGCGACACGCGCACACACGCACAAAAACACAGGCACACACAGAACACATTGACAAAGCGTATAGCTGTGCAACAATAAAGGAGACCCACAAACACACATAAGCGCTCAACATTGCTTGGGGTGGGTGGTATGGTTAGTGATTGGCACAGTTGAGATGGCCAGTAAGGTTTAGATGGGCATCGCCGCTTGGATAGTTGAGATGGTTGGGGCGGTAGAGTTGGGCATCGCTGCTTGGAAAGTTGAGATGGTTGGGGCGGTGGAGTTGGGCATCGCTGCTTGGATAGTTGAGATGGTTGGGGCGGTTGGTGATCGCAGTGCAAGTTCCACACTGTTTATCCCCTCCCAGACACTTCCGCTCTCATCCCGTTTAATTTATTTTTCCCCGATCATTGAGTAAGACTGTGTGTTAGGGTATCCGTGTTTTAGTGTGCGAGGATTAGAGGGAATATTAGTGAGTATTAGTGTGTTGCTGCTTTTGTGAGTGTATTATTGTATGACCTGGAAAACTCGTGTGTTAGGGAGTACAAGCGCGTGTTAGTGTGTTCGTGAAATTGGCGAGTGTGTCGTTGTTGTTGGAGAGTGGGCGAGGACCTGAGAGCAGCGCTGTCTCAGCGCCGTCAGGAGCTCCGCTTCCTGATTCTGGCACTGATCCTGCAGCGCCTGCAGACAGCGGCCGAGACGGGCGCTACGAGCCTACACACGAGGATGCAGGGACATCAGGAGACACGGAGTGAGACCATGAGGCACGGGGGACATGGAGAAAGATGAATACGCAGGGACACACAATGAGACACACGGGAACACAGAGATACAGGGAGACACAGGAGGATACATGGAAACGCAAGGACATGAGGAGACATGGAGACACCGTGAGAAATGGGAAAACGGAGATATGGAGACATGGGGACACTGGGACAAATGAGGATACGGAGATACAGGAAAATAGAAACACTCAGGCACAAGGGGATACAACAACACGGGCACCCATAAACACGGGGAGACACATGGCCGTGGAGACATAGGGAAGCAGGGACACGGGAAAACGAGACACAAGGACACAGGGAAACAGGAGAGGCATGAGGAGGGTATGTGGATATCAATTCACAGCAACACAGACATGGGGGCATGGCACGCAGAAACCCAGGACAAAGGGACAAGGAGACACGCGGGGTGACATGGAAAGACACAGAGACACGAGGACACAAAGAGAACACCAAGGGTGCACGTGAGTGTACAACTGAGTATAAATGTGTGCTGGTGTGTATACAGTACAGGTGAGTATGTACAGGTGTATGTGTTGGTGAGTGTACAGGTGGTTGAATGTATTGGTGAGGAAACAGGTGAGTATGTACTGGTGAGTATCCAGGTGAGGGTGCATACAAGTGAGAGTCTAGGTGAATGTGCAGTTGAATGTCCAGGTGAGTGTATAGGTGATTGTTCAAGTGAGTGTCTGGGTGTGTGCATAAGGTAAGATGTCAGGTGAGTGGCCAGGTGTGTAGGTGTGTGCAGGTGAGTGGGATCACCTCCTCCTGCTGCAGCTGCTGCTGTAGACTGGAGCGGTATTGAGGCGTGCGCATGTGAGACATTAACTGCATGTACTGCAGCCTAAATGAGTCTGTACACACACACATATATACACACACATGTACATGTACAAACAAGCCTCTGACCAAATAACCTGGAAAGTACCCAGATCTCAATAGATCTAGGAAACCAAGCAGATTTGAACCTGGACAGTGCCTGAAACAGTGACCACCATGCACACACAGGTTGTTAGAGGGTTGGGGCTGCATGTGTGGCAGCAGAGGACAGTACAGAAAAAGCCACTGTAGTACTGAACTTATATGCAACCACATCTATGCCCTTCACCAACCCGAACCGGTGTGGTTAAGTGTGGTCAAATAACTCCCACGACCCACACACTGGGTGCGGAGTCCTCTATCCAGCAGTGAATTGGTGAAGTGCTGTACATGTACAAAGACAAAAATCACCCGTATAGCCTAAACAGACTGTTGGGGCAAGTGCTGTTAGTGAGCATCTATTGAGACCGCAACAGCACACGAGGTGGTAGGTGGCCAGCACCAAGCTCAGCTGCCTTTGTCTCCTGAGTGCTGATGTTTACACACCGCACCTTGTACACATAAACACACACGCGCGCGTCCATACATTAAAAACCTGCTGCTGAGCATGAACAGGAGGAGCCACCGAAGGCATCGCAGTTTTTCTCAACATGCTGAGCTGCGGTTCAACACGGCCTGTGCGGTCTTCACCGGGAAGGGGGGGGGGAGTTCTTATGTTGACCATTTTAAAGGTAACAGTGGCCAATCGTAGAAAGCCACAAAGGCCACGTGACCAGTCGCATTTTTCCAGTCATATGACAGTGGACAATCAGACACGAACCCAGTACTGGCTACACCTGCATGTAAAAAAAGAACACTTGGGATGAAGTTTAACACATAGGCTTTCGCGACCAATATCATCCATAAGAGGTTTTTTGGGTTAGATCGCGTAAATATATAAATGTGTCGTTAAAACCCGCCACCACCCGACACAACCAACTAGTAAGGGTTGTCACGTAAACAGAACATGCCAATTCGTCAATCGAGAGCCAAGCCACAACATTAACAATCTGAGAACAACGTTTCGCCAGTAATTACAACTAGCTTCATCAGGCGACAGCCAGATTTGTGGAGAAGTCCACCTGTTTCATTATATAGAGGTGTAGATGTGGTGAGCACGCTTCTGCGCTCTTGTGCCACGTGGAGGGGGGGGGGGGGTGAATACAAAACAAGCAGTCATCAATGAGGCATCTCTGTTCACAGTAATTTAAAGTTTTTTAAATTAGACATTTAAAAAATGGTTGAGCGTCCAAAAGCACTTCATTGGAGAGATGGAGTTTTGAAATCAGCTTGTGTGCAGGCACCAAGTGGATTGTTGCATTGCATAATCGTGCAAGGTAGCGGAGGCTTGGGGAGGCCTTTTGTTCAGCAGTGGATTGACCATGGCTGATGATTATGATTCTAGTTGTGTCGGCATGAACGTTATTACACTCACAAGCATGTGCATAGCGTTTCTTACCTATGAGTCTGTACAATGCAGGAGGCGTAGAGGCCATGAGACCAGGGGAAGCACCCAGTCCAGGAAAGGCTTGGGCTAGGCCCCGATAGGGGCTACCTGGGGGGCTCCTGACATCTACACAAACATAAACATCTGTATTGTATATACAAACTACAGACACAGCCAGAGACACTCATACATATACAAAATGTATTCACATTTATATATGCACACATGCATGTCTGTATTCCATGATTAAACTTGCAAACGTATATAGGTGTGCACACAGACGTTTGTATACATGGGCGGTCTTCATATAAATGGTATGCACACATGTACATACAAAAAGATAAATATCCCTTGTATAGCCTACACAAGTTAGTGGGGCAAGTGTTGTTAGTGAGCACCTATGAAGGCTGGCACAGCACACAAGGGGGTGTGTGGCCAACACCACGATGATGATTACATACCACTCATTTAAGGATGATTTGACCTCAGGGGAGGTCCAGGACCAGTTAATATATTCACCACTGATGTTGGCCGTGAGCGAAAATCTAACTCGGGTAGCCAAAATCGTTGCGCAGTGTGCTAACTTGCATACACAACAAAGACATATATCCCCTTAACCTTATCGGGCTGTTGGGGCAAGTGCTGTTAGCGAGAACCTATGAAGGCCGGCATGGCACAGGAGGTGGTGGTGCAGTGAGCACCATGCCTTACCCGCATGCACACGCGCACACGCATCTCTAGGCCACATTTCTAAGCGCACACACGTCGACACGCACGTGGGTTACACACCTGTGCCCTGCACGTGCGTCAGCGTCTGCGCATGCAGCAGCTCCAGCGCCGCGTCCGCAGCCGCCGCTCCACCCCCGCCGACGCTCCCACCCCTCCGAGCAAACCTCTCCACGCCACCACCGCCCGCCCCCATAGGGCTGCCCACAGCGGCACGGGGCTCCACGCCCTTCCTGGGCCTCCCCCTCCTCTTGAGGCACAGGCGCCGCCCCCGCATGCGGCGCAAGCGCGGAACTTTGCTGTTGACACCGGGGCCCAATGCAGGGCCCTTCCCGGACTCCGCCGCTGCTGCTGTTGCTGCTGCCGCCGATGGAGGTGGTGCTGGTGGAGGTGGTGTCCCAGTGGCCGGGCGAGCTGCCTTCTCTTCTCGCTGCTCTATCCGTGGCGCCGACTCCTGTGCAGGCTGTGGGAGGGGGTATGGAGGGGGGGAGGTAAAGGGAGAAAGTGGGGGAGGGGAGAAAGGAGGTGGTTACAGAACTGCCATTGCTGGGCTTCCATAAGGTGAGTGGACGGAAGTCAAGGTGTTGCAGTCACAGCTCCCGGTGAGGTCAGGTGCATTGATCAGTGTGGTCAAGATGTTAGATAAGAGGTCTGATATAAGGTCAAAGATCAGGTGTATGAATTTAGAAGTCACAGCGAGATTGTAAATCAAGAGGTCAGGGTAACGTCAGGATAGGAGTTCAGAGGACCAATGCGGTCAAGATATGAGGTCAGATATCAGGGTAAGGTCAGAGGTCAGGGGTATGTCAGCAAACTAAGTGAAAGGTCACAATCAGATAACGTTAAAATGTGATCCCGCTGTGAAGCTGACGTTAGGTTGTAAGATCGGAGGACGGGGCAAGCTGTGATGTGGCGAGGTCACAATGAAGGGGTGCAACGTCATGGCCATGCAGGAGCAGATCAGCAGATTAATTAATGACTGCTCCACACGAGTGTTGGTAACGAGCACGCGGCCATCGCACTAATCAAGTCGATCATTACTGCGGTGAACAGGAAGGGGGTTTGGGTTGGGGGTGCCTGAGACCTATGACTCCTCTTCCCCCACTAAGGGTCGAAGGTCAGGTATTAGCAGTCCATGCAGGGATTGGCGATGATTAGAGGAGGCAGAAATTGGTTAAGGGTAAGGGTGGAGGGAGGGGCAAGGGTCGGCATGGCAACACTAACGCCATGCTCATAAACACCGCACGCCACAACTTTAGGCCTCGCACCGAGGGGAGCGACGGTTTCAAATGTATGGCTGCACTGCACGAGGTGCGGCGAGGTCCATTAGGGAGAGGGGGAAGGGTGAGGTTAGCGGCTGAGGGGAGGCGCCACCCACCTGCAGGGGGGTCCATCCCTCGGGGGGACAGACCCCAGGGTCACCGCACTGCCCGCACGAGCACGCAAACACGCGGTTACACTCGCGTACATGTACGTACAAAACACATTTACACGTAAAAACACACACACACAAATACAGCAACTTAGCACATAGGTTTTCGCAGCCAAGAATATTATTTACAATTGCATTTTGGATGAGGCCAATTTTGTCTCGCAAGAACCTCCCATTGGAATAAATTGTCAGAATCAGAATCTTTATTTATTTATCCTGGAAGAATCTGATGAGCTACGGAGCTCTTTTTCACGGATGTCCAGTACAGTTTACCACACAGGCTTTCGCGACCAATATCATCCATAGTTTACCACGCAGGCTTTCGCGACCAATATTATCCATAGTTTAACACGCAAGCTTTCGCGACCAACAGCATCCATAGTTTACCACGCAGGCTTTCGCGACCAATATCATCCATAGTTTACCATGCAGGCTTTCGTGACCAATATCATCCATAGTTTAACACGCAGGCTTTCGTGACCAACATCATCCATAGTTTACCACGCAGGCTTTCGCGACCAATATCATCCATAGTTTACCATGCAGGCTTTCGTGACCAATATCATCCATAGTTTAACACGCAGGCTTTCGTGACCAACATCATCCATAGTTTACCACGCAGGCTTTCGCGACCAATATCATCCATAGTTTACCATGCAGGCTTTCGTGACCAATATCATCCATAGTTTAACACGCAGGCTTTCGTGACCAATATCATCCATAGTTTAACACGCAGGCTTTCGTGACCAACATCATCCATAGTTTACCACGCAGGCTTTCGCGACCAATATCATCCATAGTTTACCACGCAGGCTTTCGCGACCAATATCATCCATAGTTTACCATGCAGGCTTTCGTGACCAATATCATCCATAGCTTAACACGCAGGCTTTCGTGACCAATATCATCCATAGTTTAACACGCAGGCTTTCGTGACCAATATCATCCATAGTTTACCACGCAGGCTTTCGCGACCAATATCATCCATAGTTTACCATGCAGGCTTTCGCGACCAATATCATCCATAGTTTACCACGCAGGCTTTCGCGACCAACATCATCCATAGTTTAACACGCAGGCTTTCGTGACCAACATCATCCATAGTTTAACACGCAGGCTTTCGTGACCAACATCATCCATAGTTTACCATGCAGGCTTTCGCGACCAATATCATCCATAGTTTAACACGCAGGCTTTCGCAACCAACATCATCCATATTTTACCATGCAGGCTTTCGCGACCAATATCATCCATAGTTTACCATGCAGGCTTTCGTGACCAACATCATCCATAGTTTAACACGCAGGCTTTCGCGACCAATATCATCCATAGTTTAACACGCAGGCTTTCGCGACTAATATCATCCATAGTTTAACACGCAGGCTTTCGCGACCAACATCATCCATATTCTTTGGTTCTTTCGGTAAATCCACGTAGAATGAGAATAAAATAATAAATTGATAAAATAAAATAACACAATAAAATTCTCATGACGTTTCAGCCACAACACAAGCAGCCTTCATCAGGTGGCCGAAACGTCGTGAGAATTTTATTGTGTTATTTTATTTGATCAATTTATTATTTTATTCTCATTCTACGTAACTTTACCGAAAGAACCAAAGAAGATGAATCCTTGCAGTCATGAAAGCTTTAAATCGAAAAATATCATCCATAGTTTAACACGCAGGCTTTCGCGACCAATCTCATCCATAAAACAGGTTGTTTTGGGTTAGTTCATGTAAATAATTTTATAATAAATCATACATTTTATTTACACGATCTAACCAAAAAAACAGTATAAGCGTTTAACATGGAAAACCATTATTCCTTCAGCACTTAAAGGACAATTCTCACGACAAAATGTATCTAATAATTGTATCTAATCGAGTCTAATCGATACATCTGATTGTGAAAATTGTTCTTAAACTAACCCAGTGAGACAAAACAATAACATTCGGAAACAAAATAATAAAACAGAAGCAATGATGAACAGGATGGAGGGCAATAATAGGGGTTTTTTCCCCTTTTTTCTGGCAACAAAACTGAAACCTTTTTACAAGGATTCATGTCTGCATTATCCACAATACCTGCAGTCAAAATGCAAACAAAAAACATACTATGATAATATATGCATTGTCCTTGAAACTGATTGGTCCACACCAAGGGACGCTTTCTTTTGAACCTCGACCCAATTGGTGCTCGACCACATGATGCCAAAAGGCGTACAGCTCAAAGACAATGCACTATCAAAGTAATGAGGGCTCGGGGTGAGCATCTACATCATTAGACCTCCTTTGCCAGTACCAAAATGTAATAATAGGTTTTCCCCCTTTTTTGATTGGTGTGGACCAATCAGTTTCAAGGACAATGCATATATTATCATAGTATGTTTTTTGTTTGCATTTTGACTGCAGGTATTGTGGTTAATGCAGACATGAATCCTTGTAAAAAGGTTTCAGTTTTGTTGCCAGAAAAAAGGGGGAAAAAACCCTATTATTACATTTTGGTACTGGCAAAGGAGGTCTAATGATGAGGATGGAGGGCTTTTCGAAAGCCACTTGATGTGATCATGAAAAGCAGCGCACAGGCGTGGGAAGAAAAATGCGTTCAAACAATGCATGCCGCCAGAAACTACGGTTAGAAAAACACGGAATCACGGCAAAAGGAAATGAAAGATGAAAAACGTGAAATCAAGCATGGTGGAATTGAAATGAGTTTGTGGATCAGGCAGCAAAGGTAAATAATTCCGACGTCAGAAAAGCCAAGTGGGCTTGGACAGGGCACACATTGCTAGAAAGGACGATGACTAGCGGATGAGACTGGTGATGGAATGGCAACCAAAGGATAGAAAACAGTCCAAGAGGCGATGGCATGGGGAAGCCTTCATCTAGCAGTGGGTAGAGAATGACTGATGTTGAAGATGACACACATACAGACGTACTGGCCATGTATATTTAATTGTAAAAAAATATATTACATATATACACATACTGTACAATATATATGTACCGTGGAGGGGTGAGTGGGTGAATGAACAAGTGACCGAGTGAGTGGGTGAACGAGGAGTGGGTGGGTGAGCTAATCAGTGGGCGATTGGAAGAGTCAATGACTATTGAACTATTATTCAGGAGGGTCTTGCATTGTGTTTTTTTTATGTTTTAGCCAAGTAATGAGTGATTATACATGTGGCAGGAAATCGGAGCTTCCAGAGAAAACCCACGCATGCGAGGGGGGCAACACGATCCTCATACATATGGAAAGAGATGCCGAATATTCTACTTGCTGTGCTGCCTTCTGCTGGCGAGGCAGGGCGTGGCACCTTCAAGTAAGCAGGTGAGCAAAGGGTGGGGTGAGTGATTGAGTGAGTGAGAGCGAGCGAGCGGTGGCGAGGAGTGAGCGAGTGAGTTCACCTTGCAGGGGCTATTGGAGCTCCCCTTGTTCTCTTTGTCTTTCTGCTGCCGGCGACGCACCGCCTCCTGCTCCTCCTGCACTCAGGAGACGCAGATAAATTAGTAAATACGGGCACGCAGACTTCAGAACAGACACATGTTGTTATTATTATGCAGGAAAGACCAAGTCTCGGGACTTTTTAAGGAGGGTTGTGCCAAGTTTTTGGAGTAGGGGATGAAGATTGCTCTGTACAATTAAATCTTGGTACACATGAAAATCTGGGACATGGTGATGTGGAGACATGAAGACATTAGGAAACGGAGACATGAAGAGAGGGACAAGAAAACATTTGAATACAGGGAAACAAGTACATGGATGACACGGAACATGAGACAGAGACACAGTGACACGGTACACAGGTACATGGAGACATGGGGATAAGAAAACAGAGACATGGATAATGAGACATGAGGACATGCTAGCCCCATCTGGTTGAGGGTGTCAATGACGAGAGGTAATACATCTCAATGGACTGTTTCCTTCTTGAGAATAGGTTTTCCCCTTTTTTTCTGGCAACAAACAGGTGTTAAGATTTTACAACACCAAACTAAAACCTTTTACAAGGAATCATGTCTGCATTAACCACAATACTTGTGGTCAGAATGCAAACAAAAAAGTCTGATAATATATGTATTGTCCTTGAAACTGATTGGTCCACACCAGAGACAGCTTTCTTTTGAGCCTAGTCTCAAAACGGTGTTAGACCAGAGGACGCCAAAAGGTGTACAGCACAAAAACAATGCCACTATCAGAGTAATGAGAGCTCGGGGTGAGCAACTACATAATGGGACCTCCTTTGCCAGTACCAAAATATGAAAATAGGTTTTCCCTTTTTTATGGCAACAAACAGTATTTATAGATAACCTTTATTTTATCTATACTGGATCTCAGTGGGGAACCTCAAGTGTTAAATGAAGGATCTCAATCACAATAAATGTCAATGGTGTCTCGCCTGGCTAATTTTAGGAAGTCAATGTACCGATGAACCTCAATGGGCTCTCACATGGCAAAATAATGGACACCAATGCCAAGAGGCGGTAAGAATCTCAATGGGTTCTCCCTCAGCTCAATCAGAGTCGAGGTGACATCAGCGTGACCACTCACCCTGACTTTGGGGTTCTTGAGGCTCGAGAAGTAATTCTCCAACTAAAGCAAACACAACAAGGTCAGCAGTGTCAGTGGTGGTGATGGGTGGTGGTGATGATATTGATATGGTAGTGATACGGTCGTGGTGCTGATGATGATTGTATGTGATGACGGTGGTGGTGGAGTTTATGATATCATGGTGGTGATGACACTATGATGGTGGTGGTCATGGAGGTTATGGTGTAACGTTGTCTCAAAACAGTCTGGTTGAAAGAGTGTAGGGGTGTGTACTGTGTGTTATGTGTAAATGTGCATCAATATGTGTGTTGTGTGTATATTGGTAGTGTATTGAGGGGAGTGGTCATGAAGTAGTTAGCCAACTGCGCTACGAACCCTGAAACTTGAGTTTTTCCCGTTCACGGCTAACATCAGTGGTTAACATCAGTACGAGCCTCCCCCTAGGACGCCTCAACCTGAAATGACTGCCTAGTGCAGCGTTTAAACACGAGCAGTGGGAAGACCAAGGCGGTTGGACGTAGTTCTGGCCACACCACCCCCTTCATGCACCGTGCCGGCTTTCATAGATGCTCACGAATAGCACTTCCCCCAACAATCTGTTCAAGGCATTGTGGGGGACTTTGGCCTTTGTGTGCATGTGTGTCTCACGATGGTACGGTCGATGGTGTGTAGGTAGTACGACACAGGCTTCCCCGTCCACGACACGGAGCCCTTGAGGGGAGACAGCTCCACCACCCGCATTATCGTGCCTATGTCTGCACACAGGGACACACGGGTGAGACACAAGGCAAGACACACGGGGAGACATGGGGACACGCGGAGACAAATCAACACACTGACACACACCTGCCCATGTGAGACACAGAATCAGAATCTTTATTTATACTGGAGGAATACAATGAGCTGTGAAGCTCTTTTTCACAAATGTCCAGTAGGGGCATGTCAGCAAGTTACAACAACAAACAATACACTTTGAGCAGCCCAGGACACACAACTTAAGCGTGATTACAAGAGAAGAGCCATCATGATCGCTGTGCAAGTGATGATGCCGGTTTCTTACCACTCAGGTTCCTGCTGTTGATTCTGAAGTTGAGAGGAGCAAAGGGCTTAGATGACACAATCTTCCCTCCTGGCAACACACATAAAACACGCATGCAGGAGCAGCAACATCAGTGGTGAGATAATCGTCACCAGCAGTTACACGAACAAATCATAACTGCTTCATCGTCAGCAGCGGTAACCATCATCATAGTAGCCGCAACGTCATTGGAGACATCAGCAGTAGCAGCACCGGCAGCCTAATCACAGTCAGCAGCAAGGACATCACTTCTATCATCAGTCATTGCCAGCAGCATCAGTAGCAACATCGTTAGACACATCAACAACTTCACCATCGCCGCCACAATGGGGTGTATGTGTGGCTCAGTGTCTACTATGCGAAGTGCAGGGTCTGTAGTGTGACTGTGGAGGATGCGATGGTTGTTCTGCTTATTGCTGTGATCGTGGTTTATAGTGCCACTACTCACGCTCCTTCATGTTGGCGAAGCGTTCCTTCAGCTGATGGTCGACCTCTGGTCCAAACGCGAAGTTATTGACGAACACCACGCTGCAAACAGGACACGTCACAGTCAAGGGGAGTGTTTATTTATTTTGTTTTTATACAACTGCTGACGACAGTACATGTGTGTGTGCCCATGGGGAGCCATAGTGTAGCGGTTAGCATGGTGCGCGAAGAGCTCAGAAACCCAAGCTCGATTTGCACTCACGGCCAACATCGGTGACGAATATCTGAAACGGTCTTTGGAACTTACCTCATATAACTCAGCTTCAAATGAGTACTTGGTGCGAAGTGTAACTATAGCCACTCAGGAGACAAAGGCGGCCAGGCATGATGCTAGTCACCCACCTCCTCGAGTGCCGTGCCGGTCTTCATAAGAGCTCCATTACAGCACTTGCCCCAAAAGTATTTTAAAGCTATTTGGGGCTCTTAGTTTTTGTGCACGCACGTCTATACATGTGTGTATGATATCCTACGTTAGCACCTGGTGGTGGCGATCCTGTCCAACCACTCATCAGATAGAAAGTCTCCTTTCTCCAGCTGCAAACAAATAGCAACACCACCATAAGCAAAGTTAGTATTCTCGTAATCACTATCAACACAATCAACATCACCCACATAATAATAATCATCAAAATCATTACTATCAACAAAAATGACATGAACATCATTAACACTCTGTCCTTAAGTTTATTTAAATATCCATACCATAAAAAGAAACATCAACAATACAATGACCACGAGCAACACCAACAACACCAAACACACCATTGTTATTACCACAACCAAACAACTGTTGGTGTAGTGGGTGGAATGTGCTGCATGCACTGTGGGTGTGTAATGTGTGTCGCGTGTGAAGAGTGAATGGTAAATGTTGTGGTAATTCGTGAGTATCTTTACCGTGTAGTCTCCATGCTTCTTGCCGTACCACCGCATCCACTTCTTAAACTCTACATGCATAGACTAGAACCGACAACATCACCATCATTAGCTCCTTACCTTGTTTCCACGTCTCCCCCATGCTTCCTTGTGTCTGTGTCCCCATTTTGCTCATCACCTCCCCGTTTCTCCTAATGCCTCTTACAGTGAGGGAAAAAAGTATTTGATCCCCTGCTGATTTTGTACGTTTGCCCACTGACAAAGAAATTATCAGTCTATAATTTTAATGGTAGGTTTATTTGAACAGTGAGAGACAGAATAACAACAAAATAAAGAAAAACGCATGTCAAAAATGTTATAAATTGATTTGCATTTTAATGAGGGAAATAAGTATTTGACCCCCTCTCAATCAAAAAGATTTCTGGCTCCCAGGTGTCTTTTATACAGGTAACGAGCTGAGATTAGGAGCACACTCTTAAAGGGAGTGCTCCTAATCTCAGCTTGTTACCTGTATAAAAGACACCTGTCCACAGAAGCAATCAATCAGATTCCAAACTCTCCACCATGGCCAAGACCAAAAAGCTCTCCAACTCAACTCGCCGTGTTTGGAGGAGGAGGAATGCTGCCTATGACCCCAAGAACACCATCCCCACCGTCAAACATGGAGGTGGAAACATTATGCTTTGGGGGTGTTTTTCTGCTAAGGGGACAGGACAACTTCACCGCATCAAAGGGGCGATGGACGGGGCCATGTACCGTCAAATCTTGGGTGAGAACCTTCTTCCCTCAGCCAGGGCATTGAAAATGGGTCGTGGATGGCTATTCCAGCATGACAATGACCCAAAACACACAGCCAAGGCAACAAAGGGGTAGCTCAAGAAGAAGCACATTAAGGTCCTTGAGTGGCCTAGCCAGTCTCCAAACCTTAATCCCATAGAAAATCTGTGGAGGGAACTGAAGGTTCGAGTTGCCAAACGTCAGCCTCGAAACCTTAATGACTTGGAGAAGATCTGCAAAGAGGAGTGGGACAAAATCTCTCCTGAGATGTGTGCAAACCTGGTGGCCAACTACAAGAAACGTCTGACCTCTGTGATTGCCAACAAGGGTTTTGCCACCAAGTACTAAGTCATGTTTTGCAGAGGGGTCAAATACTTATTTCCCTCATTAAAATGCAAATCAATTTATCACATTTTTGACATGCGTTTTTCTGGATTTTGTTGTTGTTATTTTGTCTCTCACTGTTCAAATAAACCTACCATTAAAATTATAGACTGATCATTTATTTGTCAGTGGGCAAACGTACAAAATCAGCAGGGGATCAAATACTTTTTTCCCCTCACTGTATGTCTCCCCATGTCTTTCCATGGTACGTACCTCCTCCATGTATCTGCGTCTTCCATACCCCCCTGTATTTCCCCATGTATCTGCATGTCCCTGTGCCTCACCTCTGCGTATCGAGCTGGGATTTCTGCCTTCTCCACACCGTAGCAATGCTTACAGGGAGTGGCGGCAGCCACCTGTAGCACCACCTGACCTACACCTACAGGACACGTGGGGAGACGCAGGGACATGGGGAGAGACGAGATTTGTAAACGGTGGCACTGGGAGAGAGGGGAAGGCATGGTGAAGTCACAGGGACATACCGGGATTCACAGGGATACAGGGAAAACGGCAGATGTAATCAGTAATTAGGTATGGGGAAACAGAGAGACAAAGGAATGCCACAGGCACACATGAGGAAACACAGGGAGTAATGAAGAGAAATGAAGGCAAAGGAATGCATGAGGAAACGGAAGCATGATGAGATATGAGGAGACGTGACCGGAGCACATGAGAAAAAACACAATGAGACATCGGAGGCTTGTTTTGATATGAGAAGGCACAGTGTGATATGGTCACATGTAAACAGAAACAAGAAGATACAGAAAGACAACGAGAGACACGTAAATACCCGAGCACACGTGAGGAGACACAGGGAAACATTACAACGCGGAGTGGCGACCCGAAGTCGGATCGCGCACCGATCTGCTCACCACTGCCCAGGTCGACGAAGGTGTCATCCTCGGTCATCTGCACCTCGTCGATCATCTGAGCGACAAGGTCGAAAGAGGTCTCCCCGTACACCTCGGGCGAGAAGGGCTCGTAGTTGTTGAGCTTGTCGGGGTCGGTCACCGAGTGGTTGTACACCTGCTGCAGGATGTGGCGCAGAAGCCCCGTGCACGGCCGCGTCTGCATCCGCATGGGTCTTGCGGTGCCCGCCCACTGTTGGGGGGGGGAGGGGGGAAGGCGTGGTGCGGAGGGGAGAAATTAACAGAAGGAAGATGTGGGGAGGAGAGGGGCAGAGGAGAGGGGCAGACGTGGGTAGGAAAGGAGAGACATGGAAACACAGCGAGAGGGGAGAAAGTGGTGAGTGGGAGGAGATGGGAGGCACGGGGTGAAGGGAGACATGGGGAAGAAAAAGGGATACAAGAAAAAGGGGAGAGACACAGAGAGGGGATGGAAGACATGGGAAGGAGACAGGAGGTATGGGGAGATAAGATTAACACAAGGAAACAAGACAGCTCATTATGGAGTGGTTTGTGCCATTAGTGCTCGTTTAGATGTGAGTGGGCGAGGCTCTCACCAGCTGATGGATGCTGTCGATTGCCCGATTGTATTTATCGCACAGCTTCTGCATACTCTCAAAACTACATAAACATCAACACCATCAGCAACAATGTTAGCTCAAATTTTGATTTAAAGCTTTCGTGACTGCAGGGATTCATATTCTTGGTTCTTTCGGTAAAGTCACGTAAAAGGGAAACAATAAAATAATAAAAATATAAAACAATAAATTTCAACCGAGAAGATGGATTCTGGCTTAGCAATCATTGGAAGGATTTGATAAACCATTTCGGGTCTTAATTGATTGATCACGCTTAAGGTGGCTTTCAGACCGCATCCATTATTTTTCGTCTCCCCCCTCCTCTTTTCCGAACATAGATGGACTCGTCCATCTAAACAAACTGTGAAATCTCTCTCCGTGGTGCTAACGTTAAAAAAAACGCCACTTTTTTCAAAATTTCTTATTGTGGTTTTCACACCTGATGATGATTGCTTGTGTTGCAGTCGAAACGTCGTGAGAATTTTATTGTTTTATATTTTTATTATTTTATTGTTTCCCTTCTACGTGACTTTACCGAAAGAACCAAGAATATAATGTTAGCATCAATACCAACACCACAATCATCACAACTAATTACATACATCAACATTACCATCATCAAAACTATACTCATAATATCAATACCATCAACATATACATAAATATTTGTACTTGAATTGTAAATGTTGTGGATTTATTACTCTCCAACACACTGGTGTCCTGAAATAGTACCGAATTGGCATGTTTTGTTTACGTGACAAACCTTACTAACTAGCCTTTTGCCCGTCCAAGGACGGGTGTATTGCAGTAAATCTGAAACTTGCAAGCAAAAAGCAGACCGCGACGTGACATTCATTGCATCAATGCGTGTGCAATTTGTAAGGGCGCGGTGACACAGACCTATTTCATTTTAAGGTTATAATCCCTTGTTCATCAGGACGTCCTTTTTACTTTGATGTCTCAACAGCGTTACGGAGATCGCGTGACGTGAGGGAGGAAGAGGCACCTCGGCCCCCCATGTGGAGTGATGTCAGCTGCTAATTATTATTAATGGTGGGGTGTCCATTTGGAGGACGTCACCTTATAATGATTATTAATGAGGGGGGCTGTTCAATGTGGAGTTAGTCACCTGCTCATGATTATTAATGAGGGGGGCTGGTCGACGTGGAGTGACGTCACGAGCGTTACACACAGACATTCTTGGCTCATTATAGTAGGTAATAATAATGGGGGGGGGGGTGTTCTTTTGTACGGCGTCACCTGCTCTATATTATTAATGAGGGGGGCTGTTCGATGTGGAGTGACATCACTTGCTCGTGATTATTAGTGTGGGAGGGGGAGTACTCCATATTGAGTGACATCACCCGCTCATAATTATAAATGAGGGGTGGGGGGGTGTAAATTTGGAGGACGTCACCTGCTCATGGATATTAATGAGGGGGACTGGTCGATGTGGAGTGACATCACGAGCATTCAGGACAGACATTCCTGGGTAATTATAGTAGGTATTGGCTGTGTCGGGTGGTGGCGGGTTTAACGACAACATTTATATTTACACGATCGCACCCAAAAAGCCTCGATAATTGATACATAAATAACATCATTAACATTAAGACCACCACCAACACCAGTGTTAGCATTAAGGAAGGTGTGAGTGTCAGGGTTAGAGTGAGTGTTAGTATATATTTTTTTACAGTTACTGAGCACAGACGATGACCGAGCCTCAAAACGTAAAGCGACCAACAACAGAACTGTCAAAGTTGTCCATAATCCAGGTTTTTCTTGGGTGAGATCACGTAAATATAAATGTGTCGTTAAACCCGCCATCACCCGACACAGTCACAGCAATGTTTGTCACGTAAACAGAACATGCCAATTCGTTACTAGTACAGCATACCGGTGTTGGAGAAAATCCACAACATTTACAATCGGAGTACGACGTTTTGTTGGTAATTACAACGAGCATCATTAGGCGGACAGCCAGATGTGGGGAAATCCTCTTGTTTCATTCCTTAAATAGAGGGATAGATGTGATGACGTCAATTGTGAGCTCTTGTACTAGATTATAATTCATACGTTTTTGTATCAATGAGCAAGGCTCAAGCAGTGCGAGGAAAGAAGCAGATAAATTAAGTGTTTTGACTTCTGGTGTGGTGGCTAAACACAGCATCGTTTAGTCAAAATAGTCAGCCTGGTATACTAGGCCCTCAACATGGGTGGACAAATCAATCGGTGAAGTTCACGCGACCAGTAACCAGAGTAGTGTTGGGGCTAGGACTGCAGTAGTAGTAGTTAGAGCGAGTACCTCTTGGTGTCGTAGTCCACAAGGACGTGAGTCTCCATGGCCATTTTCAGCTCGGGCACCTCCTCACTCACCCACCTGGGTTCACACACACACATATATACGGCATATATAAATATAAACACACGCAAAGATGCCCCATTTATAATTACATACTATTGGGGAAAGTACTGTCATTAAGTACCTATTAAGACTGGTATTGCACACAGGAGTAGTTTTGGCACACCACTCAAAGAGACATATACAAGTGGAATAGTTACACACAGAGGTACACACAAATATATACAGACAACCGCTATTTGCCATGAAATGGAGGTGACGTCACCACGACGCTTATGCCAGTCTAGGTGTTCCTTGAGAATACGTGAACGTCGAAGGTTTTCCGGCAGGTCACAGGACAGAGCCAGGTGCCATGGGTTGACTATGATGATTGCCAGATGGCACCACCTGAGCTCCCCACTGTGCCAAATTGCTGCGTTTAAGCCACCCGGCACTCCCATCAATATTGAGCGTCACTCCTTTGCCCTCCGCTGTTATTGGCGTGTGACCGCTTCCAACTACCTAGTAGCGTCCTCCACGAGACTCTTCCAGAGGCCAATCTTGACACCGCTGGTGCCAGTTATTGACAAGTCCAATCAGCTCCACATCCTTTTTGTATTGCAATCAGCCCATCTCTTTTCTAGTCCATGCCGTGCCCAATTAGCACCCTCTATCCAGCCAAAAAGAAGCTGTTTGGGCATTGAGTAGTTGGACATGACCAAGCTAATGGAGCCTCGTCTACCAACGCTCACCGATGGGACTGGGTCCAGATCTTTCAAGGATCTACAAGCTCCTCGCACAATCTAGTCTGGTTAAAGCCAGGATGAATTGTAGGAAGGTCAGCCTAAATGTTTCAAAGCAGTGCATATGTTCCTTTAAACGTTTCACAAGTACAGATGAGGGGGGGCATCCAGGGTGGTAGGAGGGTAAGATATTTTTGTTGGTATTTTGTACTCTAAAAAAATATTGTACCGTAATTTCATACTGTACCTTTGAAAACATTTTCGCACCGTACTTTTAAACAGTTTTCCGTACCGTACCAATATGGTAAATTTCGTACCGTAATTTCGTATCTTATTTCGTACCTAAGAGAAAAAAGCTTAGAAAATAAATAGATAACAAGCAAGCTTATAGTATATCGTTTTGCTTGATTGTTTTGGAAGAAAGCTCCTTCCACTTAAAAAAACTTATATAAACGTGTTCTGGATTTTTTTTGCTCGAATTGACAAACAATTATTGAACCAAAATTGCACAATTTCGAAATATTGATTAAAATACTTTACATTCTTATCCGTTATCAATGGAAAGTGGCATTTTAATAAATGAATCTTGCCTGACGTTTAAGTTTTTGATAACTGATGTGTTAAATTCTTGTAGCCGCCTTTATATACAAGAGAGTAGAATCATTATCAGAAATAAAGAAGCTTAGCTTCTAATTAATTGATCACCTGAGTTGATATAAAAACAGTACGAAAACACATACTTTTGTACCGTACCAGAAGAAAAAATATCGTATCGTAATATCGTACCGTATTTAAAAAACAAAAATTCCCATATTGTACCGTACTGCCACCTTTGGTGGTCATAACTGTGGCCGAGAATATCTGCAGCTTTTTTTTTTAATAGAGAAATAAGTCAGCTTCCACACAACGTTACGCAACTGATGAAAAGATCCTGCTCGACTGATTCGGAGCGAGAGCTTCGTTGCCAAACCAGAGCTGGTCATAAGCACGGACAACTTCTCTAACCTCCCTAAAACTAACCTCATCACAAATGGGACGTTTTTTTTATTTTTGTGGGGCTGATGGCAAGGTCCCATATCCACACAAGACAGGCAATACAAGACAGAAAACACTCGTATAGCCTTAACAGACTTTGGGGAAAGTGCGAGTTAGCGAGCATGCTGCGGTCCAGAGGCACACACACACACGTATACAGAGACACACACAGCTCCATAGACATGCGCGTGTGCACACAAATCGGTACACACATACACAGGGACACACATATACGCGCGCATGTACACACACAACTGTCCCCCTCACCTGATGGTCTCTATGATTTCATGAGCAGCGTCGTGGTGTTTATCCTGCAACGACACCCAAAAGTATAATTCAGTGTTCGAGTTCAACGTAGTGTGAGGATTAGCTTTTAGTATCAGGCTTGGGGGTGTACCAGGTTGGTAATAGTGTCAAGTTAGAGTGTTATGGTTTGATTAGTGTTAAGGGTAAAGGTTAGGGCTTGGACTAATACAAAAAATAGGTTTATTGTTCGGGCTATTGATAGTATTCGGATGAGTTTTAGTGGTATGGCACGTGTTGGTGTTCGGATGAGTGTTAGTGCTAGCACAGTATGTGTTACGATCACTGTTCCGGCTAGTGTTGGTATTACGGCTAGGGTTGGAGTCAATATTAAGGTTAGACCAGTGCTAATGTTCGGGCCACTGTTAGGAATAAGGCTGATATTATTGTTAAAGCAAGGGATAGTGTCGGTGTTATGGCTAAGGATGGTACGTCTTCGGAACAGTGTTAGAGCGAGAACTAGTGTAAGGGTCAGTGCTATGGCTAGGAGTAGCGTTAGGGTTAGGACTATGGGTCAGTGTTAGGGCTAGAACTAGCGTTAGGCTCGGTGTTAGGGTTAGTGTTAGGACTAGGGCTCGTGCTAGGGTCCGTGCTAGTTATAGGGCTGGTGCTTGCGTCAGTATTAGGGCTACTTGTTAGGCAGTGAAGGCAGGAGACGGAGACTCACGTAGACCGGCAGAGGCCACGGGTAGACCGCCGGCTCCACGCCGCTGGGGCTCTTCAACCTCAGCTCCCGCGTGTCTGCGGCCTTGTCTCCCATGGCGGAGACCCGGGTCGATGGAGACCCGGGTCGGAGGGAGACGGGAGAGACGCGGGGGCAGAGGAGGGCGGGACACGCTGAGGGGGACACGGGGAGAATCAGGGAGACACGGGGAGGCCAACAGAGGCAGGGAGACACGAGGATTTTACGGGACAAGAGGAGACGCTTGGACAAACTACGAGACACGGGGAGAGGCCGGGGGTGGGGGGGGGAGACACGGGGAGTCACAGGGAGTAGAAAGACACGGGGAAATGGGGGGACACGGCAAGATGTGGGGAGACCTGGGGCAGAGAAGGGAGACGCGGGGACACACTGGGAGTAGGAGGGGGACACGGGGAGACGCGGGGAAGAGGAGGGAGGCACGGGGAGACCCGGGGACACGAGTCCCTGTGCCGCCTTGAAGCCGGGTCCCAGGGACCCCGCGCTTCTCTTCCGTTTGTTCGTGTTTTTTTTACCGAGGCCTTGGGGGGAGGCGGACCCGGCCTCCTCCATAGAAACCAATGGCTGGGGACGACTCTGCCGCTCTGCCAGAAGTCCTCTACCATCTTCCGGAAGATCTCTACCGTCTTCCAGAAGGCAGAGACCTCTTTGTATTGAAACTCGCGGCGGCTTCCGGCTGCCGACTCTTCCGGAAGTTCATTCCGCCCGTTTTTTTACAACTTCCGGAAGAGGCCAACCGGCAGAGGGTGGGGGTGGTCGTAAGGGGTGGGGAAGGGGGGGGGGTTTCCCATCACGTGACCGATTGGCGCACGTGCCGTCACGTGACCCGCGTTCCCACCATTGACGTCATGGGAGTCTCCTCGCGATCTGGTTGTAACGGAACCGTGCAGCACCGTCTCGTATTTCATTAAATCACACAGATAACTTTAAATGCATTAAATAACCGCAACAACATCTCAGTATTATCACACAATGAAATTATACACTTCGTGATTTTCCCCAACATGTCACCATTACACCAAAATAAAAATGTGTTTTTTTTGTTAAATCACGCCGCCTACTACATTACATGAGGCTCCAGTGTTGCAATCATGTGAAGAATTCAGCCGGTTGATAAAGTCGCTAACTGTACAACTTAATTTGCACCGTACGAAACAAAAACAACTTTTGCCATTCCGCAAATGGCACGTGGCCTTCGCCTGCCCACCCCCACTGCGCTGGGCCAATCAGCGCTGTCCCCCCCCCGCCCATGCGGACTGGGGAATCTGAAAGGGTTGGGGGGCCAAGGTGACCCCCAGGTGGGACGGGGGGGGGCCGAGGGCAAAGGGTCAAGGGTCGCGGCGAATCGACTGAGAGTTCAGTTTTCAGTTGTATTTATTTTGGTATAGCCCTGTGAGCCATTCGGCTCTTGAATCGGGTGCAACAGCAACAAACAAAAAACAAAAACATGAACAAGAAATTTCGATTTAAAGCTTTCGTGACTGCAATGATTCATCTTCTTTGGTTCTTTCGGTAAAGTCACGTAGAATGAGAATAAATGTGTATGCTTTAACTTAGCTATTTCAATGCTAAATTATATGCTAATTCCATTGTCAAGGGGTGCCTCTGCGGATGTGTATGCTTTAACTTTTAACATAACTATTTCTGTGACCAGTCACAAGCTAATCATTCAGCCATTTCAATGCTAAATTATATGCTAATTCCTTTGTCAAGGCGCTTTGTTCCTCTCACACAGCTTAAAGGCCGTGATCTGAACGTGGCTCTTTCACTCCAGCGCTGTCCTACCAGACAGTCTCGTCCCTTCACCTGATGAAGGCCGCTTGAGTTGTGGCCGAAACGTCGTGAGAATATTATTGTGTTATTTTATTTTATCAATTTATTATTTTATTCTCATTCTACGTGACTTTACCGAAAGAACCAAAGAAGATGAACAAGAAAACATCTTAAAGTGACTATGTGACTGTACAAACATAAACTCCATGAAAAAAACAGCAAAATATTCCAGAAAAAGCACCGTACACCAACGCTGTGTGCAAAAATCCCAGTGGGATGCAAGTCAAACAACAACAACAACCACAAGACAACTTAGATTAAAGCCATCCGTTTAACTCCGTACAACAACAAACAAACATGGCCAAACCAAAAAACGTTTTCGAAATCACCAAAATAAAGCCATAAAAGCAATGCAACAGTGAACAGAGGGGGCATCCGTCTTGCATCTCGCTTAATCTCCTCGTTACAATTGTATTGTCTGAACCGGTCATTGGAACCACCCGTGGGTCGACTCAGCCTCAAGTTAGTACTTGGTGTGATGTGTGAACTCACTGGCGGCCGGGCGTAGGGCTGCCCACCCACCCCGTCGTGTGCCACAGTGCTGGCCTTCATAGGTGCTTCTCGGAAACATAAATTGTCCCCAACAGTCTGTTAAAGGCAATAATTATACTAATTAAATATAGTGCTTTTCATTTAGGATCTCAAAGCGCTGTACAGGACGCAGAAGCAGCAGCAGCAGACACTCAGCATAAAAAATAACAAGCACATTTTAAGAATAATTGGTGAAATGAACTAAACGTTTAATAAGTGGAAGCGTATAAATATATTTTCAGGCGCATTTTTTAAAAAATGTCCACAGACTCAAGAGATCGCTGATATCTCGTGGAAGAGCGTTCCATAGCCTGGGGGCTACACGGGAAAAATCTCGGCCACCCATAGACCGAAATCTCGACCTGGGAATGCAGAGAAGATCTGCATCCCAAGATATTAAGATAAGTGTAACCTCAGGTATATATTTGTGACAAATCTCCGCAAACCTAGCCCTGCTCGAACACAAATGAAAGAAAAAAATACACAACGACCAAAAATAACATGAATATACTGTCGTTTATTAAACTGTGTAAAACCCACGTGGCATTGTATTAGTGTGGTAAATGTATGCGTGTACGTGTATAACAGTCCTTTTGTCACTCGATTGCTGGGTTAATTTGTAATTTTGGTGACCCCAGGGTCGCTGTTGTCAATGCGACTCTCGTGCTGATCTTTTGAGTTCTCTCAACTAGTTAATCAAAATAAATGTAACACATTTGAGCTGGGGAGAGTGGGGGGCTATATCACCATACCCCCCTACGCTGGTCAGTGTGGAAAGCTGAAGGCTGGGAGCATTAGGCGTGGGAGCATAGAAGTTATCCACAACGTCGGTATTTTTTGGGTTAGATCGCGTAAATTTAAATGTTTCGTTAAACCCCGCCACCACCCGCCACAGCCAAACAGTAATGTTTGGGTTTAACGACACGTTTATATTTACGCGATCTAACTCCCCCCTTAGTCGCGATAGCCTCCTTTGACGGCGTTTAAAGCGTCGCAAAGTTCCACAATCACGTCGACGGGCCGACTGCGCTGCCCTCTGCCGGCCGAACCAGCGCCGCCGCCGCCGCTAGACTCTGGAGCGGCGGCGCTGGAGGTCAAATAAACCTCGGAGCTGGCAACGGGAACACAGCGCGTTTTTAATTTACACTTCTCACTCGGCTCACCGTCCGCTTGAGGCCGCGGTCTGATTTCTCTTCTCCTCCTCCTCCACCACCTTCCTTCCTTCCACCGTCGTCATGGCGAGCGAGCCGAGCGCGGACGTTCGCCTCCGCCGCCAGCAGATCTTCACCCTGCGGCGGCAGTGGCTGCGCGACCAGGAGCTGAGCCCCCGGGAGCCCGCGACGCAGCTCGCGGCGCGGACCGGCCCCGTCGCGGCGGCCTGGGCGAGATTCCTGCAGCCCGGCACGGCGTGGAGGCTTCGCGTGAGACGGCTCCGCACAGCTCACGCCAGAGCCGCTCTCTCGCCAAAACAACCCCCATAACCCCTTCCCTCTCGACGACGCCTTCGCCCGCCTCCACCGTTTATCTCAGCGCCTATCCAAGGCCTCCTCCACCCGTCAGCTGCACGCCAACCCCAAGCCGTTCATCCTCCGCTCGCTCGGCTTCACCCCTCTAACCGTGACCTTCACCCTTCTAACTGTGACCTTTAACCCTCTAACCGTGACCTTCACCCCCCCCACCTCTCTCATTCACCTCGACTCGCAACCCCCTTTCGCCGTCCACCTCCGTCTCCATCGTCCCCCTTCAGCCGACCCCTTCATCCCCACCGCGCAGTGCGATTGTGGCGACGCAACAGAAACTACTATGGGCCAGCTTAGGGTGGCGACGTGCGGTGCGAAAGAAGTTTAACAAATATACACGTGGACCATATAGTGAACCGATGTGGTGTGTGCTTCTTCAGCGGAGGAGGAACGGCAAACCCACACGAACTCCCTCTTGAAAGCCCTCTCGTCGTGGTTAGCAGACATCGACAGTGAAATTCAGCTCCTGCACATACGGCCATACGCAATAATAGATTAGAACCCTCACCTCCCCCTCACCGCCACTGTCACTCATCCTGACCTTTAACCTCCATCCGATAGTTTTGATGTTGATGCTGTTGATGACGGTGTTTGCGTTTATGATGGGATGTTTTGTTATTATGGCGATGATGGTATTGATGTTAATGGTAATTATGTCGCTGGTATATTTGGATGTTGATGGTGGTGTTTAATAATAATGGTGGTGGTGATGTTGATGGCAATGGTTTTGATGTGCATGGTGATGGTGGATGTATTGGACGATGGTATTGGTGGTGATGATGATGATGGTGTTGATGTTGTTTGACAGACGTACCGTGCGGCACAGTCGCTCTCGTTTGGGTTTCGCTTTGTTCTGGTCCCGGCCTGGATCGTTCACTACTACTTGAAATACCACGTGGCCACGGTGTGAAAACAACCACCACACAATTACACTACTACTACTACCACAGGCACCACCACAGCCTTCACATTTACAGCCATCACTGCAATACTAACACAACCACAACAATACCAGCACAACCACTACAATACAACGACAACCTCTACAATACCATTTTGACCACAGCAACCACAACCACCACAACTACAATCTCATCACAACCACAGCCACCAATGTTACGACAACCACAGTTACCACTGCAATACCACCACTATACCAGAAGCATGACTACAATACCACCACATCCATCAGAGTACCGTCACAGCCACCAATTCGATACCACCACTACTATACCATGACAACTGGTTACCACAATGCCACCTCTTTACAATGATACCAAGACACTAAATATAATTACATTCACACTGACCCGTAACAATACACACAACCACACAACAAACCATAACAACTATAAGCACGAGCACACAACAATCATAACCACAGTATAAACCTCAATAATTATCACATGCAAACAATTACCACAACATCCATACATCACTGCTACACAGCCACAACATTCACGACAAAAAACAAACACATGGCTAAAGTCACAGCACATGATTACAATACCGGCAATAAAAAAATATATACAAGTACATCTGCATTACAACCACATCAACATCTACCGCGGCCACACGACACCACCATATTAGTCATCTACTGTATATTGATGTTGTTGGAGTGATGTTAATGATGTTGATGTCGTTGCAGGATGTACCATACGGTCATTGTCGCACCAAACCTAGGGTTTACCCGGTGAGTGTGCATGTCTGTGTTTGCCTGTGGGCAACTGTCTTTGTGTTTCACTGTCCGTGTTTATATGTGTGTGTGTGTGTTGGAATATGTGGATGTGTATCCACGTGTTTTTTTGGGTGTTTCTGTATGTCTGCCTGTGAATGTGTGTATATCTATACTGTATATGGGGAGCGGTAGTGTAGCGGTTAGAGTGCTGCACTACGAACCCGGCCCCCGAGTTCAATTCCCACTCACGGCCAACACTAGTGACGATTATCTGAACTGGTCCTGGGCCTCCCCTAAGTTGACTCAGCCTCAAATGAGTACTTGGTGCGGTGTGTCAACATCGCCACTTGGGAGACAAAGGTGGCCAGGCATGGTGTAGCCACCCACCCCCACATGTGCCGTGCCACCCTTAATAGGTGCTCGCTAACCGCACTTGCCTCAACAGTCTGTTAAGACTATACGGAGTATCTTTGTTTTTTGTATATGTGTGTTTATTTTGGTGTATTCATTATGTGTATGTGTGTGCTGCAGGGTGACACAATTGTGGAGACTGGGGAGGTGATCCCTGAACTGAACATCCCCCACGCTGATCACCACCACTGAGACCCCTGTCCATCCCCCGCGAACTCGACAAGTTCGGGTCAAGTAGCCAAGGGGGAGCATCAAGCAAATTGAGGGAGCACAGCACATGGCTAACCACCCACCCTAATACATTATCGTAAATGTGTTGTGGGGAGGGAAGCTGCCCCTGCTACCCCCTATGTATCTACATCTACGAGTAATGCAAAACCCACATGCAGTGGCCTACCTTAACCATCGTCATCACCAACATCATATTGATTGGAGAATTTAAATAAATGATTCCTAACTTAACATCTGTGGGTGTGTCAGACTTGTTTTCTGGGCAATGGAGAGAGAAAGGTGTGATGGGGTCAATGGTGAGGGTTAGGATGGGAGGTTAGATTTAAGATTTGGGACAGTGTTAGGATTAGTGTATGGTTTATGATCACAGTTTATTGTTAAGTTGATTGGCATAGGGTCAGTGCAGGGTATAAAGATATTAAGGTTGATACTTTTTGGTTTTTTCGGTAAAGTCACGTAGGTAAAATTAAATAAAAGAGAACAATTAAATCACGACGTTTCGGAGGCAACACAAGCTTCCGTCTTCAGGTGGAACAGTCACAGCAGAATATCTGTGTCAAGATTCAAATCTAGAATATTAAGGTTGGTTAGTGTTTGGGTTAATGTTAGTATTTGGGTAAAGTTTATGATTTGGATAGGGATGCATAATACTACAGAGTCCATGCTAGGGTCAGGATTCGAGTTAAGGTTAAAGTTTGGGGTTAGGATTAAGATAGAGTAAGAGTCAAGGTTATTCGTGTACGAGTCAGGGTTAAGGATGGGGTCAGAGTTAGGCTTTTAGCTGTTAGGGTAGGTCCAGTTTAGAGTTTGGGTCAGGGTTATGAATAAGATAAGGATTTTAGCTGTTAGTACCAGGGATAGCTTCACAATTAGTCTCAGGGTGGAAGGTTGTGTCTTTCTTGGCGATTGATTATTGCTTGGCTGATTATGATTATCCCCGGCAATTAGTGCTGAACAAATCTTTCAATAATCGTATTTGAATCCCACAATTCCACCCGACCAATCCCTGCAGGAATCCTGTTTCTTCTATGGGTGATACCTGTGTTAGTACTGTGGGATCCTAATATAAGCGATTTTACCATTGAAGAAATGCTGTCCTCCGCTGACCTCGTAGACCAGAACTCCCCTCAGTTATCTATGCTGTTGACTGCTCAAGTCCAGGTTCAAAATCTTGCTCTTTTCCGCCACCTGTGACTTCTTGTATATATACATAATAAATATGCCCATTCCTATATTTCCTGTCGGGACACGATATGAATCCAAATTGTATGTCTTGTGTATCATGCATTAGGCTCCCATTCATTTTAATGGAGATGTTTGAATCACCATTGAAATTGGAATTTTATGGACCATTCCTAAGCTGTCACAGAATCCCAATTTATTAAATGGAGATTCGTGTGTATCCATACAAACAAGTGGGATTATTTGATTGCTTGAGAATCATTCGGTGGAATGTTAATCATTTGAATGGACAAGCAGAAATCGCCATTTAATTATTCTCTGACAGTCTTAGGAAACGTTTGTGGCATCTCTACTAATTTCAATGGCAATTCCTGCTTCATAAAAAATAAGATTGTGTTGCATGATCCTTATTTTTATAAATCCCAGTTCGTATAAACCTATTAATGGAGAAGCAATAATCGCCACTGGAAACTCAGAGAATTGCCATTCATTGTAAGCTTTGCTTCTCCAAATAAATGGGATTCCAGTGGTTATAATTGGCAGCCTGACACAGCAGAACACGATTGCCATTCAGCAGCAAAAGCTTTGGCAATTCCTGCATAGAACAACCTGGCCATTCCGCGATTCCAAAGATCTCACAATCCTGTTAGGAATAATTTTATTCCAAGCATTGAATTGCAATTCGAGGTGAGGGTTCATAGGAATAGCCCAACACCGCTCCTGCTGACAGCTCATTAAAATCATCACAGAACAGCGTGTGACAACGACGATTAACTCATTTTAATTAGAAGGCCCAGTTAATTGCATCACATTAATCAGCACATTATTTTGTACATTATATATTACTGTATACATGTGATAAAAGCACACTGTACATGCATGAGCATGGTATACGTATACCCTTTATAGACTCACCAATGCAACTGTTTGTGAGCAACTGTTAGGGCTGGTGTGAGCACGCATTTGTTTATATGGTGAAGATAGTGGTGCAGTTGGAACTACCAGCTGCTGTTGTCTAGCCCGGGGAGTTTATTAAACTTCTATCACTTTTTATTTTACCAGGTAAGGCCCACTGAGCTATATAGCTCTTTTTCAGAAGAGACCTGGCCACAAATGATCACTCAACGAAGTGGCTTGTGGAAATTTATAGCAGCCAAATACTCTAAAACAGTGGTTCTTAACCTTTCCTGCAGCATTGCACCGCTTTGGTTCTCCATCGTATAAAAATTATAATGTAAATAAATACATAGAGGGTTTGATTAAACAAAATAGTACTTACGTGCCCGTGCTTAATTTGTGTTTTGATGATTTGCCTTCGAAAAAAATCTGGCATGTATCGCACCCCCAGAAAAGGCATCTCGCACCCCCAAGGGGTGCGTACACCACAGGTTAAGAACCATTGCTCTAAAAGCATGTTGATTCTAAATGTGGAGTCAAAAAACCAGAGAACTTGGAGAAACATCCGCACGACCACGGGGAGAACATGCAAACTCCAAATATACAGCAGGCGTCAAGATCGGGATCGAACCCACGACCTGCATACCAGGCAAGGTAATTAATATCTTGCCACCATGACCGCTGCAACCACCACCACTGCCGCAACACTAGTAACTAAGTTTTTGGGCCAAGTCGACCTGGGCAAGACCCAGACCAGGTAAGTTGTCTTTGAGATAGAGAAAATTGATCTCAATGGCATCTCACTTGGTAAAATAAGGGACGGTAGGAGAAGTTACAGCCCTTCGTCAATGCACTGATGGATTAAGGCCTCCCCACGCAATGTTGGTCTTGGGGGTTGTTTGGCCATACTTCACCACACTGGTTTGTTCAAGTAGGTGAAGTCTCAGGACTGGTTCAGATATCACTCGCCACTGATGTTAGCAATGGTCAGTAATCGGACTCTGGTCACCGGTTTATAGTGCAGCGCGCTAACCAGTGGTGTATCTGCTCCTCATACAAAGGACTAATACGAGAGCAAAGATATTTAATAGCAGTGATAACCAAGATATCTCATCACAGAACCCCTAAAACACTAACTCTCATCGTAACCCTACATAAAACCCACACGCTAACCCAAACACTATCACGAACCTTGCCCCTAATGTCATAGCCATAACCCTAGCCCGAACCCCAACTCGTTACCATGATTGACATTGGCCCTGGTGCAAGGAATAAAATCGGGGGCCCTGTCCAATTTACACCTAGGCTCCTCTGGCCCATGGACCCAAGTGCAGATGTACGGCCTGCACACATTGATTGTTAAACAACTGACCCCCAACCCTAGCACCTGAACTCTATCATGAGCCATAACCCCACCAGTAATCCCAAATCCTTACCTTAAGCCTTAACTTTAACACTACACCACTGTTTCACCATCTAACACCCAGCTCGGGCCTTCCGCCGTCCCTACCCGTAGCGTTACACCCTCTAGCCCTAACCCCTCGATCCCTGCCTGTCTATCCCCTACCTCTCTTAGGCCTGCCCCTTCCTCTGCGCTTGCCTCTGCATGGAGGGGGCAGTGCTGGGTGGCGTATGGAGAGTGGTGCAGGAGGAGCCCCGTGGAGCCTCCCCGCTCGGGTCCCGGCTCCACGAGGAGGCAGGGGGACACGTGGGCCGTGTGGGGGCCCGATGGCTCCAGCTTCCAGCACAGGGTCACACCGGGAGGGGGGCCCCGACCACCACCCCTACCCTCTCGACGTCTCCCAACGGGTTTCCCCTCCAACAGCAAGCACGTTGGCATGGGGAGGCAAGGAGGAGGGGACGACGATTGATGAAGAGGAGGAGATGATGATGATTCCGGTGGTGTAGAAGTGGACCATTGAGGAGATGGAAATGCAGATGCTTTAAGATGTGGAGATGTATGTGATGATTGTGGTGGTGTAGACGTAGATAACGGAGGAGGTGAAGGACGTGTAGCTGCTGGTGGTTGCGTAGGTATAGTAGATGATCTAAGAAGTGCAGATGATTGAGGGGGCGGAAATTCTGACGAATGACGAGGAGGTGGAGAAGCAGCTCGAGCTGTAGACAATCGAGTCGGAGGTGCAGGAGGGCCTGGCGGTGGAAGCCACCCCTCGAACGCCGTGCACTCGCCAGTGCCGATGTGAGACTCGCGCCGGGAGCCTCCTAGCCTGGGCCCGCCGAGAAGAGGTAACGTGGAACAGGTGGACAACCGGGCCCCCGCCTCCGCCGGGGCGAGCATGAGGCAGCCAATCCCCGCGTAGGTGGACGTCCTGGGACACACGCGGCCCATGGCTTGCGAACAGGTGGACAATCGCTGGTCCGCGCAGGCGCAGTGCCCACCGAGGAGTGGCGGTGGACGCCGCGGGGGAGGAGTGTGGAGGTGCAGGTAAGGAGTCGAACCGTTGGGGTCCCAGCCCAAGCAGCCGGCACTCAGGTGCGCCGATGAGGTGGGGGAGGAGAGGGGACGAGCGGAGGTTGATGCAGGGTGGTCCTCCACGTGGATGCCACGGGTAGCGTCAGAGTCTCCGTTGCCCCAGCAAACCAGGGAACCTAGCCTGGCACGGGCGGTGGAGCCCGGAGGGGTGGGGGGTGGAGCGGGCTCCGTGTGGACTTGGGACTTCACCTGTGGGGTTAGAGTTTGGGATAAGGTTTAGGTGCAGATTAGGGTTGGGTGTTAATGTAGAGGTTAGGTTTAGGGCCAGAGTCAAGAGTAGGGTCACGATTAGAGGATAGGGGTTAGGGTTACATTTGGGGTCAGGGTGGTACATAGGGGTTAGGATTAATTTTGGGGTCAGGGTGATAGGGTTAGTCTTTGGTCATTGTAAGGGTGGAGTTGGGTTTTGTGGTGAGAGTTAAAAGTTGGGATTGAGGTTAATACTCTGGGTTGAGGTAGATGAGGGTTATGGGTGATGCTTTTGTCAGGCCTAGCGTTAGGGCATTGGAGAGACTCCCCACCAGCAGATGGGACACAATCATAACCTGGATCTCCTCCCCACGTCCCGACGAGTAATCCCTGTGGGAGACGAGGGTATTCATCGAGAGGGGGTGAGAGGCGGGCAAATATTGCTTATTATCGTTATTAATGTGTACTTTAACTGTTCAAATACGTAGCATGTTTCAGAGCGTGACAATGTTCGTGCAGAGGAGGATTAGAGTATTAATAGCGACCTGTATCAGGTTTCCCCTCAACCATTATAGTTTACAGCCCTTTGTGAATCCACTGCTTATGTGAAGGCCTCCCCACGCTGTGTCAGTTACGGGGGGGGGGGGGGGGGGGGGGTTTATTGATCCCACTTCACCACGGTGATCAGTGCGAGTTGGTGAAGGGTTAGTTGAGGGTAGAGGGTGACCAGATATCGCTAACATATAATGTTAGCCATGGTCAGGAATTAAACTAAACTAAAAACTATGTTTTATTTTACCAGGTAAGGCCCACTGAGCTATATATAGGAGCTCTTTTTGAGAAGCGATCTGGCCACAAATGATAGCTCAACGAAGTGGTGTATCACGTGGAGATGTATTGCAGCCAAATACTCTAAACGCGTGTTCATGCTAAATGTGGAGGGAAATACCGGGAAGACCCGGAGAAAATCCACATGACCACGGAGAGAACATGGAAACTCCAGATTTTCAGGCGTCAGGGTCGGGATGGAACCCACGACTGCCTGCATACCAGGTGAGGTAGTTAACAACTCTGGCAGTGTGCTAACCGCTGCCATCGGCCCTCTCTCCTGTCCTCCACCAATTTTCTGAAAAGGACCCCCCCCCCCCCCCAAGAAAAGGGATTTTAGGAAATGTGGTGTCACCGTTGGGAGTTGGCACACTTCAAACCCTGCACAAAAACACACGCGTGTAGAACTAGATTCAACAACAACCATCGCAAGTTTTTCGCCCTACCTTCACCCTCACCCCATTTTCTTCACACTTCCACACAATAACACGACTTCAGGCACTTACAAGTGAGAATTAGCAACATTGCATTTTTGGTGCTTTTTTTAGAATAGACTCGACACTATTTGAGCCAATTGTCAGATTTCTAGCGTTTTGTGTCGTACTTTTGTGCCATGGATGCCATTGCTTTAGGAGAGGGCAAAATGTTGAGTTTCAGCTTTTATATGAATGGTTGTCCCATTTGGATTGCGCACCCTTCCTAGGCCTAAGTAAAAGCAGATAACAAACTCTCATGAAGTGAAATGAAAACTTTCTCTTGATATTGTCCTTGTTGTAAACATGGACTCGATTATACTTGTGAATAATTGCAGCTTTTCTAGCCTTTCTAACGTGATTACATCAGTCTTCTCACGGCCGGTGGTCTCGTGCTGTCGAGAGACGCTGTAGCCGAGGGGATGGGACACCAGGAGACACCAATTGTCAGCTTGCTGACCATTCCCGGCCACGGCACACATCAGCGGCGAATTGGTATCTGAGCCGGCCTCAGGCTCTATAGCCCTTCACCAACACCCATTGACCAGCGTGGTGAAGTATGGTCAACCCCCGACACCCCACCCACCCCCATGATCGACACCGTTTGGAGGAAGCCTTCATCCAATCGCTGGTTGACAATACACTGCAAATTAAATATTTTCCCACTTGTGTTGACGACAAATCAAATTCTATGCATGAGAATAGATATTGGGTCGTGTATATTAGTTTGCTAACGTTACATTTCGGTTAATTGCAACAAACAAGACATACGACACGAGTGACAATTCGTGACACTGGCAACGAGCGGCTGAAAGATAATTTTGAACAAAGCTATTCAGTTACACGTTAAACAATTAGCAATTTAAGCGTTGTTGGTTTTCTTTTTTACTTCTAAACATGAAATTGTAAACTGAACCGGGCAAGATAGCTCAGGTCCTCTCTGTACGTTACGTGAGAAGCCAGCCAGCCTCCCGAGTGGGTTAGCAGTGGTGCTCAGGGCTTGCGTTAAGACCTTTTTTTTCATGGGCTGGAAGTGCTAATGTCAGACAGGGGCACTGGCAGAGCCAGTGGGGGGGGGGGGGGGGGGGGGGGGGGGGGGGGTGGCACGTGCCCCCCCCCCCAATGATCCGATCGAAATCCCTAATTTCGATTGGATCATTGATTTTATTAGTTATAAATCGGCATTTTGCGACCCCCACTGCCACTGTGTAGAATATTATTATGTGCCAGGGACTCTATGAGATGATAGGACAATAGTCTGAGTCCATAATTGGCAATAAGTAACGGCAAAGCAGTTATAAGTGACTCAGAATTGTGCGCAGTTCCCTAAAGGCATTCACCTTCAGCGAGCGCGATGCCGATCACACAATGCGGTTCGAATTCGACCCTCGATCGATGGCTGCTCCATTGCCGCACACGCGTCGAATAAAAAGCAAGGGACATGTCCTTATTTACTAACTCCTCTATAATTTTTAATTGCTGGAGGGGTTGCCCCCCCCCACCTGAAAATCATGGCTCTGCCATTGGGCAGGGTGCTCGAGTTAGGATGCCAGGCATAATGTTATTTTTCAAGGCTGGTATTAAAACAAAAAGATTTTTAACTATTTTTTTTATTTCACCGGGTAAGGCCCACTGAGCTATATAGCTCTTTTTCAGAAGCGACCTGGACACAAATGATAGCTCAACGGAGTGACTTATCGTGTGGAAATGTATAGCAGCGAAATACTCCTAATGCTTGTTTGTAAATGTGGAGGGGCAAACTAGAGGACCCGGATAAAAATCCACTCGACCATGGGGAGAGAGATATGCAACCTGCAAACATACAGGCATGAGAGTCGGGATCGAACCCACGACGTCCTCTATACCAGGCGAGGTAGTTAAAATCTCGCCACCGTGGCATCCCACCGTGTTAGTGTCAATACTATTGTCAGGGCTAGTGTAACAGGGCTCGTACTGGTGTTTTACTGGGCTAGTGTCAGAGGGCGAGTGCTGGTGTCATTGTTAGTGTCAAGGCTACTGCTAGTGTAGGACTAATGCTAGTGTCAGGCCTCGTGGTAGTGTAGGTCTAATGTGAGTGTCAACGTTAGTGCCAGGACTAGTGTTGGTGTCAGGACTAGTCTCACAGGGCTGGCAATGGTGTTACAGGACGAGTATCAACGTTAGTGTCAGGGCTAGTGTTGGTGTCAGGGCTAGTCTCACAGGGCTGCCAATGGTGTTACAGGACGAGTATCAACGTTAGTGTCAGGGCTAGTGTTGGTGTCAGGGCTAGTCTCACAGGGCTGGTAATGGTGTTACAGGACGAGTGTCAACGTTAGTGTCAGGGCTAGTGCTCATGTCAATGTTGGGCATGAATCTCACCTCTTCGCCTCCTCTGCTGCTGCTTCCATCCCTAGCCCCCGGGGTGCGAAGGGGATCCGATTGGATCCCTGAAACTTCCTTCTCCTCCCACGCCTCCAGGCCCAGCCGCTGGGGAACCTGAACAGGGACTCCTTCACCTTCTTGAGCGTCCTCAATATGAACCTCTGCTGGGCCCCCTTGAGAGACATTTGAATCCACTTGAAGGTCTCCCTGGCCTCTTGTAAGGACCCCTGGATCCACAGTAGTGTCACTTTGACCCTCTTGAATATCTTTTGGACTATCAGTAGCATCCTTGAGAACACTATCAGCGTCTTCCCCGTCCCCTTGATGGATTATTAAATCCCTAACAGAGTATTTTCGATCTCTTTTAAGATCCCCCTTACCCATTTTAAGATGCACAGAACCAAATAATGTCTCCTTGGAACCCCCTTCTTGGACTCCTTGACGCCCTGGCTGGATTTTTAGACCTGTAACGGAGTCTCTGGAACCCCGCTTAAGGTCTGCGCGACCCATTTTTAGAACTTCTGGGCCTAAATGTATGCCCTTGGGACCCCATTCAGGATGCCCCTGATGCTTTGCGGTGCCCCTATGACCCACTTGGTGAAGATTTTTTTGACTCCGAACAGAGTCTCGAGAACCCCGTTTTAGAACAACACCCGGACCTCCAGCCACGACCTTGAGACCCCACTCGGGGTCCTTGGGATCTCGTGCAATGCCATCTCCCCGAGTCTCCGCGGGGTTCCGCCGACCCCGCCGTAGGAACGGGATCCTGGGGAAATGGCGCCACCCCCGTGTGATGCGGGCGGCCGCGATGATTCCAAGGCCAGGCAGGCAGATGGCGAGGCCGAGAGCGAAGAGCGGCACGGGCCCCAGCATCTCCCCCCGCAGCCCCGACACTGTGAACATGAAGCCGAAGAAGAGCACGATGGAGACCAGGGCCACGGTGATCCCCGTGCGTGGGTCCAAGTCTTCCTGCTTCATGGCGAGCGAGCCTTCGTGGAGGTGCCGAATGGAGTTGGTCGAAGAAGGATCCGTGGAGCTGGGTCCCTGGAATGGCAGAGAAACCGGAGATAGAGTGACGGACCAGTTGGACGACCTGAGAGAGGGAGGGGAGTATTGGGACGGGCGACCTTGGGGGGAGAGTGTGGAAGGGAGGTGACTTCTGGTTTTGATGGGGGTAGGGAGGGGGTGCTGGTAGAGAAAACTAAAGGAATGGGATAGGGGACGAGCAAATAGGGATACCTGGGATAAAGGGACCTATGCAGAACCTGGGAAAAGGGAGGGGATAATGGAGATGGGAATCTGGGAAAATGAAAGGAAGTGGAAGAGGTAACCTGTGGAGGGAGGGGTGGGATGTGATAAACACCTGGAGAGGGGAATCAATGAGGGGTTTGGGTTGATATGTTGATGAAGACCTGGGGAAAATTAAGCTGGAGTAGTGGGGACCCGCGAATGTCACACTGAGACTGGGATTAGGATGAAATGGGGGAAATCCGGGAAGGGAGTCCTGCTGTGAGGTAGAGGGACCTGGATAAGACAGACCGAGCGAGGGAAGACCTGGAGGGAAGAAAATATGATTGGAAAGAGGCTCGGAAGAGGTGTGGACCCTTTAGGAGGGACCCTGATATGAGACCTGGGTGGTGCAGAGCGGTGGTGGAGAAAGGCACGAAAACCAAAAGGAGACCGGACACCTGACAGTAGCTGAAAGAACTGGGTAAAGAGACGTGGGAAGACAGCTGGCAAATTGTTTACAGGATAGGTGGAGGGAGAGCCGCGGGGCGTGAGGGGTACCTGGAGGTATGGTAGGGGCAGACCCTGGGAGCGGTTGAGAAGTTGTGGTGAAAGCTGGGCGGAGAGGAAGACCTCTCGATGAAGTTGTATTGGAGCTCTTGATAGCTGGAAAGAGCGGGATATAAACTTCAAACACTCGGATGTTCTTTCAAAATAAAATGCCTGTTCTATCCAGAGTCCTTGGTGCTTTCAAAATATAGGTTCCTCGACGATCAAAGGCCCCCCTTGTGAACCACGTCTCACGTACCTTGACTTCTGTTAAAATAAAAGTATCTCGATCGTCCAGAAGCCTCGTTCCAAAAATAAGGTCCCACCGATGATTGTCCCTTGACTTAACTCCTTCAAAATAAAGGTCTTCCAATAATCCTGGTTATTCAAAGTGATCGTCTCTCGATGATTCGGGTTCCGTGCCGCCTCTTCAAAGTAAAAATATCTCGATTATCTGGAGCCCTTGTCTTAACTCCATCAAAAATGTCTCTTTACTTGACCCTGAGGATTTGCGTGAGAGCGGGGTGTTTGGTGAAGGGAGTGAAGACACAGCGAGTCTGAGCGCGTGCGTGAGAGAATGCGAGCGAGAGACCGTGTAAGAGATGTGAGTGTGTCTGTGTAAGCCGAGGTGTGTGAGAACGTGTAAGTGGAGTGTGTATTTACGTGTATGTGTGTCTGTGTGTGTAGGGGAGCTCGCTAACAGCACTTGACCCTACAGTCTGTTAAGGCTATATGGGGGGGGTCTTTCTCTTCGTAGGGGAGCGATAGTGTAGCGGTTAGCGCGCTGCGTTATGAACCCGGCTGACACGGGTTCGATTCCCGCTCACGGCCAACACCAGTGACGATTATCTGAACTGGTCCCGGGCCTCCCCTAGGTCGACTCAGCCTCAAACGAGTACCTGGTGCGGTGTGTAAACATCGCCACTAGGGAGACAAAGGCGGTCGGGCGTGGTGCTGGCCACCCACCCCCTCGTGTACCGTCCCGGCCTTCACAGGTGCTCGCTAACAGCACTTGCCCCTACAGTCTGTTAAGGCTATATGGGGGATCTTTAGCTTTGTAGGTGGCCGGTGTGTGTGTTCGCTCAGAGCACTTTCCCCCCAGGATGTTAAAGGCTATACGGGGGATCTTTGTAATGTGCGTGTGAAAGTGAGGATAAGTCCAGAGGGTTTACATTTTGACAGAGGGTTTGTTCACATCCACAAGCGGACACATATATACTGATACAAAGACAAAGATCCCCCACATATAGCCTTAACAGACTGTAGGAGCAAGTGCTGTTAGCGAGCAGCACCTATAAAGGCCGGTAGACGCACAGCACACGAGGGGGTGGATGGCCAGCACCACTCCCCGCCCGCCTTTGTCTCCCCAGTGGCGATGTTTACTACACACCGCTACACCAGCTACTCATTTGAGGCTGAGTCAACCTAGGGAGAGGCCCATGACCGGTTCAGAGAATCGTCGCCGGTGGTGGTGGCCGCGAGCGGGAATCGAACTCTGGTGGCCGGGTTCGTCGGGCAGCGCGCTAACCGCTACACCACCGCTCCCCACATGAATACACATACACTGATACACAACCACGGACACACGTATAGTGACACATATACTGATACATGCACATACACGGAGACACATGTACTGATACACATTATGTATACATTTTTTAAAAACATACACTGTGATACATACTTGTATGAAGTGTACATATTGACGGATGCATACGTACGTATATCGTTGTTCCACCTTACGAACCGTTCGACTTAGGAACGGGGTTCTTGAACGGAACTCCGTTCGTAAATGAAGGACTGACCTATCCACACATTATGTGGTGACACCTGTGCCTCACAGCAATAATTACCTGGGTTCGATTTCCGCACGCGGGGGTCTCGGTTGTGTAGCGTTTCTATGACCTGCGCCTGCTCTGCATGGGTTTCCTTCGGCGCCTCTGGTTTTCTGCCGAGCTAATGAAAATACAACGCAACTGGTATTGGCCCAACTTCTCAATTCTGAAATATCACTGCATTGGGATTACGCACAGCCACATCGCCCCCCCCCCTACTGTGGAAAATCGAGGTTTTCCTGGCTAAACATAAAATGCCCATACATATCCGGGGTGCATACGCCCCTGTCTCTCCCTATGGTTTCTATGCTGCCACGTCTATGCTGCCCGCCTTCACCAACCAGCTCGGACCAGCGAGGTGAAGTGTGGTCACATAACCCTCGCGCCCCACACGGCGTGTCGATAGACCGTGGCTGATGATGAAGACCACAAAACTACATTTACACATACAAAAACAACCCGGTATAGTCTTTAACATACTGTGGAGTAAGTGCTGTTAGTGAGCACATATGAAGGCCTGAACGGTACACGAGGGGGTGGGTGGCCAGCGCCGCTCCCGGCCGCTTTTGTCTCCCTAGTGGCAATGCGTACTCATTTGAGGCTGAGTCGGCTGAGTTGAAGCCCAAGACTGTTTCAGATAATCGTCACTGGTGTTGGTCGTGAGCGAGAGTCGAACTCGTGTTACCGGGGTTCGCAGAGCAGCGCGCTCAGCATACGAATCCACATGCATAAACAGAACACAAATAGATACACCATCCATACACACACTGATGTCCACTCCCACTCATGTCCACACATACCTACACCCATACACAAAGGTCCTCTTATAGCCTCTTAACACTTCTGGGACTGTTCGTGAGCACCGATTAAGGATGTGGCGACGTTTTACCACGTGCGTAGAGGTGTGACTAGAAACCACGTTTCAATTTCGAACACATGCCCGGGATGCCTTTGTCTCTCCAACATTACGCATGATGAATTCAACAACTATCATAATTATAATCACCAGCATACCTATCAACAACGCCACCAATAACTATTAAACCAGTCGTTCATCGCTATTATCATCACCAACACGGGCAACAGTTCCATAACCGTCATAATCAGCGTTATCGATACAATCGTCCACATCATCGTCACCACCACCATTAACCACCACGACATAACCATTATCATCACCATCAACTTAATCACTAATATCATCACAATCATGAACACTTTTGTCATCAACGGACGTAATAATCACCACGCCACCGCCATCATCATCAGCACCAAAAACATTATCACCAATAACCGGCGCATCATCAGCATCATCGCTGATAATTGTGGTGGTGGCGATGATGGGTTAATTAGGGATCGTGCCCGTACACGTGACACCGAGCAGCTGCCGCTCCCCGCCCCTGAAACGAGAGAACTTCCGCGGATTTTCACAGCGCGCATTCCGCTAAAATGGGAAACAACACCCTCTTCCTCGGACCCAGTCTTCCTCCACCACGGGACCCAGTCTCCATCCATCACGGAGCCAAGTCTCCATCCATCACGGAGCCCATTCTGCCTCCATCAAGAGGTCCAGTCTCCCTCCACCACGAGGCTCTGTTATCCCTTCCACGACAATATCCAGTTATCCCTATACCACAATGACGAAGAACATCTACCAATAAGAACTTCCAAACGAGAAATTGGATAAAGATACGCCTTCTCACCGTGGTTCCTGTCAACATAAAATAATATTTTCTGAAAACTTTTTTGGAGAAATAATAAGATACGTATATCTTCAGAAAGTATTACACGTCTCAGGTTTACTGGACACAAATATAAGAACCTAGCGGGTACATTTCGGGAAACGATTGAAGAATTTAATAAAAGACTCAGGAAATATACTTTACCGTATGAGCAAAATAAGTGATACCAAATTATTGGGTGATGCTGCTACTGCGTTGGCAGTGGCGGTGCACAAACACAAATACAATTAAGAATGCAACACATTTGTCAATAAAACTGTGGCCTTAATATGAACAACTATATAGTTACAGACGATGTGTTTAGCACCAAATTTACTGAACACAATTCCGTAATTGTTTGAAGAACAAAACATATTATATATACGTACATGCCTTGCACTAAATAATAAAAATCGCTTGCGTATGGTAATTAGGGACAATATAGGTATGTGTTAGATAGGTGTCAAACTCGGATCGATATGTAACAAAGACGGTTATTGCCAAAAACACATCTGGCAGGAAGCCAACAAGCCTGACTCTGCTGACAAGACACTGAATGTCGAACATCATTTTTTGTATTATAGTATTGAACAGTGAGATCAGTTCATGAGCAGGCGTGCAATAGATTGTGTGGCATGGCGGCGGCGGCAGTGAGTAACGGCGTTGGCGTGGGAGCCCGTCATCCAACCGTGGATTAACCATGGCAATAAAGACTCGTAGCAGCGATTAAGTCGTGAGGTCACCACAGCGCTTTGCCAGGCTAGGTGTACTTTCAGATCATGTGATGTGTCGATTGATCGCTGACAGGTCACTCAGGTATTACGGGTTAACTGGCAGAGACGACTGGCAAGATGCACACTTGTGCTCCCTATAGCGACACTGTGAGTGTGTCAAACTGCCGAGCAGCATCCTTCACGAGGACGATCTTGACACTGCTGGTACCGGTCATTGACAAAGTCCACTCAGGTCCACGTCCTCCTGTGTCGCATCAGTCCATCTCTTCGCTAGTCCGTGCCGGGCCCGTTGTGTGCACCGTCCATCCGCACAAACAAAACCCGTTGGGCATGCGGTGGCTCGGCATGCGAGCTATGTGACCTGGCCAACGCACCCTCACCTGCCAGAGGGGCTCACTAATGGGACACGCATTTAACATTTTTTTAAAAAAATATTTGAACTGGAAATTTTGTCGAGCTGAAACATCTCGTTTGCTAAGGTGTATAGGGGGGTGTCAAGTGGCACGTGCATAGAAAACACGTAATGACACGGAAACAAACATTTTTAAACACGTACACAGTTTACATTTGTAGAAGGTCCAATGTAAGTATAGAGTGTCAAGAATAAGAACAAGACGGCCGAGGGAGCGTGCATAAACATCACCTTTTCCATAACTTTCAAGGCCCCCGTGAGCTACTTACGCAATCCAGTCTGGTTAACCCCAGGATGGACCGTCGGCAGATCAACCTGAATGTGTTAAGCCGGCACATATGTTCCTGTAAAGGATTCCACGTTTCGCAAGCATAGAAAATAATAGGGTATAACTGTGAAAATAGCCACAGCTTCGTGTGGAACGACAGGCCAGGCAGCTTCCCACACGGCGTTACGCAGCCGATTAACAGATAATGTCCGCTCGACTAATTTGGAGTGAGACCTCTGCCAAGCGGGAGCTGGTCGTGAGCAAACTCACTGCTCACTTATGTGAACTCCTTCACACTCTCGACAACCGCCACACCCGTCGATCAGAGTTGAAGGGGATGGAGTATTGGATGACACACAGCACCCAGGCAGGTGCTTTGTTTTTGGTGAGGATGTTGTTAAGGCGCCATCGCTTAGTGCAGGGCTCGGCAAACCAAAATAGCAAGAAAAGCTTTTTTTTTTATTCGGTAAAAATAAACCTCAATATTTCAAGAGCTGCAGTGCAAGTGGTGGATCACGGACGGTGATCCTTAAAAAAATAACGCCACGAAGTGGTCCTGAAAGAGCCGCATGCGTCTCCGGAGCCGCAGGTTTCTGACCACCTGGCTTCGTGGCACGCTGCCCATCTTCAGCATCAGAGGCTCCAAGTCGTTGGCAAGAGCGGGCAGAAATTACCATGTCACGAGCATGCACAACGTGGTTGAGCTGTTTGGAACCAACCTCTTGACCGCGCCCAGGCATTGGATTAGCGTCCCCCTTTGTACCAAATGGGAAGTCTCTCTATCTCTTAAAACCCACACGCGAACACATAGAGACCCCCCCACCGAGCAGCCGGGAATCTAACCCCGGGGCTCAGCTTCTTCCGTAACGCGACACGTGAATTCCCAGCGGGGTCTCGGTAAACAGCGGATTTATAACAGAGAGAGGGAGATTACACAAACACACAAAGATAAAGATCCGCCGTGTAGCCCACGTAGCCTGCGGAGGCAAGCGCTGTAAGCATGTACCCGTTAAGACAGGTCATACACATATAAAGAAAATATCTAAACACCATCGGCATAGCTCACAAGACAGCGTGGGGAGAAAGTCCTGTTAGCGAGCAACGGTTATACACATATAAAGAAACAATACACAACATCCCCGATATAGCCTATATAGAATGTTAGGGCAATTTCTGCAATCAAGCACATTTTTTTTAAAGGCGGAAACTGTGCACTATGGGGTTGGTGTGGCCAACGCCACGCCCATCCACCTTTGTCTCTCCAAGTGCGGATGTTTACACTACGGACCAGGTATACCCACTTAAAGTCGAGTCGGCACTCACAAATACATAAATGGAGACGCATATACTACACACATAAGCATATACGGACAGCCGGGTGGCTCAGGGGCAAGAAGTCCTGGGTTCAATTTCCGACTGTGTCGATAGGGCTGGTGTGTGCTCCCCGTGGGAGTGGAGTTTGTGTGTTCTCCCCCTGAGTGTGTGTGGGAGTGAGTGAGGGGAGCGGTGGTGTAGCGGTTAGCGCGCTGCGCTACGAACCGGGCGACCCGAGTTCGATTCTTGCTCAAGGCCACCAACACGACGTGCAATACAAGTACACAAGACAGCACACGTGTGTATAGAGCACACCTGTGTACAGGACAAACACACACCTGTGTACAGGACAAACACACACCTGTGTGAAGTTACCTGTTAACCTGTTCATGCCGACAACTGCATAGACGCACTGGTGAAGACACACAGATGTACACCTTTACACACTCTTAAACACACGCACAGGCAATTTTGGACAAATACATGCCAACGCCCAATATGCACACAAAGTAAACACCCCCCCACTGTTAGGGCAAGTGGCTGTTACCGAGTCGCTGTGGGGGTCGACGTCCGCCCCCCCCCCTCCTCTTCGGCCGCCACTCGCATTGAGAAATGTGACGTCACATCAAAATGCGCAACTTTAAATATAGACAACACGTTCTATTTAATTAAATTGACTTGTTAATAAAGTCGATTTGGCGCTTTCGTGACTGCAGGAATTACTCTTTGTTTTTTTTCGGTAAAGTCACGTAGAAATAAGAAAAAAATTACATAATAGCATACGTTTCGATTGCAACACAAGCAATCATCATCAGGTAGAGGAAACACATAACCGCAGATATATATACAGACCCTAAGGAGAGGGAATTGACACAGATACACCAGGGGATACAGAGAGAGACGGAGGAGCACACTGAATAAAATAGGGTTTAGCAAAATTTGGAAACTATATAAAGCAACACAGACCGTCGGTTAAACACAATTAACGTTTGGCTGGTTGATTACGCTATTTCAATCAATTAATAGATGTTTTCTCCTACAACATCAGAGTGCAGCGCCACATTAAATACGCACTACAATAATAGTTTAAAGCGATTTTAAGCATGTTTTATTTTTTTGGAGGGGGGGGGGGGCAGAGCTTTGTGACGTCATATTTGAGGAGGGGTCTGACTTGTTGTGGCGCCGTGTGACGAGGGGGGTTCAAAAATCGTCCAAAATCGCGTGACGTCATTTATGGAGGGCCCCTTTAGGCTATGCCCATTTCAAACCTTTATAAAGTTTGCCTTGAGAAGCTCACCCCCTTTTCCTGATGACGACCACTTCTGTTGCGATCGAAACGTCGTAGTTTTTTGTTAGCTCCCCTCATTAATAATCATTAACAGGTGACGTCATCCCCCCCATTAATAATAATTATCGGCTGACGTCACTCCACATGGGGGGCCGAGGCGCCTCCTTCTCCCTCCTCGGCGTCAACTGACAACTCTCCCTACAAAGGCAGAACCCTCACGTCACGTGATCTCCGTAACGCTGTTGAGACATCAAAGTAAAAAGGACGTCACGATGAACAAGGGATCATAACCTTTACATGAAATAAATCTGTGTTGCCGCGCCCTTACAAATTGCACACGAATTGATGCAATGAAACATCACGTCGCGGTCTGCTTTTCACTTGCTAGTTTCAGATTTACTGCAATACACCCGCCCTTAGACGGGTAAAAGGCTAGTATGGAGGTATTTGTCTTAGCCAGGCCACGTCCTCAACAAAACCTCCCTCCCCTCCACATTGCTTGCTCCTTTTCGCTTCTCATGATCAGAGCGCGAATGCACACACAACCCACCTGTACCATACATCAATCCCACGCGTAGCCTATACAAGTCGGTTGGGACAAGTGTTGTTAGCGAGCACCTATTAAGGCTGGCACGGCACACGAGGGGAGTGGCTGGCAAGCAACACACGTGACTGCCTTTGTCTCCTTCGTGACGATGTTTTCCACACGGCACCAGGTACTCATTTGAGGCCGAGTCAACCTGGAGGAGGCCCAGGACGGGTTCAAATATTCGCTGCTGTTGGTCAAGGGCGGCAATTGAACTCGGGTCGCCGGGTTCGCAGCGCAGCAACTACTGCGCCACCACTCCCCACGTTTGTCCATCCCACCCATTACCACGGACACCTACACACGTGCACACACCTCTTGCTCTCTACCAGTACGAAGCTATCGAGTGTGCAGGCGGTGAAACTGCAACGGTGCCCTCGGGTAGGAGGGGCCCAGATGCCAGGCTATTAAGAGGGGGGAAACAAAACAGCATCCCACATTCATCCCTGGCACAAGGGCCTACTGAATGTACACTCTTGTCCCCTCCACACACATCTCTATTGACTTCTTTTTGGCTTCAGCGTCCCACTCCGTGGGAGACAAATTACTGATGGTGGGTGGTACATTCTCTATTTTTAAGTGTTTTGCTTAAAAGTATGTGATGAACGTTAGGTTGACTCTGCCCTACGAGTGAAATAAATGTAAATCCACACTCTAAGTTTCTTGACTTTCAGTTTTGAATTGCATATATTCTAGTTATAGGCTGATACTCGACTTAAACGTGCCATGTCAGCCTTATAATCCTTACAGAACATGTCAGAACTTCCCACAATCGGCCAGACCTGTTAGGGAGAACCCTCGATTCTCCAGGACAGCAGGAATTTTTTCGCATACCCACATAAACAGTAACACATAAATACACACAGAGAGATATATATACATACTCAATATAAACTAACACACTGAACACACCGACACAATAAAATGTTTATTTTCAGTATTAACAGCAACAAACATGTTTCCATGGCAACTCAAGTTCAATATGTACGTGTCTTCAGGTCTCAAGTGTGTGCTCGTATCTCCATGTGTGTCAAGCGTCTGTCTCTGGGAATCTGTGACTCAAACGTATGTGTATTCGTGGTGTGTGTGTATCTTTGTCTGTATGTCTCGAAATTTGGATCTCTCTTGAGGTATCTCCCTGTGCATCTTAGTTGTCTTAGTGTCTCCACATATTAATCAAGTGTATCCGTGTCTGTCTCCATCTCTATCCGAGATGTCTCCTTGTCTAAGATATCTGGGTGTCCCTGTGATTGTATGTATAACTTATTTCGCACAGTACGTAGACAACCGTGCGAATATGAGTGTCTCCACGTATCAGTTGAGACTCTGTCCCAGTCTCACGCCTCTGCATCTGTCTCCATCCAACAGGACCTTCAATGAACATCCTGCACACATCACCATGATAACATCATCATTACCATGACATCATCGTTACCATAGCAACATCGTCACCAAGGAAATGCAACTCACCATGGTAATACCGTTATTATCATGGCAACATCACAATGACAATGGTGGTGGTGGTGTTGATGGCAATAGAAATGGTGCCGACGGTCATGGCGATAATCAGACTCAGAATATTTATTTAGACTGGAGGAATGTGATGGAGATATGAAGCTATTTCACAGATGACAATGACGATGGTGATTTTTTTCACAGTGATGGAGGTTGGTTATGGTGTTGATGGTGGTAATAATAGTCATTGTGTTTTTGGCGCTTTTGGTATTGATGGCGATGGTGCCGATGGTAGTTAAGGTGTTGACGGTGTCGTTGGTGGTGGTGTTGCTGTACCGGTGTGCACGGCCTGGTTCGTGAGTCTCGTCACGGCTTGGCTCGGCTTCACGGGGTTCGTCCACTTGATCAGCAGCTCAGCACAGGACTTACGCCACCGCCGCCACACCACACTGCACCACGGTACACCATGCCATGGTGAACATTATGACACCACATTGAACTACAGTACACCACGTAATGATGAAGAATCCCCACATCACGCTCTATCTACCATGATAAGTACAAGTCCTGAGTGTTGGTGAGTGGTGATGAGTGTTGGTTGTGGATGGTGAGTAGTGGTATTGGTGAGTAGTGGTATTGGTGAGTAGTTGTGAGCATGGCGAGTGGTGTGAGTGGTGAGCGTGGCGAGTGGTGAGTGTCAACGTGAGTGGTAAGAATGAGTGGTGAGTGCGGCATGTGCATGTTGAATCGTGAGCACGAACAGTGTGTGCGGCATGTGAGCGTGAGTGGTGAGCGTTGTGTGGTGAGAGTGTCACCTGCTAGGTCTCCCCTCCACCTCGTGCAGCATCCCCTCCACTCCGATCGTCTCCGCTCTCCCCGTGCTCAAGCTCCAGCGAATGAACATAGATGCGTGGTGCGTGCGGGGACATCTAGCCCGGCACGTTGGGGAGCGGGGATCAACAGGGATCAAAGGGGAGTGAGGGGGCTCAAGTGGATCACAGGCGGTTAAGGGGATAAGAGGAGGTCGATAAGAGGTAAATGGGATATTATGGAGGATCAATGAACTCAATGTGAATTCATATAACAGGGGACTAAAGGGGAATTTACGTGGAATCGTAAGCGGATCAAGGGTAGTTTATGACAATCAACACAAACCAAGAGGATCAAAAGGAGAACATTCGAGGCAATTAACAGGCAGCCAGGATTAAGAAAGTGCAGATCAGAATAATCAAGGGGTTCAAGTTGGCATCAAGGGGGAGAGATAATCATGAGGATCACTGTATTGTGGGAGCAAAATGTTGGGGGATCTAAGTGGATCAGCAGGATCGGGGAGGGGGGGATGGGGATGGAAGCAGGTTAAGGCGAATCAAGGGGTAGCTGGGTACCGGGGGTGGGGGGGGGTGTTGATGAGAGTCACGAGGATCTGGGAGATTGGGGGTATCAAAGGGAATCAAGTGGGTAAAGAGGAGGGGTCGGGGCTCACCTGTCGGTGCCAGGCTGTGGGGCGGCTGGGAAGGCGAGGAGAATCAGCCCAATCATGAGGAGAACTGAGGCAGTGTCTGGGCAAACCTGTTTACATAAAGCAAAGACAAACATGCAATTGGGGCAAGCGCTGTTACCGAGCATCTATGAAGACCGACACAACACACGAGGGGGTGGGTACGCCAGCACCACGCTCGGCGACTGTCTCCCCAGTGGTGATGTTTACACACCACACCAGGTACCCATTTGAGGCTGAGTCGATCTAGAGGAAGCCCAGGACTGGTTCAGATGATAGTCACTGATGTTGGCTGTAATCGGTAATCCAACTTGGATTGCTGGGTTCATAGCACAGCACGCTCACGACTACACTGCTGCTCCCCATACAGACAGAGGCGTACACACGAACACACACATGTACACACGTGTACACACGCATACAGGGACATGTGTGGTGACCTGCAGCACGACGGCGTCATAGTCAGTGAAGGAGCAGAAGCGGTCGCTCCAGGGTGCGTGCGACGCAATGGAGGCACTGATCACGTCCTCCAGGTCTAGCGTGAGCTGCTCCACACGCACACACATTGCCTGTGCGTGCACACACACACACACCACATACACACAACAAAGACAATCCCATCAACAGATTGTCACACAGTCCAACGGGTTGCAGCACATGATGGATGAGGTGCATGTGAAGTGATTTGACACAGGAGCCTCTCCTTCCATATATTTGCATACCATGAGAGAACTAAAGCACAATGCCAAAGCAATTAACACAACATTGTCTATGTCAAACAAGGCACGAACAATTCAGCTTACACACAACGCCTCTTTACCAGCGTCTACACACAGCAGCACATCAACTACTTCAGAAACGTTTCCGTTATTTGTCAGCCCTAAGCCCTGTCAGTTTTTAAGACGCAGGTGCTGTGAAGGGGTGCGTATGCAGGATAGGGATGTTTCTCTGTGTGTCCCTAAGATGAGCAGAAGTTCCAGTGGCCTTTTTTCTCAACAATGTAGGTACAGTGAGGGAAAAAAGTATTTGATCCCCTGCTGATTTTGTACGTTTGCCCACTGACAAAGAAATGATCAGTCTATAATTTTAATGGTAGGTTTATTTGAACAGTGAGAGACAGAATAACAACCAAAAAATCCAGAAAAACGCATATCAAAAATGTTATAAATTGATTTGCATTTTAATGAGGGAAATAAATATTTGACCCCCTCTCAATCAGAAAGATTTCTGGCTCCCAGGTGTCTTTTATACAGGTAACAAGCTGAGATTAGGTGCACACTCTTAAAGGGAGTGCTCCTAATCTCAGCTTGTTACCTGTATAAAAGACACCTGTCCACAGAAGCAATCAATCAATCAGATTCCAAACTGTCCACCATGGCCAAGACCAAAGAGCTCTCCAAGGATGTCAGGAACAAGATTGTAGACCTACATAAGGCTGGAATGGGCTACAAGACCATTGCCAAGCAGCTTGGTGAGAAGGTGACAACAGTTGGTGCGATTATTCGCAAATGGAAGAAACACAAAAGAACTGTCAATCTCCCTCGGCCTGGGGCTCCATGCAAGATCTCACCGCGTGGAGTTGCAATGATCATGAGAACGGTGAGGAATCAGCCCAGAACTACACGGGAGGATTTTGTCAATGATCTCAAGGCAGCTGGGACCATAGTCACCAATAAAACAATTGGTAACACACTACACCGTAAAGGACTGAAATCCTGCAGTGCCCGCAAGGTCCCCCTGCTCAAGAAAGCACAAATACATGCCCGTCTGAAGTTTGCCAATGAACATCTGAATGATTCAGAGGACAACTGGGTGAAAGTGTTGTGGTCAGATGAGACCAAAATGCAGCTCTTTGGCATCAACTCAACTCGCCGTGTTTGGAGGAGGAATGCTGCCTATGACCCCAAGAACACCATCCCCACCGTCAAACATGGAGGGGGAACATTATGTTTTGGGGGTATTTTTCTGCTAAGGGGACAGGACAACTTCACCGCATCAAAGGGACGATGGACGGGGTCATGTACCATCAAATCTTGGGTGAGAACCTCCTTCCCTCAGCCACGGCATTGAAAATGGGTCGTGGATGGATATTCCAGCATGACAATGACCCAAAACACACGGCCAAGGCAACAAAGGAGTGGCTCAAGAAGAAGCACATTAAGGTCCTGGAGTGGCCTAGCCAGTCTCCAGACCTTAATCCCATAGAAAATCTGTGGAGAGAGCTGAAGGTTCGAGTTGCCAAACGTCGCCTCGAAACCTTAATGACTTGGAGAAGATCTGCAAAGAGGAGTGGGCCAAAATCCCTCCTGAGATGTGTGCAAACCTGATGGCCAACGACAAGAAACGTCTGACCTCTGTGATTGCCAACAAGGGTTTTGCCACCAAGTACTAAGTCATGTTTTTCAGAGGGGTCAAATACTTATTTCCCTCATTAAAATGCAAATCAATTTATAACATTTTTGACATGCGTTTTTCTGGATTTTGTTGTTGTTATTCTGTCTCTCACTGTTCAAATAAACCTACCATTAAAATTATAGACTGATCATTTCTTTGTCAGTGGGCAAACGTACAAAATCAGCAGGGGATCAAATACTTTTTTCCCTCACTGTATGTATGTTAAAGTTCTTTCGCACCGAACGTAGCCACCTGTGCAAATCGGGAGGTGTGGTGGAAGAACAACAAACTAAACACAAAAAACTGTTCTAAAGAAATGAGTTTTCAGTCCTTATGATTTAAAAGTGCATAGCTCCAGTGGCTTCCTAATATCGGAAGGAAGAGTGTTCCCAGACAGCAGCAGAAGTGCATCTGAAAGCGTGCGACGCGGTTACTGTCTTTGTTCGATAGTCAGCCAAAAGCTGCTGCGAGGATGACCGGAGTCCCCTTTCGCACGGCCCTGATCAAGGTTCAGTCCTTCTCCTCCGCTCCCCCTACTCCTCCTCACCACGTTCCCGATCACGTAATATGGGTCCACAACATTTTCTTGCGTTTCACAGAGAGGGGAACTTTTCAAACATTTTAACTTGAATCACATTCTCTAAATCACATGGTTATTTTAGATAGATTGTCCAGTCTAAATAAAGATTATTATTCTGATATACACATACCTATGTAATATCACAGTGCCAAACATGAAAAATCCAATTTCATCACACAGACTGTTGAGGCAAGTGCTGTTAGCGAGCACCTACAAACGCTGGCATGGTACACAAGTGGGCAGTGTGGCCAGCATCATGCCAGGCCATCTATGTCTCCCAAATGGTGATGTTTTACATACTGCACCAGGTATTCATTTAAGGCCGAGTAGACCTCGTGGAAGCCCAGGAACAGTTGAGATATTCGTCACCGATGTTGGCCGTGAGTTACAATCAAACTTGGGTCGCCGGGTTCGTATTGTAGTACATTAAGCATTACATTACCGCTCCCCACACACAAAAAATATACAGACATATCCAAGCAAATAGTCGAGCTTCACACACACCATTACTCTTTGTGCTAATGTGTGGTACCATGGTAACGGTGGTGACCATGGCAGCGTGCCATTACCCGCTGTGCCATTGCCTCAGAGACGAGGATGCCTTGCCGCAGAGCAAAGTCGGTGACGGACACAGGGAGACCTGGCTTCATGTCCTCATCTGTGGACGACACACACACCTCAATATATTCTTGAAAATAACAAGAGTAACAGCCCTTTGTCAAACCACTTTTGCATGAAGGCCTCCCCACATCATGTCGGTCACAGGAGTTATTTGACCATACTTCACCATGATGGTCAGTGCGGATTGGTGAAGGGCTGGCACAGGAGCCCTTTCAGATATTGCTCGATACCGATGTTAGTCACGGCCAGGAATCGGACAGAGATTATTGGGTTCATTGCACAGTGCGCAAACCACCCTGCCACCACTCCAACTTTCATCAATATATAACACACACACACTGGCACGGCACACAAGTGGGTGGATGGTCAGCACCACGCCTAGCAAACCTCGCTTAGCGTGACCCCATAGAACGCTGATTCAATTAGCGCTCACTTCTCCAGGAACACATCTTGAGCGGTAAGCGAGGTCTGCCAGTACACACCGCACCAAGTACTAATTTAAGGCTGAGTCCATCTTGGGGAGGGTACAAGGACCAGTTTAGAATTTTCCACCAATGTTGGCTGTGAGTAGGAATCTAACGCTTGGACTGCCAGATTCATAGTTTAGTCCGCTAACCAAGACACCACCGCTCAACCCGCACACTCGCACAGACACGCTCACACAGTCACCCACCGTAGGAGGAGCCCCGCCCACCCCTCGAGTGGTCCAGGCTCGGTGTGCGAGCGAGGGAGTAGACGCTGCTGCTGTAGCTCACGCCCCCAAGCTCCACGCCAGGGTCTGTGGCACATACACATATTACAGTACAGTATAAAGAAAAAGACCCCCCGAATAGCCTGACTAGACTTGGGGCATGTGCTGTTAGCGAGAACCTATGAAGGCCGGTACGGCACATGAGGGGATGGGTGGCCAGCACCATACCCGGCCGCCTTTGTCTCCCTAGTGGCAATGTTTTTACTCATCGCACCAGGTATTCAATTGAGGCTGAGTCGACCTAGGGGAGGCCCAGGACCAGTTCAGCTAATCATCGCTGGTGTTGGCCATGAGCGGGAATCGAACTCGGGTCACCGGGTTCGTAGTGAAGTGTGATAACCACGACCCTACCACTCCCCACAATACATAAGCATCACCTGTACACACTCATACATTAACATATCTAAAAGTGTGCTCACACCCACACGTGCATCCACATTCTTCCTCACCATGATCCTCCCCGCTCCCCGCCAGGTCTCCCTCCTCCTCCAAGGCGTGGAGCGGCGTCCCGCCCACGGAGACGTGAGGAACAGAAGAGCGGAGACCGTCGGGAGACCTGGAAGCCGATCTCCCTGGGGACCTGAGTCTCTGTGTCTCCGGCTTTGTCTCCGCCTGCTGGTAAAGGAGACCTGGAGTGGCACTTCCAGCCTCTTCTGCAGTCACAGAATAACAACACAGAATGGCCAGGGTTAGCAGTAGAGTCAGGCTAAGGGTTTAAAGGTAGGGTTAGAAGCAGGGGGGTTAGAGATATAATTATGGTTAGCAGTAGGGTTATGATCAGTGTTAGTGGTACTGTTTGGGGTTGGGAATAGATATAGGGTTTGGGTGAAGCATAGGCCTATGGGTCAGGTAAAGGTTTGGTTGAAGTTAGGGTTAGGGTCAAGGATATGGGTCGAGTTACGTTTCGTGTTTAGAAGAATGTTATCTCGAAAGTTAACGCCTGTGCTGTGCAGGTTTCGTGCTGAGCGTACCCGTGAGCGAGACGGCGCAGGCCAGCAGCGAGTAGCTGGTGTTGAGCACGAGGATACGGTCACAGCCGAGCTGGACAGATGGCTGGAACCCGGGGAACGGGAACACCACCTGGGATCCAACACGGTATGCAGAGAGCAGCATACAGACAGGGGAACACATAGAGTGGGACACAGTGGCACAAAAAAAAAGAGATCCCATGTAGCCATACCGACTTATGCCAAATCCTACTAACCCTTTGCCATTCCGATGACGTGCGTATAAGTCATCGGAATCAGCTTTTTCCGATTCCATAATTGGAAGAAAAACTAAAATTAAATAACTTTATCAGTATGTCTTTAGGTCAGAAAACGTACCGAGGATCCCACAAGACCATGCGGGGGGGAATATGGCATCGTTTGGCACCAGCTATCAGTGTGGTCATGTCGCAAAAAATTTTTGCGGTTGGTACAATGTCTTTAAAAACAACGGCGCCATGCCTCTCTAATTAAAATTAACGCAAACCACTAGCACTTTCCGAGATTCAGCGGTGAACGAGACCCACTCTGCAACTTGCAGATGTCTCAGAATGGGAAAGGTTTAAGGTAATAAGTTAATTACCACTGATATTCACTGCGGCCGGGAATTGAACTTGGACCTGTGGGTGATACACATAGTAGTCCACAAAGGGGTAGACACCGTAGGAAACACATAGTACACGAGGGAGTGCACGACACGCACGGAAGTACACACATTAGTGGACAGTGGTTCACACACAATGGTTACACGAGGCGGTACATACCTGGTAGTGGAAGTTGACAAGGTAGCCATGACGACGACACCTCCCACGGAGACCGGACTCCCCTAGGGACACAGAAAAGCACAGACCATGGTACAGACGCACAGACCTGGATACAGGTAAAGATACACAGACACAAGGATAGTGAGAAACACAAAAAGAAACAAAGACAGGCACAAAGATGGGGCCAAGTTTGAGGCAATGAGTGTACAAAGCCTTGGGAGTTGTCCTTGATTCTGAGCTCTCAGTTTCTCCCCACAAATCTGAAATGCACGAGACCTCAAACCTGTATTTCTGCAACACCTCCCACATCAACCATTTCCTTACTCGAACTGTTGCTCAGACCCTCATCCATGCCATCATCACATCTCAACTCCAATATTGCAATTCTCCTCTCTATGGCCTCCCCCACATTCCTCCTCTCCAAACTCCAGATGATCCACGGTCCCCGCTGCCAGACTTCACAGTGGCACTAGTAAACGAGACCACAGCACTACAATAATACAATTCCTCCACTAACTCCCAACCTGATGCCAGAAATTTCAAGATCACACTCATTGTCTTCAAGATCCTCCATGGACTCTCTCCTCTCATCACCCTCTTAGTCCCCTCCATAAACTCTCCTGCCTCTCCCCTCTACTCCATGCACTTGCCGCTCCAGCAAACACTTTTTGTTGATGCTCCAGTCAATCTTACGTTCAGGATCCTTACCTTAACATCTCGCATTTCACCAGCATCAATTCAAGCAAATGTGACTGTGCTGATGAGACACTATATGTCAACACCGGTCCAGTATGTTTGTATTTAATTGATGCTGCTGAAATTCACTCCCAGAAGGCCGTGGAACCAATGAGTTGTGAAACGAATACCTTTTTTAATGCCGCGACAGATATATGAAGGAAACATCTGAATTGTCAAATTCAGATGTTGCTCATTTATTGTGGGTGCAGTGGTATTACCACGGTTGCCTACGTACGGTGCGAAATAAGTTAAACATACATACACATGCATACGTATCTGTGGGTGCAATGTTATCTGTGGGTGCAGTGGTATCTGTGGGTGCAGTACTATCTGTGTGAGTGGTACCTGTGGGTAAGGCACTGCTGCACTCTGCACACGCGGTAAGGGGTGGCGAGGCAGCGATGGTGATGAAGACATCGCGGTGATCCTCGCTCGGCAGTACACCGAGTGGTAAATCGGAGATCACTGTACTGCACGAGCAACATTAACACCATCAACACCATCACAGACAGCATGAAATGCCATCACTATCAACACCATCACGGGCAGCATCAACACTATCAAGACGATCAACACGAGAACCGTAAACCGCATCTACACCACCACCGTCACCAGCTCTGCATCGCTGACCCCTAAGTCAAATGGCCACCTCCATAGCTAAGAGCTTTTCACGGAACTGGTCACGGATCCCTTTCACAGAGTGGTAGGGTAACGAGTCTCTAGACAATTAATCTGAGCTGTGGGTTGTGGGTACCTGATGCCGTAGACCATGATTTGTGAGGGGTCCGAGGGCCACTCGCACACGGAAAGGAAGAGGTCGCTACACGCTGGGGTGTCCCCAAAAAGACGCACACGGCACACCTGCACATGCAGGCAAACAAACACATGTGCACACAGGTTACACATACATACACACGTACTCCTACACCTGTACATCCATGGGCACGTTCAGGTACACTGAAATGGACAAACACCTGCGCACGCAGGTACACACGCATGAGCATGTTGCTCTTGATGATCAAGTTCAACTTTATAAAAGCATTCAAACCCGGCACAGTTCGTATACGTAAGATGCAGTGTGTGTATACAGTGAGTGTGCATATATATAGAAGTAAATGTACAACCATTTTGTCAATCTACTGCTGGATGAGGGCATCCCAACACCTTAAGGGGTATTTAGTGAAGGGGGGGTTGCAGAGACAATGGGTGCACAGATGATGGGGCATAGAAAGTACCGTACAACAATGGCTTTTGCTGCACTGTTTCTCTGTTGCCCACCATGTAGTCCCAAATCGGCCTACAACAACTTGACATGCCCAGTGGTCGCCCATTTGGGCATGATCCAGTATCCAGTACAGCTGGGCTGTCTATTATAATTGATTACTCGATTATTAGTTTGATTACACGACTAATCAGATGGCGTAATAGTTGGAAATAAAATTCACCTCTGTTGACATGTGTGCCGTTGTACCGGAGGTGAAGAGTGGGGCTTGATGATGTCACAGGTTTCCCGCCTTCGGAAGGCAGGATGTTGTGAATGCATGTGTATATGCAGTGTGGGGAGCGGTGGCGCAGTGGTAAGCGCGCTCTTCTACAAACTCGGAAAACAGAGTTCTATTCCCGCTCAAGGCCAACGCCAGTGACGATTTTATGAACCAGTCATGGGCATCCACTAGGCCGACTCAGCCTCAAATAAGAACCTGGTACGATGTGCAAACACTGTCACTCCGCGGCCGGGCGCGGTACTGGCCACCCACCCCCCCCTCTTGTGCATTGCCGGCCTTCATAGGTGCTATTCGCTAAACTGCACTTTCTCCAACAGTCTGTTAAATACTATACAGGAGATATTTGTCTTCGTTATATGCAGTGTGTCACCTGCTGTAAGGGCCGGGAGAGCGAGAAGCCCCACCAGTACAGGTCGTACACGAATAGCGCCGTGGCGGTTGCGTCTATCTCCTCCAGGCGCCGCGTGTATGACAGCAGGAAACGGCCACACTTGCTGAAGCCAAGGAACACGTGTCTACACACATCATACATATCCCCATAAGCATCACACAGATACAATAGACACCTGCGTCAAAAAAATATGTGATTTCCTGCTCAATTGAGCACTGAGACAGTGCTCATAACCTGTTTATAGCCCTGAGCCTGTGGTGGAAAATCCAGGTTCCTATTGAAGATGCGAATTTATAAACTAAACCAATTTTTTTTATTTTTATATAAAAAAAAATTACCAGATAAGGCCCACTGAGCTATATAGCTCTTTATCAGAAGCGACCAGGCCACAAATGATAGCCCAACAAAGTTGCTTATCATGTGGAAATGTATAGCAGCCAAATACTCCTAACGTATGTTTCTAAATGTGGAGGGAAAACTGGAGGACCCGGAGAAAAATCCACATTATCACAGGAAGAGAGAAATGGAAAGTCCAAATATAAAGCAGGCATCAGGGTTGGGATCAAACCCACGTCCTCCTGTATTCCAGGCGAGGCAGCTAACATCTCAAAGTGGTACAGTTTGAATCCACCCCAAACCATACTTTGAACTTGCAACCTTCCGATTGAGAGCCGTTATGTATACTACTGAGTCGTGGTCTCGTGGATACACACACATATACAGTGCATCACATACATACACACATCAATTTCGGGTCACATATCCAGTGTTAATGCTGATCAGGGCAAATATCAAAGTCAGGGCTAGTATAAGTGCTCATGTTAGAATTTAGAATTGTGTGTCAGGGCTAGTATTAAAGCGAGTGTTAGCGCTAGTCTAGTGTCAAGGCTATTGTTCACGTTAGGGTGTGTTTTTCATACTGTTTTTTTTTGTAAGATTGAGTAAAACATATATATGTCGTTAAACCCGCCACCACCCGACACAGCCAATTAGTAAGGTTTGTTACACAAAACACGTGAGGGACGCGGGCTGAGGGACGCTGGCTGTGAGGGGTGGTGGCAGGTTTAACGACACATTTATATATTTACAAGATCTAACCCAAAACAAACCTGTATTATTATGGATATTGGTGGCGAAAGCCCTACTACGTGTTAAACTGAAGGGTGTGTTTGTGCCCGTGCTGGTGTTGGGTAAAAACGCACGCGTGGCCCTATCCCAAACAACTCACCCTTGCCTCATGACGCCCTCCGACACAATGGAGCCCAGCGGGCGGCACAGACGCGAGGGTAGAGCCCGGAACAGGAGGCGTGGGATCCGGCCAGTGATCTACACACACACAGCACTGTCTTAGTCGGTCTCTAATAGACTCGTGCACAAACACTACACTGCCTCGGCGTGGCTTGATGAGACTTGCGTACAAACAGCACTTGCATTAGTCCGACTCTAGAGACTTACACACAACACTGCCTCAGTGTGGCTCCATGAGACTCATGTAGTACACACAGCACTGCCTCAGTGTGGCTCCATGAGACTCATGTAGTACACACAGCACTGCCTCAGTGTGGCTCCATGAGACTCATGTAGTACACACAGCACTGCCTCAGTGTGGCTCCATGAGACTCATGTAGTACACACAGCACTGCCTCAGTGTGGCTCCATGAGACTCATGTAGTACACACAGCAATGCCTCAGTGTGGCTCCATGAGACTCATGTAGTACACACAGCACTGCCTCAGTGTGGCTCCATGAGACTCATGTAGTATACACAGCACTGCCTCAGTGTGGCTCCATGAGACTCATGTAGTACACACAGCACTGCCTCAATGTGGCTCCATGAGACTCATGTAGTACACACAGCACTGCCTCAGTGTGGCTCCATGAGACTCATGTAGTACACACAGCACTGCCTCAGTGTGGCTCCATGAGACTCATGTCCACGCAGCACTGCCTCAGTGTGGCTCCATGAGACTCATGTCCACACAGCACTGCCTCAGTGTGGCTCCATGAGACTCATGTCCACACAGCACTGCCTATGTGGCTCCATGAGACTCATGTACACAGCACTGCCCTAGTTTGTCTCTATGGATGAGGTACACACAACACAGCACTGCCTGTCATCTGGACAAGACTCGTGCACGCACGTACAGCAATGTCTTAGCCTGGTTCTATGAAACGCGTGCACACACATCATTGCCTTAGTGTGGCTCTGAGACTAACACACACAACATTGCCTCAGTTTATCTCCATAACACACAAAGCAATGCCTTGGTCCGTCCCTATGGGACACAAGCACAACATTGATTTCGTCTGGCTCTATGAGCCATAGGGTCGGGGGGGGGAGCCTCAGTCAGAATCTTATGAGGCATACCGAGCCTTGTTCGGCTTTATGAACCTGGCTGGCTCTACCGAGCACCGGTGGTCACTGCACAACTCTGGCAGACTGCGAGCGAGCGAGCGAATGAGCGCGCGTCATCTCCTTCCTTTCCCTTCGCACCGGGATGAGGGCGAGTCGCTGCACGAGGCCCGGATCGGTCCGACACCGCCGCCTCCGCGGTACCACGGGCGGCGCCATTTCCCGCGCTTCTTTCTCCCTGTCGTGACGTCACTTCCCACTTCCGCCACACGCCGCAACCGCCCCACGCCCCCCCCTAAACCCCGCCCCCCCACGCCCCCCCACACGCCGCAGCCGCAACCGCCCCACGCCCCCTCCTAAACCCCGCCCCCCCACACCCCGCAACCGCCCCACGCCCCCCCTAAACCCCGCCCCCCTACACGCCGCAACCTCCCCACGCCCCCCCCCTAAACCCCGCCCCCCCTACACCCCGCCCCCCCTAAGCCCCCCCACACGCCGCAACCTCCCCATGCCCCCCCGCCCCCCCGCCCCTCCCAACACGCCCCCCCCCACACCGCCGGCTTTTAACCATCCGGTGGCAGCCGACCAATTGGCAGCGGAGTTCGGAGCGCAAGAAGCGTCCAATGTACGTCATCACGTGCTGGGTGACCTAATGACGCACGCTGCGGGGATCGCAACGCCGCTTATGACGTTATACGCACGAAACTTTTCATGACAAAAAATATATTTATTAAATGTTGTCGGAACGTTAAATGAGCGCTGTATCCAATACTATGAATGTACCTTTTAAAACGTAACCTGATTTCTATAAAGATTTTTTTTAAAGGACCATTCATACGGCTCCAACGGTGGTTACCCTTATTGTAAGTTGGCCAAATGTTCACGTTTTTTTTACACAGCTTCTTATTAACGGCTTCTGTTAGTAAATAAAACACAAACCACGACTTAGACGTTCACACCGACATGGTAGTTACACACCGGGCACCACCACCTCGACGAGTCAGCTGTCCTCTGTTGTATTTGGCACAAAGTTGGGAACAAGCTTAGTTTCCACACTTAACATCAAAAAAATCTTCCTTAAAAAAATATATTCTAAAGCAGAAAATGAGTGCTGGATACAGCCACATTTGCAAATGTGACTTGTTAATTTCATCCTTAATGGATTGAGAAACAATAATATATAAAACAATAAAATTATCACGACGTTTCGACTGCAACACAAGCAGTCATCATCAGGTGTGAAAACCAACAGCAAGAACATTGGTTTTCACACCTGATGATGACTGCTTGTGTTGCAGTCGAAACGTCGTGAGAATTGTATTGTTTTATATATTATTTTATTGTTTCCCTTCAACGTGACTTTACCGAAAGAACCAAGAATATGAATCACTGCAGTCACGAAAGCTTTAAATCAAAAATGGATTGAGAGTTCAATTTTATACTCTTTGGATCTTTCGGTAAAGTCACCTGAAGACGATTGCTTGTGTTGCGATCGAAACGTCGTGGTTTTAAAATTATTTTTCTATCTACGTGACTTTACCGAAAGACCCAAAGAATATTAATTCCTGCAGTCACGAAAGCTTTAAGTCAAGATTTAGTTCAATTTTAATGTACATTTTTTTTAGTTGAGGGACCGCGCTGTCGGTGTGGTCTTGGGACTGTTTTCTGTTGTTTTACTGACTTTTACAAGCTTGGGAATTGATGACGCAATTGTAACTTGTATACTTTGATTGAAGAGGCGCCAAGGCGGTGTGACATTAACTCCCTCGCCTGGTATGCAGGAGGTCGTGGGTTCGGTCCCGACCCTGACGCTTGCTGCTGCTGCTGCTGTATATTTGAAGTTTGCGTGGATTTTTCACCAGGTCCTCCGATGTTTCCCTCCAAATTTAGAAACATGCATTTAGATTAAGTTGCTGCTATAAATGTCCAAATTATAAGCCACTCTGTCGACTCAGCCACATGGCCTGCAAACAGGCATGTCCACCAGTAGGGGGCGGCGATTGCTTTGTATATTCCAAAATGAGTACTCACTGGGCCCATTTGATGCATTCTGATCAGTGGCGTAGTTAAATACATTATCATCTCAAGGGGTGCGGCAATCAAATTATAAATTTATACCGGATGAATCCGATAAGCTATCAAGCTCCTTTTCACAGGTGTCCAGGAGGGGCAGGTAAGAACGTTACAATACAAAGCATAATAGTCGTGCAAAGTAGAAGGTAAACAAATCACCCAAACACACAAATAAAACGAAACCATCCCTTTCTACCAGGTAAACCCACTGAGGTATTAACTTATTTTTCAGAGCAACCTGGCTACAAATGGTCGCTCAACAAAGTGGCTTATCATTTGGACATTTATAGCAGCAAAATAATATAATCTCAATGCGTGTTTCTTAATGTCTTGGGAAAAACCCGGAGGACGCAGAGAAAAAAATCCACACAACCACGGGAAGAGCATGCAAACTCCAAATATACAGGCATTAAGATCAGGATCGAACCCCCGACCTCCTGCACAGCTCCTCCTGCCTAGTCACATCATTACCTTCACGGTCTCGAACATTTAACGCTGTAGGGGTGCTTCGTCTTCACAAAATATTTTTTTTCCATTTTGCACTTTTGAAAACATATCTCATGGTGTTCTTGGTTCTTTCGGGAAAGTCACGTAGAATGAGAATAAAACAAAATAAGACAATACAATTCTCACGACGTTTCGGCCACAACACAAGTAGCCTTCTTCAGGTGAAGGAACAGAACTGTCGGGACGACAGCGGAACAGAACTGTCGGGACGACAATGCTGTCGTCCCGACAGTTCTGTTCCTTCACCTGAAGAAGGCTACTTGTGTTGTGGCCGAAACGTCGTGAGAATTTTATTGTCTTGTTTTATTCTCATTCTACGTGACTTTACCGAAAGAACCAAGAAGATGAATCCTTGCAGTCACGAAAGCTTTAAATCGAAATATTTCATGGTGGTTTGGCCACCGGAGGGGAGGTGGGGCAAGGCATCCCCTGTCCCCACGCGAGTTCTGTGGCTGCTTGTGAAAGGTGTCCATTTGGTGTTTGTGTATTGTAATTAAAAATTTGACAAATTGGACATTGACGCCAGCACAGGATGGCCTAGTCTTTACAAATAAGGCCAGGGGATTGTTAATGTCCACTGTGAAACAGATGGCGCTGGTATTATCGTGGATATTACACCTACAATATTAATCACCGTGGCCACGACTGTGAACCTCTGCAAAAAGCGACGAACGCACTACCACGAGGACTTGTCACTGCCCCTAACCATTTACGCGAGAACATGCGTAAATCAAGAAGCATGCCACCGATATAATTCGGCTTTACCCAATGACGTAATTATATATATTAATACATAATATGCAGTCGTTGCAACTTTTGTTACATCCCTACCTGTATGACTTTCCGATTCGACGTCATATCTCTCGCACCGAACACGACGTCACGGCACAAGATGTGCGATTATGTCATCACGTCCCATGTGTTAGACGCGTGGTGTCACTACATAAGACATTGAGTTATGTTCAGTGTATGATACCAAAACTTTACATTTTGTGAAAGGTGCTCCAGAACCAGTAATTGTCATTATTACAAATTTGTCAAGAATCATCGCAGAACATTTATATAAAAAAAATACTTTATTACAATGGCATGAGGGTGAGGATTTGGAAGAAGGCAGGGGTGGGGAAAATGCATCTTGCCGAAGACTGAATACAACTTTCAAAAACCTTTGGTGCCCACACTTACATAAACCTCCGTCAATTCTGTCACGATAGAAACCCCATGCTGTGTCAGGAGCGAGTGAACTTGCTTAAGCTAGAAACACTGATTTGTTTAAGTGACAAAAACATTCCACTCCTGTCCCCGATGACCACTGCGAAAAGATACCTGCAGTGGTGCATACATACAGTTTGCGATTTCGTTGAATTGAAGTCGGAGATTGTTCCGTGGATTCCCTACGCTTAGTGAGGGTGAGAGTTCTGTTTTCAGGGCCCCAAGGGTCCTGGTCACTTGATCACAGAACGCGCATCATGTGACTCAGGCAGGATGCCCGACCGCTGGTCACGTAATCCATCAGCTCAGGTCCGTGTGTGAAGGGGGCTCCCCCTCGCACCACTGCCTGGGTCCCAGCGCCATCAGGGTCACGTGCGGGAGGAGGGCGGGGCCCAGAGTCCGCCTCACCGAGCCCCAGCGCGGGGGGTCTCTTTGTGGCGGGGGGCGGCGGCGCCGGCGGGGGGGGCGGCCGGGGCCACGGGGGGCGGAGGGGGGCAGCGCATTGGTGAGTTCCTTCTTCCACAGGTAGTAGAAGCACACGCACTCGCCCACGGAGCGTGTGCGCACCTGGGGCAAGCAGATAACAACACACGCAGGTGCGCGTCTTGCATAGGTTCAAACCTCAGCTGAACACTGCCAAAATGGCACCGTGTCATCACTACACCCCCATCATGTCCCACGTTCCTGTTCCTCTGTTCCCTTGTGTTTCTGTATCTCCCGTGTGTCTGTCTCACCTTATTGTCCTGTACGAGGTGGAATTTATTATGACATGTCCACGTGTGTCCCAGTGTCCCTGTATACCTGTGCATATCTCTGTCACTGTGTGTCTTCCACGTGGCTCTGTATCCTCATGTCTCACCTTACTGGACTGTATGAGGCGGAAATTCTTGCCATAAAGTCTCATCCCAACCTCAAAATTCCTCTGCTCTACCTTACTCCATCCACACAGAGGAGCTGACATGCGGAGACACGGGGACACACAGGGACAAAATAAGGACATGAGAACAAGGGAATATGAGAACACATGGGGACATGAGAAAAGGGAGATTCGGGGAACACACAGACATAATGACATGAGGAAAAACGGATAGCTTGGAATGGTGCTGGCTCATCCACCCTATTGACGTCAGCCTTAATAGGTACTCGCACATTCTATCTTGTATCACAGAAAAATATTCTATTCTTGGGCAAGCCACTCAATTTACGTATCATTTAGGTCAAGAATCGGTTTTCAGTAACGCATCAGTACATAATTTCAGCACTTGCCTTTATGTGTATGCACATGTGTATTTGTACATTATGTGTGCATGTGTCTCTCACAAATATCTTTCTTGACTGCAAACGACATTCTCTTCAGCGCCTCCCGTGAGTCAAAATGTGCACGCATGAGATGCCATAGAGCCTGTGTACATACAAGACAAAGTTCCCCGTATAGCCTTTTATCAGACTGCTAGGGCAATTGCTATGTATACACACACATACACACAGGTACACGCAGGTACAAAGGCAGAGGGGGGTGAGTAGAGTAGCGAGTAGTGTAGTTATGGTGAGTAGAGTGATGAGTGGAGTGGAAAGCAGAGTGGTGAGAAGTGAGTAGAGTGATTATTAGAGAGGTGAGCGAGTATTGAGCAGTTCTTCACCTCCTTGCCATCCCTCACCCTGTGGGTCTGTAAATGGTGAGTGGTGAGTAGACTGGTGAATAGAGTGGCGAGTAAAATGAAGAAAGGTGAGTACAGTGGTTAGTGGAGAAGTGAGTGATGAGTAGAAGGCTAAGTAATTTGTGATCATCTCCTCGTCCTACACTCTTCTTGAGTCCGAGAGTGGGGAGTAGTGGGGAGTAGTGGGAAGTGGTGGTGAATAGTGGTTTGTAGACAGTAGTCATGGAGTGCCGAGTAGCAAGGTGAATGGGGAGTAGTGGTAAGTAGAGGGGCGAGTAGTGAGCACCTCCTCGTCGTCGCACACGCTGTAAGTATCGTCCCCTCCTCTGCTCTGCGCGTGGAGCAGGAAGGAGGCAACGGTCGTCTCGGGCAGCACGGACGGATCCCACAGCAAAGACTCACACTGGCGTTCCCCTGCAACCACGACAATCACATTATAAAACTAAACTATGCATTTTATACTCTTTGGTTCTTTCGGTAAAGTCACGTAAGGTAGAAAAATAATAGATCACGACGTTTCGATCACAACACAAGCAATCGTCATCATGTGGGACAACCACAGCAAGAAAAAACTGCTGAAGGCCTACTTCCGGATAAGTAATTTGCTGAAGGCCTACTTCAGCAGTTTTTTTCTTGCTGTGGTTGTCCCACCTAATGATGATTGCCTGTGTTGCGATCGAAAGGTCGTGATCTATTATTTTTCTACCTACGCAACTTTACCGAAAGAACCAAAGCGTATGGATTCTTGCAGTCACGAAAGCTTCAAATCAAGATTATGCATTTTATTTTACCAGGTAAGGCCCACTGAGCTGTATAGCTCCTTTGCTGAAGTGACCTGGCCACAAATAATAGCTCAAGAAAGTGGCTTATCATGTGGAAATATATAGCAGCCGAATACTCTAAACGCATGTTTATAAATGTGTAGGGAAAAACCGGAGGACCCGGAGAAAAAATCTACGCGACCACAGGGAGAACTTGCAAACTCCAAATATACACGTGCCAGGGTCGGGATCGAACCCACGACCTCCTGTATACCAGGCGAAGTAGTTAACATCTCGCAACCCTGACACCCGACATAATAACCACAACCATGTAACCATAACCAACCACAACACTGCCACATACACCACAACCTCACCAACAGAATGAACAGGCTCTAGAGACTCACTCTGGGTATCCGCAGCAACCATAATCGCAACGCTCACACTACAACCACAAACACAGCAACTTCCACTGTACAACAACATAACCACACTCCAACCATTCAGCCACGACAATAGCACTCACTTCCCCATATAACAACACTACAACCACACACTCCAATCATTCAGCCACGATATTAGCACTCACTTCTCCATATAACAACACTACAACCACACACTTCAACCACACTCCAATCATTCAGCCACGATATTAGCACTCACTTCCCCATATAACAACACTACAACCACACACTTCAACCACACTGCAATGCTCACACTATAAACACAAATACACTAACCACAGCCACACAACCATACAGCCACAACAACAACAACCGCCATTCGCCACTAAGTGGCAATGACGTCACCACGACGCTTGTGCCAGGCCATGTACACCTTGAGGCCACACACACTCTATAACAACCCTAAAACCACACTCACCACCAAATTCTTCCAAACGGTGGTGCGTCCCCATATCTACATCACGTCCCCATTTCTCCCTTCTCCTCCCCATGTCTCACTTCCCTTCTACATGTTTTTATTCACCTCCCCATGTCTCTCGTCACCTCCACATGTTTCAACGTGCCTACAACCACAAGGTGTCTCTCTGTTTCTTCATTTCCCCTTGTATATGCGTATCCATGTATTTGCGTCTTCCTTTGCCTCCCCTCCCCGTCTCCCTTCTTCTCTTCATCAATTGCAGTGTCCCTAACGCCTCCCTACATCTCCCCGTGCTTTTCCATAGCTTCCTTTACAACCCCCATGTATTCCTTCTCCCAGTGTTGTCCTACGTCTCCCCGAGTGTCCCCATGTATCTCTGGATAGGGGATGTGACTCTGTGCTGTGTGTGTCTCTGTGGGTACCGGCTGGGTCTCTGTGTTCTGCTCTCTCAGGCACCACGGCCTGATAATTTGGCCCAATCATGATTCGCTTCCTCTCCGAAGGGCTCTCCTCCCCATCCTTCTCACCTGCGTGGAAAGAGACACGTGAAGGCAAGTTGGATATGGGAATAAAAAAATACACGGAGACATGGATGGTAAGGGGACAAGAAGACGTAGAGACACACGAGGGGACACAGGCACTGATAGGGATATGGAGACACAGAGACCCACAGACACTGAGAAACAGGCGCATAGTGACACGGATAATTGGGCAAGGGAATACAGACACAGGGGCATGGGGAGTTATGGATATGGGGGCGAGGGGACACGAGGGGCAGTAATATAGTGGACATTGGAATACAAAGAGTGGCATGGGGACAAGTTAACACAAATGTGAATATCGGTTTTCACCTGTTTCCATGAGCTTCATTACTGTTTTAGCCCGTGTATGATGTTTTGGGCTTCTCAATCCCACGTTCACTCCTGTAAGCAATACACGATTTCCGTTATGTATGTGTATGGTGGATATGCGTGTATGTACACTATGTTTTTGTTCACAGTAACAACTCCGGCAAGCTGGACCCTGGCTAGCCATTTTTCCGCCAGACCAAAGACAAATGCGGGCCAAATAAAACAAATCTGTTATGTATTTTCAGTGCAAGAACATTGTAAAAAATGTACAATTCCTTATGTAATATACTCTTATATAAGCGCACAACTTCATCTCTCTGTGATGAACGCTGCACTTTCCGTCGTTTTCATGCAGGGGGCGCTGTAAACCTACACGTGCCCCCTGCATGAACGACGGAGGCGCAGGGACAGACGTTCGATTACGTTGGAATCGATCTGTAGAGAGTGGTCTTCTCGCATGGCCAGCAGCTCCACGTCGCCTTATCTCGATCCCGCAATCCCAAACAGGTGAAAGTCCGCATCGAACCGAACCCCCAGCAAGGCCATCTACTTAACGACGAGAGGAAATTCACACAAAATGTAGTTTTCAATTAAGTCTTCCAGATGTAAAATTATATAAGCTTTTAATGAATGAATAAATTATCTAATTCAAAACATAACACAATTCAAAGACGTTTCATTTTAAAACTTAAAAACGGAGCATCGGGTGCTTGCGTGAATGCGTTGTTCGTGTGAAAGTTTTGTGACTTTCCTGGCCAAAGGCCGTAAATTATTGTGAGGGCTGCCGCAGGTGCCCCCGAACAACCCCTATTAACATGTATAACAAAACACATGAGAACACGGATATGTATGAAAAAGAGCCTTATAGCTCATCGGATTCCTCCAGTATAAATACGTATTTTTTTTGTTAAATTTAATTTATATAAATACCTAATTGTTGTGAATTAAACATGCTAAAGGAAACGCGTTCGTGGTTGGGAGGGGTGATGGGTGATGGAGGAGGGGTGATGGGGGGAGGGCTGATGGGGGGAGGGGTGATGGAGGGGTGATGGAGGGGTGATGGAGGGGTGATGGGGGAGGGGTGATGGGGGGAGGGGTGATGGAGGGGTGATGGGGGAGGGGTGATGGGGGGAGGGGTGATGGAGGAGGGGTGATGGGTGATGGGGGGAGGGGCGATGGGGGGAGGGGCGATGGGGGGAGGGGTGATGGGTGATGGGGGGAGGGGTGATGGGGGGAGGGGCCATGGGGGGAGGGGCCATGGGGGGGAGGGGCCATGGGGAGTGATGAGATCGGCAGAGCTTGGAGCTACACAACTACCGACTCACCTATACAAACTAGTAACACAGCAAACACCCACTACGACCGTATCTTTTTATTTCGTCTTTAAACTAACACGCACATCATACACTACACACACATTAATACACTGTGTCGCGTTACACAGAGAGTCGTTGTCTTTACATATATTGTCATTCAAATCTCGTCTAGCCGGACTTTTCAGCAGCCATACATGCTCCCCCGCCCCCACTGTTAGTCCGGCTAGACGGGGTTATACTGTTTGTATTTGTACAGTATATGTATGGTGTGTGTGTGTGGGGAGCAAATCCTCTGTTGGTTAGATCAGTGTGAGACTAAAGGAACACCAAAGAAATGTTAAATACTCCCAAACACAACTGTCGGCAGTGGCAGAACACGCGTACCAACAACGGCACTCAATTGATTTTGATCATTTGAGAGTAGGTTTTCCCCTTTTTTCTGGAAACAAAACAGGTGTTGAGATGTTAAAACACCAAACTGAAACCTTTTTACAAGGAATCACGTCTGCATTAACCACAATACTTGTGGTCAGAATGCAAACAAAAACACTGATAATATATGCACTGTCCTTGAAACTGATTGGTCCACACCAGAGACATCTTTCTTTTGAGCCTAGTCTCAAAACAGTGTGAGACCAATCAGTTTCAAAGACAATGCATATATTATCAGTGTTTTTGTTTGCATTCTGACCACAAGTATTGTGGTTAATGCAGACATGATTCCTTGTAAAAGGTTTCAGTTTGGTGTTTTAACATCTTAACACCTGTTTTGTTGCCAGAAAAAAGGGGAACAACCTATTCTCTGATTTTGATAATTTTGAGGTTTTGTGCAAAACCAGTTACTTAGTCAAGATTAATAAAATAATCTGTTAATTTGAGAGAAATATAAGTAATTTTAACCATTTTGATAGGTACATGCTTAGTGCTGATTGGAAGCATGTTATTAAGTACTATACTGTTTAACTGCATGCCTAAACAGGTCACCATGTCGATGGTGATTAACTGTGAGCAGCCAACAGCAGGTATTACGATTTTGTCATCCAAAAACGGAAGAATGTACATAGATTTGATACTGTGCATGCGTGATGTATATACATTATGTATGTTGATTAACTTAGAATAGCCACACCAATAATAGATACCCTTTGTAATTTATATGAATACATTAACTTCCCACCCCCTTCTGATCTTCGCACATGATCACATTTATCCCTCAATTTAAGACTGAAACAGAAGGATTTCTCCACAACTCTGGCTGTTGCCTAATGCGGCTGGATGTAATAACCTGCGAAACGTCGTACTCGAATTGTAAATGTTTTGGGTTTACTCTCCAACACACCGGTGTGCTGAACTGGCAACGAATTGGCACGTTTTGTTTACGTGACAAAGCTTATAAATTGGTTGTGTCTGGTGGTAGCGGGTTTAAACGACACATTCATATTCTAGCGATCTAACCCAAAGACCTATGGATATTATGGTAGTGTAGTGGCTAGTGCAGTGGTTCTCAACCTTATTTGGCGACTGTTCACCCCCTTCTTAAAAAAATGTTTCAACAAAGTACCTCCCCACCCCCTCCTTTTGCATGACCGAACATGGTTCTGAGAAATAAATGTACGAATATTGAACGTAAATATTTTAACCAATTGTCCATAATGTGAGGTACCTTAACGAGCTAGTAACTGCAAGCGAATAAAACTAAATTTAAACGGACGCTCTGCATGCGTGATGTATTTTGTTCGCGCTAGCTGGTTACTATCTTGATTTGAAGCTTTCGTGACTGCAGGAATGCATACTCTCTGGTTCTTTCGGTAAAGTCACGGAGGTAGAAAAAATAATAATAGATCACGACGTTACGATCGTCACACAAGCAATCGTCTCCCACTCTTTGAAACCACATGCCTACTATAATCACCCAGGAATGTCTGTCCTCAATGCTTGTGACGTCACTCCATATCGACCAGCCCCCCTCATTAATATTCATGATCAGGTGACATCCCTCCACATCAAACAGCCTGCCTCAATAATCATTATAAAGTGACATCCTCCAAATGGACACCCCCCCCCCCCCATTAATAATAATTAGCGGCTGACGTCACTCCACATGGGGGGCCGAGGCGCTGCCTCCCCCCTCCTCGGCGTCAACTGACAACCCTCGCTACAAAGGCAGAACCCTCACGTCACGTGATCTCCGTAACGCTGTTGAGACATCGAAGTAAAAAGGACGTCGTGATGAACAAGGGATTATAACCTTTAAATTAAATAATAGGTCTGTGTCACCGCACCCTTACAAATTGCACACGCATTGATGCAATGAATATATCACGTCGTGGTCTGATTTTCGCTTTTTGCTAGTTTCAGATTTACTGCAATACACCCGTCTTTGGACGGGCAAAAGGCTAGTTGTTTATAATCAATGAGCTTAGAAAGGTATTTTATATCGTTCAAGGAGCTTAGAAAGGTATTTTATATCGTTCTATGTTACCACATGGATTAAAATGTTATCGTAGTTATTATACATACATGATTATTCACCAATGACTCTCACGTATGATATAATTTCACACATTTATACTTGGACACTGTCACGTACCCCCAGGGATCCGTGTACCCACGGTTGAGAAACACTGAGAACCACTGTGCCAGTGCACTGCACTACAAACCCAACTAGCAGAGTTCGATTCCTGCTGACAGTCAACATCAGTGACGAATATGTAAACTGGTACTGGGTCTCCCCTAGGTGAGCTCTGCCTTCATGATTACCTGGAGCAGTGTGTGAATCAACATTGTGGAGAGAAAGGCAGCGTGGGGCATGGTGCTGGCCACCCACCCCCTCGTGTGCTGTGCCAGCCTTAGTAGAATCATGTGTTTAGAGCATTTGGCTGCTGTATATTTCCACATGGTAAGGCACTTTGTCGAGCTATCATTTGTGGCCAGGTCGCTTTTGACAAAGAGCTATAAAGCTCAGTGTCTTTACCACGTAAAATAACAAAAATCGGTGTTCACTAACAGCACTTGCCACAAAGTCTGTTAAAGGCAATAGGGAGGATCGTTTCTTTGTATGGTGTGTATGTGTGCACTTGTCTTTATATGTATGGTGTGTGCGTACCAGTATTTGGTCGAGTCACAGTGAGCGGAATACTAACACGACAGGACCAGTCTTCCTGCACACACGCACACACACATATATTATTTTGCCCAACAGTAATACGAATGCAGTTCAGCCAGGAAAGCCTGCGTCTCAAGGCTTTTCAAGTAGGGCCCTGTATTAAGACATATGGACAATTACTATTTTGCTTAATGTGGAAGGAAACCAGAAAAATCTGGTAAAACCAACGACCAAAACTTTGCACACTAAGTTTATATTTCATTCCAATATTGTCATCTGCCGGTCACTTCACATGCCTGCATAGATGTGTAATGAGAGAGCACCATCCAGGGGGTGCCAGAGAGTAATGGGTACAGGCACCATCAGCATCAAATCCTAAGGAGAGAGAAGATCTGGGACAGAGAGGACGGGCGGGGAGGCTGAGAAAGGTTCGGGAACTATCGGGAAGGTTCCCCGAGGGGGCGAGGCCAGAGGTGGGGCGTAGCTCCGCTGAGTAGGATATAAGGGGGATCGGGGAAGGACTCGAGGTCGGTGCGGGGAGGCTGGGTTCCGGAGCACGTCACTGCTCATCTCCTCCTCGCCACGGGCCACGTGGCGGACCCCTCGATCTGGGTCGTACGACCCTGTTATCCCACCTATTGCTGCGGGTGATACCAACCCTATTCGGCAAAACTCGCATCGGTTGAGCCCGATGGAGAAGGAATGCGTGCAACGGGCGGTCAAGGACATGCTGGCCGTCGATATTATCTCCCCGTCTAATAGCCCTTGGGGCGCGCCCGTTGTATTCATCAAAAAAATGACGGTAGCCTCAGATTTTGCGTCGATTTCCGCAAGTTTAATAAAGTTTCGGTGGCCGATGCGTATCCACTTCCGCGGATGGACGACTCTCTAGACGCCTTGTCTGGCGCAAAATATTTTTCCACCCTTGATCTGTCCTTTGGTGTTTTGACAGTGACCTCTGCACGAGCCGTCGAAGCCGAAAACCGCGTTTCGCACGCCTCCAGGTCTCTTTCAGTTCAATTGCCTTCCGATGGGCTTGAATTCGGCTCCGGCCACCTTTCAGAGGTTGATGGAGCTCATTTTGGCCAGCTTACAGTGGGACACTTGTCTCATTTACTTAGACGACGTTATTGTTTTTAGTCGCACTTTTGAGCAACATCTGCAGCAACTGCGATCCGCTTTCGATAAAATGCGCTCCGCTAACTTGAAATTTAAGCCGGCCAAGTGGCACTTGCTGCAGAATTCGGTGCGTTACTTGGGTCACATTGTTAGTTCCGAAGACATTGCCATGGACCCTGAAAAGACTGCCTGTGTCTGCGATTGGCCGACCCCTACGAGTTTGGGGGATGTGCGCAGCTTCGTAGAATTTGCATCATACTACCGTAGATTCGTGCCGCATTTCGCTGCGATCGCTGGACCATTGCACGCGGTGACTGCTAAAAATACGAGGTTTAAATGGGGTCCGGAGGAAGAGGCTGCGTTTTTGCCCTCCGTGAACGGCTGTCGAATGCACCCACGCTCAAATATCCCGATTTTTCGCTGCCATTTATCCTTGACACCGACGCTAGCGATATGGGCATCGGCGCTGTCCTGTCTCAAATTAGGAACGGCGTGGAAAAGGTGGTCGCGTACGGCAGCCGTATCCTTTCGCCTATAGAACGCCGCTATTGTGTTACCCGGAGGGAACTTTTGGCCATTGTTTATTTCGTCCGCAAATACAGGCCTTACCTCTATGGCAGGGATTTTGTTGTCTGCACCGATTATGTGGCTCTTCAATACTCCTTGAAAATCGAGCAGCCAGCTGACCAGCTCTCTCGTTGGCTCGAAATATTGCAGGAATTCTCTTTTAGCATCGTTTACCGTAAAGGTTCTCGCCACTGCAACACGGATGCTTTATCGCGACTGCCACAATTGCCTCGTTGCCCGTGTCTGTCTGGTACGAGTCATTGTAGACCCCATTGCCTCACAGACAAGTACGGCTATGTCTGCAGTTGCTGCTTCTGAGCCTTTAGACGCGGATGCACCGGTTGACAGTGTTTTGCGGCTCCCCCGCTCCGTATGGATGCGCGAGCAGCTGCTTGATGTCTCCTTAAGGGATCTGTGGCGTCTGGCTGAGCATAGGCAGGTGACTTCCGCTTCTGCTGAGGATGGCCAGTTGACTTCACGATGGCCTTTTGATTTGGAGGGAGGAAACGTTGGATCGTTGACGGATTGTCGTTCCTCTTGCCCTCTGGTGTGGCTTGGTTCGCGATCTGCACGGGGAGAAGTTGTTACACCTTGGAGTGCAAAAGTCGCTGTTGACATTGCAACGGGATTATTATTGGCCAGGAATGACAGCCGATGTCTCCAAATGGATCCGAGCTTGCACAGAATGTGCTCAGAGAAAACTACCACAGCAGAAATGCCACCCGCCGCTGCAGTCTATATCGGTCTCGCGTATCAATGAGCTGGTTGCGCTCGATGTTTTGGGGCCCTTTCCGGTCACGTCTAGAGGTAACAAGTTCCTTTTAGTAGGTTTTGAATATTTTACCCGCTGGCCAATGGCTTGGCTTCTATGCTACCGTCGGCGGCCTCCATTGCGGACGCGTTTTTGAACGGGTATGTTATGGATAAAGGTGCTCCTGAACAACTGCTTACAGACCAAGGCCAGAATTCCTCCTCTAAGTTGTTGCGTGAGGTTTGCGATGCATTGGGCACTAAGAAAATTAGGACGTCACCGTACCACCCTCAGACAGATGGTATGGTCGAACGCCTGAACAGGACCCTGTCCGCCATACTCTGTCAGACGGTGGACGCCAAGCAGGCGGAGTGGGATCTGCATGTGCCTAGCGTGCTCGCTGCGTATAGGATGGCCCTTCACGCTTCTATGGGATTTTCGCCGTTCTTCCTTATGTATGGGCGGGAGAACGTGCCACCTATTGATACCCAATTGGGTGCGCCGATTGTTAAGTCTAAACTGCTGGAACATGTCCGCGATTCCTTGCGACGTATTTCTGACGCACGGGAGGCGGCTAAAATCAACACCGTCAAGACACAAGCGCGCAATGAATGTCATGCGCGCAGATCCGGCCATGACGTGTCGTGGTCTGTCAGCGACAAGGCTTGGTTACATTGCCCTCAAGTACCCGTTGGCACCTCCCCTAAGCTGTATAAGCCCTGGCGCGGACTGGTGGAGGTGATCCGAATCATTCATCCACAATGTGTGCGTATCCGGGCGGGCCTCCGTAGTTGGTTCGTCCACCCCTCGCGGCTGAAGCCGTTTGCTCCTCCTCAGCTTACCCCTTTATCTCCACCAATTGGTCTGCCGAAGTCTGACGTGTCTGACAAACCGGGGGCGGCGCGGTTACATGATGACCGCCCGAAGGGCTCCGTTTTACCTCCCACAGTGTCCGAGCCCAAGACTGCCGATGTGAACTGCGATCCCGACCGGGCCGACCCAGCTGCGTTGGAGCCCTCCGCTCCGCCATCACTTAGCCTGCCGCCTGGCGTGCCGACCAAGAAACAGCAGAAGGCAGTTTCTGCTGCCGGTCCGGCGTCACAGACTCGCTTCAAGATGCTTAGATTTCGTTGAAGTCGCCACACGGCATTTTCACCTCCTTGTGTTGCTGCGTTCATTCGTTGTATTCTCTTGTTTGTTGCGGTCGCACCCAATTCAAGAGCCGAATGGCTCACAGGGCTATACCAAATAAATGGAACTCTGAACTATGATGAACTATGAACTATTGAGTGCGACCCCTCTGCACGTACACCACATGCTCCCCGCGCTTGCGTCTCCTCATTACTCGTATTGGTTTTACCTCTAGCCGGGATGGCTAGTCTTTTCGTTACGGGGGGGGGGGGGGGGGGGGGGTGATGTAATGAGAGAGCGCCATCCAGGGGTGCCAGAGGGTAATGGGTACAGGCACCATGATGTCATCAGCATCCAATCCTGAGGAGAGAGAAGATCTGGGCCAGAGAGGACGGGCGGGGTTGCTGAGAGAGGTTCGGGAACTATCGGGAAGGTTCTCCGAGGGGGCGAAGCCAGAGGCGGGGCATAGCTCCGCTGAGTAGGATATAAGGGGGATAGGGAAAGGACTCGAGGTCGGAGTGGGGAGGTTGGGTTCCGGACCGCGTCGCTGCTCATCTCCTCCTCGCCACGGGCCACGTGGCGGACCCTCCCTCGGAGCTCACGTCCGCTTCCAGCGTGCCGTCAGCCAGCGGCGAGGCCGGAAGAGCGGAGTGAGCCTCGCGGGAGCTCGGAGAGGGACGCCTCGTCCACGGGGGTTGGAAAGAGGGATATACCGGAGGGGAAAGGAGCGAAGCCGTGCTCTACGACTGTTAATAAAAGCAGCATTGCCGTGGAAGTCTTTTATTACAGATGTACACACACCTATATATCAATGGATGTACACGCACACAAACATCTACACCAAACCCATAACGCGAACCTGAACACTGTCCATAATCGAGCCAACCCTGCTCTTACCCACAATACAGTACTAACCAATCCTAATAATAAACCTGACCAGAAACAATCCTTAACATTATCCCAAACCCAGCCAAACACAAAAGCCTACCCTGCGAGTCGCTGGGCTGCTGTGAGTGGAGACATGTGACGGAGGAGAAGCTGGAGGTGGATCATCATAATCATAGCGCAAGAACATATCCTGCACAACACACAACACACGCGTAATGTACATTATAACACATGTTACTTAGCTGTCCGTGAGTCAGTCACTGCTCTCAAGTCAGGGGCTAATTCTGACCTGAGGGAACCAGGGACCTGGGTATTGTTTTGATAACATCAATGATGGAACAATTTTCACCACACTAATCTCTTATCATTATCCACAATCAATTCACCGTTGAATATATGTATGTTGAGCTTCTCTCGCACCGTACATAGCCAAATATGCTAATCGAAAGTGCGGGGGAAGGACAACAAACAAAACACAAAAAGCAGTTTTCAATCCAGATTTAGATGTGCATAGCTCCAGTAGCTTCCTAATATCGGAAGTAAGAGTGTTCGAGACAGCCGCAAAAGCACATCCAAAAGCGCACAATGCTCTGACCGCATTTGTTCGATGGCTAAACAGAGTTCGCGTGATGGTTTATGTTCCTTGACGAAGGCCAAGACACCGATATCTCTCACGATCATGTGACGCAACCCATCTCGCTCTATCACATGGGATGATTTAAAAACTCCATCTTTGTAGTGAACGTTCTGCCGGACATGCATTCCCTCCCTTTGTTGCCACGATGTTGTTAGTATTGATGATCGGCCATCATCGAGGGTTTAGAAGTCGACGAAGTTTCTTTCAATTCCCCTGTTTAGAGTGGAGAGTTGGGAATGCAGTAGTTTTATTGAATACAAGTCCTGCTCGCTTTACAGCATTAGCCTGCATCTGCATATGGACTAACAATAGCAGTGTGCAGCCCCATTGTCTATCCGCTACTGTACGAAACCTCCTCAGTCCCTGTGGGTCATACGTATTCATGACCATACTTTACCACGTTGGACCATGTGGGTTGGTAATACCCCTGGGGGAGTACCTGCCTGGACTGGTTCAGATAGAGTACAGGAGACCCTTGTTTATACTTCACGGTTTCGACCCATCGGGGGCAACCTCTTTGTATACCAATTTGGCTATCGTGGTCACGAGTTTTGGCCTTGTGCAGGTATACTGTACCCAGTAGTACTGTATCATTGGCTGATACCGTGGAGAGGGGGCGTGCAAGCGTCTCGCGGACAAAGATGCCCCCTATTATGGCAAGTGCTGTTAGCGAGCACCGATGAAGGCCGGCACGACACACGAGGGATGGGGTAGGCAGCACCACGCCCGGACACACCACGCTGTGTACTAAGAGACACACCACGCTGTGTACTAAGAGACACACCACGCTGTGTACTAAGAGACACACCACGCTGTGTACTAAGAGACACACCACGCTGTGTACTAAGAGACACGCCACGCTGTGTACTAAGAGACACGCCACGCTGTGTACTAAGAGACACGCTGTGTACTAAGAGACACACCACGCTGTGTACTAAGGGACACACCACGCTGTGTACTAAGAGACACACCACGCTGTGTACTAAGAGACACACCACGCTGTGTACTAAGAGACACACCACGCTGTGTACTAAGGGACACACCACGCTGTGTACTAAGAGACACACCACGCTGTGTACTAAGAGACACACCACGCTGTGTACTAAGAGACACACCACACTGTGTACTAAGAGACACACCACGCTGTGTACTAAGGGACACACCACGCTGTGTACTAAGAGACACACCACGCTGTGTACTAAGAGACACAGCCACGCTGTGTACTAAGGAGACACAGCCACGCTGTGTACTAAGAGACACACCACGCTGTGTACTAAGAGACACACCACGCCGTGTACTAAGAGACACACCACGCCGTGTACTAAGGGACACACCACGCCGTGTACTAAGAGACACACCACGCCGTGTACTAAGAGACACGCTGTGTACTAAGAGACACACCACACTGTGTACTAAGAGACACACCACGCTGTGTACTAAGAGACACACCACGCTGTGTACTAAGAGACACACCACGCTGTGTACTAAGAGACACACCACGCTGTGTACTAAGAGACACACCACGCTGTGTACTAAGAGACACACCACGCTGTGTACTAAGGGACACACCACGCTGTGTACTAAGAGACACACCACGCTGTGTACTAAGAGGACACACCACGCTGTGTACTAAGAGACACACCACGCTGTGTACTAAGAGACACACCACGCTGTGTACTAAGAGACACGCTGTGTACTAAGAGACACACCACGCTGTGTACTAAGAGACACACCACGCTGTGTACTAAGGGACACACCACGCTGTGTACTAAGAGACACACCACGCTGTGTACTAAGGGACACACCACGCTGTGTACTAAGGGACACACCACGCTGTGTACTAAGAGACACACCACGCTGTGTACTAAGAGACACACCACGCTGTGTACTAAGAGACACACCACGCTGTGTACTAAGAGACACACCACGCTGTGTACTAAGAGGACACACCACGCTGTGTACTAAGAGACACACCACGCTGTGTACTAAGAGACACACCACGCTGTGTACTAAGAGACACACCACGCTGTGTACTAAGAGACACACCACGCTGTGTACTAAGAGACACACCACGCTGTGTACTAAGAGACACACCACGCTGTGTACTAAGGGACACACCACGCTGTGTACTAAGAGACACACCACGCTGTGTACTAAGAGACACACCACGCTGTGTACTAAGATACACACCACGCTATGTACTAAGGGACACACCACGCTGTGTACTAAGAGACACACCATGCTGTGTACTAAGGGACACACCACGCTGTGTACTAAGAGACACACCACGCTGTGTACTAAGGGACACACCACACTGTGTACTAACAGACACACCACACTGTGTACTAAGAGACACACCACGCTGTGTACTAAGAGACACACCACACTGTGTACTAACAGACACACCACGCTGTGTACTAAGAGACACACCACACTGTGTACTAAGGGACACACCACGCTGTGTACTAAGAGACACACCACGCTGTGTACTAAGGGACACACCACGCTGTGTACTAAGAGACACACCACGCTGTGTACTAAGAGACACACCACGCTGTGTACTAAGAGACACGCCACGCTGTGTACTAAGAGACACGCCACGCTGTGTACTAAGAGACACGCCACGCTGTGTACTAAGAGACACACCACGCTGTGTACTAAGAGACACACCACGCTGTGTACTAAGAGACACACCACGCTGTGTACTAAGAGACACGCCACGCTGTGTACTAAGAGACCACCACGCTGTGTACTAAGAGACACACCACGCTGTGTACTAAGAGACACACCATGCTGTGTACTAAGGGACACACCACGCTGTGTACTAAGAGACACACCATGCTGTGTACTAAGGGACACACCACACTGTGTACTAACAGACACACCACACTGTGTACTAAGAGACACACCACGCTGTGTACTAAGAGACACACCACACTGTGTACTAAGAGACACACCACGCTGTGTACTAAGAGACACACCACGCTGTGTACTAAGAGACACACCACACTGTGTACTAAGAGACACACCACGCTGTGTACTAAGGGACACACCACGCTGTGTACTAAGAAACACACCACGCTGTGTACTAAGGGACACACCACACTGTGTACTAAGAGACACACCACGCTGTGTACTAAGGGACACACCACGCTGTGTACTAAGAGACACACCACGCTGTGTACTAAGGGACACGCGCAGCACAGATTGGGGGGGGGGGGGCTCAGCGAGGACCCCGGCTCAGCGTGCCCCCTCTCCCGGCACGGTTAACGCATCTCTCTCGACGTGCCGCTTCACCAACCCCGCTGCTCCCCGTCCCACCCCCCCCCCCCCCCCCCACGGTGGTCTCGCATCCCTGAAAGCGGTGCTGAGTCGGGGTTAGGGGGTGGAGGGCTCATCTCGAATGGCGGCGCCGAGTACAAACGGTGGAAATTCCACATTCCCGCGACGGACGCCCGTCCATCTAGTCGTGCCTCCGCAGACTCTCTCCATCCCTTCCCCACCCACCCACCCACCAACCCGCGATGTCCTCGTTTAAAATGACGATGTATTAATTGACGAGCTTTCGGAATCTCCGCCGCCTTCCTCACCTCGTCATTCATCTCCGCCGCCTCCTCCTCACCAACGGGCGCCACCAAACGCTTCACTGTCCCCAAACTGACGCGGGGCGTCACGGAGTGGGCGGAGCGACGGGGGATCCTCCGCCAATGAAAAGGCGCCTTGCGTTGCCCCGTGTCGTCACGCCGATGAAGAGCAGGGACACCATTTTGGGTAAGGGAAAAAGTGGGTGTGTAAGTACGGAACAATGTTGGTAAACTTCGGTCTCCATGCTCTTATTCGTTGTCCCTCTCTCCGGTATGTATTGTGAACAAGGGCCATGAGCCGAAACGTCGCCTCATATCCCCCACCCTCCTTTTTGTAAGGCCGTCCGTGTTCATTGACGAGCCTCCATGATGGGTCGGGAATTGTAAAGCGTGTTGACGACGTCATCACAAGGTTGTTTGCATTCCAAGTGATTATTCGGTTCTGTATAACGATGCCAATTAGTTTATTGATTGAATGGCAATGATAGGACGAGGTTTTGCAAAGTGGAACTAAAAAAACGAAAGAGCAATACAAAAGATACGTAAGAGTCTACTAAACGATTTGAGAGGCGTTGTCGGAACACAACAATTCGCAGAGACTTCGGTATTTACTCAGGGTAGTTCTTGAAGGTGCGCCAGGTTAAAAACGAAATGGCACGTTTTTAAAACACATTTAACCCGATAAAAAAAAATTAAGCAAAATGGCAATACACGCAAAGAAAGTATTCAATTAATATTACCGACATTTACATTCATGAATAATTAGCGTTGTTGTTGGGATAGTACAGGGGCCGTCCATAAATGACGTCACGCACCTGGGGGGGGAGTGGTCAGACATTTGTGACGACGTGACGAGGGGGAGTTTGAGAAATGTGACGTCACATCAAAATGCGCAACTTTAAATATAGACAACACGTTCTACTTAATTAAAGACTTTTTGATGTTTTCTCCTACAACATCAGAGTGCAGCGCCACATTAAATACGCACTACAATGACAATAGTTTAATGCGATTTGAAGCATGTTTAATTTTCAAAATGGAAATATGGTTTGGGGGGGGGGGCAGAGCTTTGCGACGTCATATTTGAGGGGGGGGTCTGACTTTTTGTGACGCCGTGTGACGAGGGGTGGGGGGTCAAAAATCGTCCAAAATCGCGTGACGTCATTTATGGACGGCCCCACAGGCAATGCCCTGGTTTACGGTCAGGATGCGTTCCTAAAAACCAGAACGTAAGTCGAAAGTACAGTACTTTCAATGGAAGGGAATAGATGGTGGATTGTATGTACCGTTTGCTGAACTTCAGCACCATACGTAGCCAACCATGCTCATTGGATATGCGAGGAAAGACAACGGTGACGCGTAGAGATTGTGCTTTCGTTGAATTGAAGTCGAGGATTGTTGCGGTGAATTCCCCATGCCAAGCGGGGTGAGGACAAGCCGAACGCAAAAAGCAGCTCGAAATAAACTTAATGTGGTACAATAGCCAGGGTCAGATGAAGGTTCTCGTAGGCCCTAGTTGGTACCGCTGCCCAAGTTACTACTACCGCCACTGTTACTCGCTTGTTTCACGCATATACTTCGTCCAGCCGGGCACTTCTTATAAATCTGCTCTCTAATTAAGAATGATTGTGCGAAAAACACCATTTTAAGATGATTGCTGATTCTGCAATGAAAACAAATCTGGAAAAAGTTCATCTCTGGTGTCAATTTCTCTCACCTTATGAAAAAACAATTGACATGACTTTATCTTTGCATATGCACTGTGCCTATCTTTGCTATATATATTTATTAAAGATATCTTGGTTACATTTTGATTTAAAGCTTTCGTGACTGCAGGGATTCATATTCTTGGTTTTTTCGGTAAAATCACGTAGAAGGGAAACAATAAAATAATACAAACATAAAACAATAAAATACTCACGACGTTTCGACTGCAACACAAGCAATCTTCATCAGGTGTGAAAACCACAGCAAGAAAATTTTAAAAAAGTGGCGGTTATTTTTAACGTTAAAAATTGTGGGCAGCAGTACCAAATAACGTTAAAAATAACCGCCACTTTTTCAATTTTTCTTGCTGTGGTTTTCACACCTAATGATGATTGCTTGTGTTGCAGTCGAAACGTCGTGAGAATTTTATTGTTTTATATTTTTATTATGTTTCCCTTCTACGTGACTTTACCGAAAGAACCAAGAATATATATATCTTTTGATTTAAAGCTTTCGTGACTGCAGTAATTCATATTCTTAGTTTTTTCGGTAAAGTCACGTTGAAGAGAAACAACAAAATAATAAAATATATATAACAAAAAAATTCTCACGACGTTTCGACCATAACTCAAACGGTCATCTTTTGAGTTATGGTCGAAACGTCGTGAGAATTTTTTTGTTTTATATATATTTTATTATTTTGTTGTTTCTCTTCAACGTGACTTTACCGAAAAAACTAAGATTATAATATATATCTTGATTAAAAAAAATTTATATCATGCAATCAAAAATCTGGTTACATTTTATTTCAAAGGACCTTTAATTTTCGTAGGCCCCAGGCACAGTGCCTACTGGATAATAGGGCCCCGACTGTACCTCAACAGAGGATGCTGAGTAACCCATTGGGCATCTCTCCTGCACAACCGTCGGTGTGAAAAGTGCAGTTATTCACATGCCTACTATAATCACCCAGGAATGTCTGTCCTTAACGCTCGTGACGTCACTCCACATCGACCAGCCCCCCTCATTAATATTCATGAGCAGGTGACGTCTCCAAATGGACACCCCCACCCCTCATTAATGAGCCAGTGACGTCACTCAATATGGAGTACTCCCCCCCTCACGAATGATCATGAGCAGGTGACGTCCCTCCACATCGAACAGCCCCCCTCATTAATAATCATGTTTCTCTTCAACGTGACTTTACCGAAAAAACTAGGAATATGAATTACTGCAGTCACGAAAGCTTTAAATCAAAATTTAGGTTACGTCACTTCTAGATTTAAAGTTTTCGTACTCTTTGTGATTATTGTTGTTTTATTATTTACCTACGTGACTTTACCGAATAGAACCAAAGAGTATAGGTTACGTCACTCCACATCTAACAGCCCCCTCATTAATAATCATGAGCAGGTGACGTCACTCCACATGAGGAGGGGGGGCGCGAGGCGCCTCCTCCCCCCTCCTCAGCGTCAACTGACAACCCTCACTACAAAGGCAGAACCCTCACTATGTCACGATCTCCGTAACGCTGTTGAGACATCAAAGTAAAAAGGACGTCACGATGAACAAGGGATTATAACCTTAAAATTAAATAATAGGTCTGTGTCACCGCGCCCTTACAAATTGCACACGAATTAATGCAATGAATATATCACGTCGTGGTCTGATTTTCACTTGCAAGTTTCAGATTTACTGCGATACACCCGTCCTTGGACGGGCAAAAGGCTAGTATTAAGATATTGTTACCTCGTCTGTTATGCTAGACATATGATTAGTTTATCATGTGAAAAGTTTACACTTCTACATGTTATGAATACGGTATGTGGAGACAAAAATTTACGATGAGCCAAGAATGTCCCTCGCGTGACGTCACTCCATGTCGACCAGCCCCCCTCATTAATAATCATGAGCGGGTGACGTCACTCCGCATGGAGAACCCCCCTCATTAATAATCATGAGCTAGTGACGTCCTATTCTTTGGTTCTTTCGGTAAAGTCACGTAGATAGAAAAATAAAACAGGTGAAAAGTAATAAAAACCACTAATGTAGACTGTGGCCTGGTTCTTAATCGGAGTGTACTAGCAGTCTATAATGTAGACTGTAACCTGGTTCTTCACCTCGGTGAGTGTACTGGTAGTCTATAATGTAGACTGTAGCCAATTAATAACCAGGCTACAGTCTACATTAGTGTTTTTTTATCATTTTTATTTTATTCTTTTTATTCACTTTATTTTTTTATTTTCTACCTACGTGACTTTACCGAAAGAACCAAAGAATAAGAAATCCTGCAGTCACAAAAGTTTTAAGTCAAGGTGACGTCCTCCAAATGGACCCCCCCCCTCCATTCATAATTAGTGGGTGACGTCACTCCACGTGGGAGGGCGAGGCGCCTCCTCCCCCCTCCTCGGCGTCAACTTACAACCCTCACTACAAAGGCAGAACCCTCACGTCACGTGATCTCCGTAACGCTGTTGAGACATCAAAGTAAAAAGGACGTCATGATGAACAAGGGATTATAACCTTAAAATTAAATAATAGGTCTGTGTCACCGCGCCCTTACAAATTACACACGAATGGGTGCAATGAATATCACGTCGCGGTCTGATTTTCGCTTGCAATTTTAAGATTTACTGCAATACACCGCCCTTGGACGGGCAAAATGCTAGTATTACAGTAAGAGCGCACACATGACAGTACTGTAGTAAGGGACCCTAATGCTTGGGCACCATCTGGCACTTGAATGTTCCTGTGCATCATAAAAAATGTTGAGTTTTAATCGTAAAGTTCGTAAATCTCGAGTACGTTATGGCACGGTACAAAGTACGAAAAACGGAATTGGGTACCAATAAGTTTGAGTACGTTATAGCGAGAGTACGTAAAACCAGAGGAAGTAAATCTGGGGGGCAATGGATTCAGCATTCACATCGCACCCCAAGGGAGGAAGCTAATGAGCCAGCACCACTGATATCCAGGATTCAAATCCAGGTTTCAGCCGCCCGTGATTAAACTAGGTCTTCAAGTGTTGCAAGCTGATGGTCTCAGCTTGGTGGTCAGCAATGACTCCACACATACAAAAACATCACATTAAATTTGGTTTTAGAATTTGAGAAAGTCAATCTCTGAGAATTATCTATTTACGTTGATGTACAATACCCCCTCTTTGCAGTGCTTATAAAACAAATAATAAAGCAACTCCTTGCGTGGACTTCACACTGTTTTCTGCCTAACATGCCTATGTCACGAGCACAAATGACAGTGATTACTTCCTTTATTGAAACTCAAAGAGGAATTGCATTGTTTTTGCACAATTATCGCAGATAAGAAGACAAGAAAACAGAGAAATGGGATACAAGGCAGAATGGAGACATGGGGACATGGAGACTGTGGGATATGGAGACAGGGAAGAGACAAAAAAAACAATAAACACTGTAATGGGGACAGCTGGATATTGAGACAGAACGAGACACAGGGACACAGAGGCACACGGAGATGAGAATACAAAGACATGGACAGACAAAGATACTTAAAGACAGGGGAAGACTTAAGACAGGGACATGGAGACACAGGGCCTCCCCATGAGACATAGGAAGGCACACGGAATCGCAATAAAAACCACACACTGTGTGAGCAAACGTCTCGAATTAAAGCTCCATCAAGGCACAAACACCACTCTTACAGTTTGTGAGCCCCTATTAAGGCCACGTGCACTCTGCCGCATTTGTTTCACCGCTCCCTCCCATCACCCCACAGGGTTAGAAGTGAGGGGTCATCCAAAGCGGATTGGGGGCATGGGGGAGATGGGGAGGGGCTGTCTCTGCGTGGAGACGATCCGGAGACACCAGCCCAGCACCTGTGGGGGAGAGACATTTGAGCAAGTGTCTTCATGTGTCTCTGTGTTACCACTGTGTCTGTGCGAGTTTGTGTTTTTCCCTGGCTCCTTATATCTCTGAGTGTCCGTGTATGTTCCCATTTGTCTCCATTTGTCCATCTGCCCCCCTGTGTCAATGTTATCAGTTTAACTGCGTGTCCAATGATGCCTCTTTGTGTCTGCATGTCCGCATGTCTCTCCATTTGTCCCTGAGAGTCTTTCAGTTCCCATATCGGTTGCACCCGATTCAAGAGCCGAATGGCACACAGGGCTATGCCAAAATAAATGAAACTTAAATATCCCCATGTATCTTCAAATGTCTCCTGCTCTTTGTGTGCCCTTGTCTCCATATAACCCATGTATCCCCATGTCCCCATATCTACGTATCCTCCCATCTCCATAAGTTCGAATGTATCCCCATGTCCCCATGTCTCTACATTTCTCTCTGTGGTCTTGTGATCCCATGTCCCCGTGTCCCCACCGTGCGCGTATCCTGCGGAAGGATGACTCCATCGTCCCAAATCCGCGCCGTAGAGTAGAGAGACGATGTTTCATCACCTAGCCTGGCACACGGGGATATGCGAGGGCACACAGGGACAAACGGAGACATAAGGGCACATGCACACAATGAACAAATTGATCAATGGGGAGTAAAGGACTTACAAAGCCATGGAGATGTACAGAGACACGGGGACATAGGAAAACATGGGTTAGAGGGTAAATGGTGAGTAAGTATTGAGTGAGTGGTGAGTGAGCGGTGGGTTCTCACTTTTTCTGTTCAGACTCCATCCTGGTTATCGCTCCGGGCCACAGGAAGAGGAAACGTGGAGAGAAGGCTCGACCGCACTGAACATCAACAACATCAGTTTAACACGCAGGAGGCTTTCGCGACCAATATCATCCATAAGAGGTTTTTTTAGTTATATCACGTAAATATGCGTCGTTAAAACCCGCCACCACCCGACAGAGCATATAAGGAGCGAAATAGGTGGACTTTCTCCACAAATCTGGATGTCGCCTGATGAAGCTAGTTGTAATTACTGGCAAAACGTCATCCTCAGATTTTAAATGTTGTGGCTTGGCTCTCCAACACACCGGTGTGGCTGTACTAGTATACTACACTATACACTACACTATACACTACACTATACACTAGTGCTGTACTAGTGACGAATTGGCCACTTTCTGTTTACGTGACAACTCTTACTAGTTGGCCGTGTCGGGTGGTGGCGGGTTTAATGACACATTTATATATTTACGCGATCTAACCCAAAAAACTTCTATTATGGATCAACAACTTCACCATCATCATCATTACCAGTATCATCACGATCAAAGATAAAATAATTGTCACCATCGGCTGCAGCGGTAATTTCATCCTCAACATTATCAGCAGCAAAATTAGAAGCAGAAACAAAATCATCATCCTGCAGCAGTATCCTTAATATCAGCAACAGGATTATCAATGTATTCAGTGTTCCCGTGTCCCCACGTCTCACCATGGCATAGCTGCTTGTTCCATATCTCCCTCCTATCACCACCGTGATCTTGGGAACCGAGACGCAAGCAACAGAGGCCATCATGGCTCCTCTAGAGCGGACAATCTCCTCCTGAGACACAGACAGACATACGGCCACATGGAAACACGGGAACACACAGGCGCATAATGACATGGAGACACGGGCGACACAGGGAGACATACAAATGCTGCAACATGGGGATATGTTGGAACACACGGAAGATGGAATACAGAGACGCATGGGGACACGAAAATATTGGCACACATGGAGATACAAAGGCAGAGACACAGGGACACATGGGATACATGTGGAAAACGGGGACAGAAGGACACGGGGACCCAGGGATACTTAAAAACAAGCACACTAAGACAAGAGGACATGTGATGCTGTTGGGCGTGCATTTGATTGTGATGCCTTTTCCTGTCTACCGATCTCCCCATGTCCCATGTCCTCCTGTACCTGTGTTGTCCTTATACAATGTCCCTTGTGTTGTCCCCATCTTGTCTGTCTTCTTATCCCCATGTCAGGCATCCCGTGTCATCGCCAAGTCCCCATGTGCCCATGTCCCTATGCCATCTCAGTATGTACTTGTCTCAGTGTAACCATGTCCAGGTGTCATTTTCATTAACCTCGTCTCTTCATAGCATATCCCTATGTCATGGTCGTGTCCACAGCCGTCCCTAGCCTCGTGCTTTGGGGAGGCCCCGCGCTTCGACGTCAGAATGTCAAATTTAATACTTCCGGTTTAGTTTAAAGGCGTCGAGAGGCCCACAAAGTGCCTTGCCCTGGGCTCCGCACCCCCCTATGCATAGCCCTGGCCATGTCACTCTGTCACAGTGTCTCTGTGTTTTCCCTCTGTGCTCATGTCTCATTGTATCCATGTTCCTGTATGCCCGTGTTGTCCGTGTACCGTGTCCATGTCCGGGCGTGACCCCGTGGGGGCCGTGTTCTGCAGGAAGATGAGGGGGATTCCCCTCTGCTCACACAGTGACACAAAATGGCTTCCCTTGAGCGCAGCACGGGCAGAGAGAAACCCGTGGTTCGCCACCACACCTACACGGACACTGAGACACGGGCACAACACGGCGACAAGATCACACAGGGACAATACAGCGACAGGGGGACACTGAGAAACCAGTGGCACACCAGCGCATCTAAACAAACACTGAGATGAGGTGGCACAGAGACGCAGAGACGCGGAGACACGTGGACACTGAGCTACGGGGAGTGTGTACCCATGTGTCCCTTGGTTATAACATCTCCATGTGTCCTTGTGTGTCTTCACGTGTCACCATGTGTCCATACCCCATGATGTCTCCGATCCCTGTGACCAGCGTGTCTCCGTACAGACTCTTGAACTCCAGGAAACGACTCCCATCCAGAATGCGAGACAGCACCTTCTCATAAGCACAGGGATACAGGGACACGGGAGTGTGGGTGGAGATGTGAATCATCTCTCTGAGTTTGTGTGCAGAAGGTGAAGTGTTTGTGTGTATGCGTGGGGAGGTAAGGTGCCACTCCTCACGAGCCGGGGATCCAGATTGTGGCTGAAGCTCTTAGGGGCCAGACCCCTGAGCCCCGCTGCAGAGAACAGGGGCTCCTCCCAGTGGGTGCCCGGCTCACTGGGGGGGTTCTCCGGTGTCAGAGTGGACACTATATTCCGAGTGAGCTCCAGCGCCTCTTGCTCCGTCTCAGAGAAGTGGTCGATGCAGCCGCTCACACTGGGTTGGGGGTCAGAGGTCAGGGTTAGTGGAGAAGGCAGTGGAGCGACGAGCACAACGAAAGGAGCGTCCAACAGCTGTAGCAACGGCAAGGTGGGGATCGTAGCTGGTGCTTTGGTCAGTCATCCCAGTCCGCTAACTCATAACACTTGAGCCTATTCTGTGACCTCCTGCCGATGAGCCTATGAGGCTTCTCATGGCTTCCAAGTCCACCTATCTAGGCACAAGTGTCGTGGTAACGTCACACTCATCACGACACTTTTGATAATTGGGCTTGCTTTTGTTTGTGTACTGTGTTTATATGTGTGTGTGTGTGTTATTACTGTCCGTAGCTGTATATGAATGTGTTACTGTAAAAGTGTGCATATTCGTATATAATAACGTGTATGTATGTTGTGGTGTGTGTATTTGTATGTTATTGTGTTTCTGCACAAGTGTATTCATGTAGTCGTGTGCAAATTCATGTTTGTGTATTGGCTTATTCGGGTGTCGCTGCATCAGTGTGTCACTATATTAATGTCACTGTAATTAGTGTCACCGCGCACCCCCGCACCTGGCGTGCATCCTCGCCCCCCCCAGCTCCTCGGGGGTCACCCTCTCCCCGGTGGCGGCGCGGACGAGGGGGGGCCCCCCCAGATACAGACTTCCCACACCCCCCACCATCACCGCCTCGCCAGCCATCGTGGGCACGTACGCTCCCCCTGCCGTACATGACCCCAGCACCACCGCCACCTACGCACGCCGCAAGGCATCATGGGAGTCACCCACAATTAACCGCCACCTACAAACGTGGCAAGGTATCATGGTAAATTCCCATAATGCACCACTGCTGCCACAGACATGCCGCACAGCATCACGAGGGTTGCCCACAACGTACCACCACTCACCCATACTGCAAGGTATCATAGTGATTACCCACAATTCACCAACTACACAGGCTGCACAGCATTATTGGAGTTACCCACAAAACACCACCACCTACGCATGCTGCACATAATGAGGGGAGTTACCCACAATGCTGTGTGCAGAGTGAGGTCAAGATTTTGGAGAGAGGGTGTAGGAGGTGCGATGGATTGGAGTTTGGGATATGATGAAGTTAGGGTTTGGGGATTAAGGTCAAGGGTCAAAGGTCACCTGAGGGATGCCAACGGCGTTCATGACGGCTTCGTTGTAAAACACGCGGCCTCCGTCCTCGCGGTCTGGGAAGATTTTTGCCTAAATGGAAACAGAGGCAACGGTCGCCCATATAGCCACACACACAGGCACACGTATAGATAAGTATACACATACCTACAGATATCCTTACAAACATGCGTATACACACTCGTACACACATAAATATGCACGTAATAGCCACAGACATCACAAATCAGTCACAGGTGTACATAAACCTATACACACGTTCTTGCACACACACACAGATATGCATGAACACACATATACACAGGTGAGACCCATACATAGGTGTGCATGGACAGTTATACAGGTGTCTACACACAAAGGTGTATACACACACACACACACAGGAGTGCATAAACACACACAAGTGTATACTTAGTTGAGGCACACTCACACACAGCTCAAACATACACAGACACACACACACGGTGTGCGCAGACATACAAAGGCCACACAGAGGTGTGCTCACCTGTAGAGGCAGGAAGGCCCCAGCCGAGTCGACCAGGTAGATGCACGGCAGCCGATTCATGTGCGCCACCTCCTGGGCCCTCAGCTGCTTCTTGACGGCGATCGGGTACATGGAGCCGCCCTTCACAGTGGCGTCATTCACCACGACGACGCACCATGATCCGGCAACACGGCCCACACCTAGCGGAGAGACACGGGGACAACAGGGTGACACGCGAGGACACATGGGAACACACACTAGTCATGGCCCATGCCTAGTCCAGTGTTGTCCTTCACGAGCCTGCTCCACAGTGGCCCATTCTTGAGACCATTGGTACATCTGTGAAAAAGAGCTTTATAGCTCATCGGATTCATCCAGTATAAATATCCTGATTCTGACCAGTTATTGGTCAGTCCATCTCTTCTCTAGTCCGTACAGTTCCCACCGAGCCCCCTCTATCTGGCCAAACAGACACTCCTTGTGCATGCGGTGGCTGGGCACGCGGGGCTACATGACCCAGCCAACGCATCCTTGCCTGCCAGTAGAGCTCATCATGGGAGAGTGTCCAGATATTTCACGGGTAAAGCACACACACACCAATAAATAAATACACTCACACACAGACTAAGACACACACATAAATACAGAGATACACGGAGACACAGAGATACACGGAGACATGTCAACGGGTACACAGACACACATTCTGATAGACACACAAAGATACACGAACGTGGAGACACACACGCAGACATGCTCGCACACCCGTTATGCACCCTGCTCCAGGCACGTCTCCTTCAGGGAGGTCCATCCCAGCCATGGGGCTCAGCTCCAGAAAGGGAGAAACCCCCTGTAGGCTCAGGGCTCCCAGGGGTCCTTGTGGGGATGTGTGCGGGGTTCCTGGGCTCCAGGGGGGGTCGAGCAGCAGAGAGAGCCTGTCCCTCGCCAGCAGCTTCTTGTTGCGCTGTGTGTGGCGTGTGATGGCATCGGCGGATGAGGCTGTGCGGACCCGCGAGAGGGCACCCTGCATCCTGGTGGATTGGGGGGGGGGGCAATGGGAGGCAGTAGAGGAGGCAGTAGGGAGGCAGGGGGCAAGAGAGAGTAAGGGTGGAGTGTCCCTCTGTGTCTTTCTGGGTCGCTGTGTCTCCCATTGTTTCCCTGAGCAATGAAACTGGCTACCCGGGTTTAATTCCCGCTCAAGGTCAACGCCACTGACGAGTATCTGAACCGGTCCTGGGCCTCCCTTAGGTCGACTCAGCCTCAAATGAGTACCTGGTGCAACGTGTAAACATCGCTACTAGGGAGACGAAAGTGGCCCGGCGTGGTGCTGGTCACCCACCCTCTTCATGTGCCGTGCCGGATGCATAGTTGCTTGCTAACAGCACTTTTCCCAACAGTCTGTTGAGGCTATACGGGGGTCTTTCTCTCCCCTCCTCCATGTCCCCGTGTACCCCTATTTCCAGCAGTGGCGCTCGGCCCAAGCAAACTGAGCAAAAGCTTGGAGTCCCAGATAGTTGAAGGGGCCCCAGATAAAAAAACAAACGATTTTTATTTTAAGGCCCAGTGAACTATATAGCTCTTATTCAGAAGCGACCTGGCCACAAATGATAGCTCAACGAAGTGGCTTATCACGTGGAAATATATAGCAGCCAAATACTCTGAACGTGTTTCTAAATGTGGAAGCGTAAACCGGAGGACCCGGAGAAAAATCCACGCGACTACGGGGAGAGAGACATGCAAACTCCAAATATACAGGGGTCAGGGTCGAACCCACGACCCCCTGTATACCGGGCGAGGTAGTTAACATCTCACCACCGCGGCGCCCCTATGAAAAGATATGGGTAACACCAAATTTGAACTCAGATCCTCATACAAATTAACTCACAATTCTAATAAAACAATAAAAAAAACATGTCTAGTTATTGCAATGAACCTGAACTTAGTTTATTCATTTCCACAACTGTGATAAGTTACGCAGCGTGTCCGACATATCGTGGTTGTGGTGTAGTGACGTGAAGCACCCAAATATAAGATGGGCCAGCGGGCCAGCTCCACTCATGCAGTGTCACAGCCCCGTCCACGTCTCCCTCGTGTCTATCTGTCAGGTGTCTCTCTCCCCGTGTCTCCCTCGTGTCTATCTGTCAGGTGTCTCTCTCCCCGTGTCTCCCTCGTGTCTATCTGTCAGGTGTCTCTCTCTCCCCGTGTCTCCCCCGTGTCTATCTGTCAGGTGTCTCTCTCTCCCCGTGTCTCCCCCGTGTCTATCTGTCAGGTGTCTCTCTCCCCGTGTCTCCCTCGTGTCTATCTGTCAGGTGTCTCTCTCCCCGTGTCTCCCTCGTGTCTATCTGTCAGGTGTCTCTCTCCCCGTGTCTCCCCCGTGTCTATCTGTCAGGTGTCTCTCTCTCCCCGTGTCTCCCTCGTGTCTATCTGTCAGGTGTCTCTCTCTCCCCGTGTCTCCCCCGTGTCTATCTGTCAGGTGTCTCTCTCTCCCCGTGTCTCCCCCGTGTCTATCTGTCAGGTGTCTCTCTCCCCGTGTCTCCCCCGTGTCTATCTGTCAGGTGTCTCTCTCCCCGTGTCTCCCTCGTGTCTATCTGTCAGGTGTCTCTCTCCCCGTGTCTCCCTCGTGTCTATCTGTCAGGTGTCTCTCTCTCCCCGTGTCTCCCCCGTGTCTATCTGTCAGGTGTCTCTCTCCCCGTGTCTCCCCCGTGTCTATCTGTCAGGTGTCTCTCTCCCCGTGTCTCCCCCGTGTCTATCTGTCAGGTGTCTCTCTCCCCGTGTCTCCCTCGTGTCTATCTGTCAGGTGTCTCTCTCCCCGTGTCTCCCCCGTGTCTATCTGTCAGGTGTCTCTCTCCCCGTGTCTCCCCCGTGTCTATCTGTCAGGTGTCTCTCTCTCCCCGTGCCTCCCCCGTGTCTATCTGTCAGGTGTCTCTCTCTCCCCGTGTCTCCCCCGTGTCTATCTGTCAGGTGTCTCTCTCTCCCCGTGTCTCCCCCGTGTCTATCTGTCAGGTGTCTCTCTCCCCGTGTCTCCCTCGTTTCTATCTGTCAGGTGTCTCTCCCCGTGTCTCCCCCGTGTCTATCTGTCAGGTGTCTCTCTCCCCGTGTCTCCCCCGTGTCTATCTCTCAGGTGTCTCTCTCCCCGTGTCTCCCCCGTGTCTATCTGTCAGGTGTCTCTCTCTCCCCGTGTCTCCCTCGTGTCTATCTGTCAGGTGTCTCTCTCCCCGTGTCTCCCCCGTGTCTATCTGTCAGGTGTCTCTCTCCCCGTGTCTCCCCCGTGTCTATCTGTCAGGTGTCTCTCTCTCCCCGTGTCTCCCCCGTGTCAATCTGTCAGGTGTCTCTCTCCCCGTGTCTCCCCCGTGTCTATCTGTCAGGTGTCTCTCTCCCCGTGTCTCCCCCGTGTCTATCTGTCAGGTGTCTCTCTCTCTCCCCGTGTCTCCCCCGTGTCTATCTGTCAGGTGTCTCTCTCTCTCCCCGTGTCTCCCTCGTGTCTATCTGTCAGGTGTCTCTCTCCCCGTGTCTCCCTCGTGTCTATCTGTCAGGTGTCTCTCTCTCCCCGTGTCTCCCCCGTGTCTATCTGTCAGGTGTCTCTTTCCCCGTGTCTCCCCCGTGTCTATCTGTCAGGTGTCTCTCTCCCCGTGTCTCCCCCGTGTCTCTCTGTCAGGTGTCCTCTCTCTCCCCGTGTCTCCCCGTGTCTATCTGTCAGGTGTCTCTCTCTCCCCGTGTCTCCCCCGTGTCTATCTGTCAGGTGTCTCTCTCCCCGTGTCTCCCTCGTTTCTATCTGTCAGGTGTCTCTCCCCGTGTCTCCCCCGTGTCTATCTGTCAGGTGTCTCTCTCCCCGTGTCTCCCCCGTGTCTATCTTTCAGGTGTCTCTCTCCCCGTGTCTCCCCCGTGTCTATCTGTCAGGTGTCTCTCTCTCCCCGTGTCTCCCTCGTGTCTATCTGTCAGGTGTCTCTCTCCCCGTGTCTCCCCCGTGTCTATCTGTCAGGTGTCTCTCTCCCCGTGTCTCCCCCGTGTATATCTGTCAGGTGTCTCTCTCTCCCCGTGTCTCCCCCCGTGTCTATCTGTCAGGTTGTCTCTCTCCCCGTGTCTCCCCCGTGTCTATCTGTCAGGTGTCTCTCTCCCCGTGTCTCCCCCGTGTCTATCTGTCAGGTTGTCTCTCTCTCTCCCGTGTCCTCCCCCGTGTTCTATCTGTCAGGTGTCTCTCTCTCTCCCGTGTCTCCCTCGTGTCTATCTGTCAGGTGTCTCTCTCCCGTGTCTCCCCCGTGTCTATCTGTCAGGTGTCTCTCTCCCCGTGTCTACCCCGTGTCTATCTGTCAGGTGTCTCTCCCCGTGTCTCCCCGTGTATATCTGTCAGGTGTCTCTCTCACCCGTGTCTCCCCCGTGTCTATCTGTCAGGTGTTTCTCTCTCCCCGTTCTCCCCCGTGCTATCTGTCAGGTGTTTCTCTCTCCCCGTGTCTCCCCCGTGTCTATCTGTCAGGTGTTCTCTCTCCCGGTGTCCTCCCCCGTCTCCCCTCGTGTCTCCCCGTGTCTATCTGTCAGGTCTCTCTCTCCCGTGTCTCCCCCGTGTCTATCTGTCAGGTGTCTCTCTCTCCGTGTCTCCCCCGTGTCTATCTGTCAGTGTCTCTCTCTCCGTATATCTGTCAGGTGTCTCTCTCCCCGTGTCTCCCTCGTGTCTATCTGTCAGTGTCTCTCTCTCCCCGTGTCTCCCGCGTGTCTATCTGTCAGGTGTCTCTCTCCCCGTGTCTCCCCCGTGTCTATCTGTCAGTGTCTCTCTCTCCCCGTTCTCCCCCGTGTCTATCTGTCAGGTGTCTCTCTCCCCGTGTCTCCCCCGTGTCTATCTGTCAGGTGTCTCTCTCTCCCCGTGTCTCCCCGTGTCTATCTGTCAGGTGTCTCTCTCCCCGTGTCTCCCCCGTGTCTATCTGTCAGGTGTCTCTCTCTCCGTGTCTCTCCCCGTGTCTATCTGTCAGGTGTCTCTCTCTCCCCGTGTCTCCCTCGTGTCTATCTGTCAGGTGTCTCTCTCTCCCCGTGTCCTCCCCGTGTCTATCTGTCAGGTGTCTCTCTCTCTCCCCGTGTCCTCCCCCGTGTCTATCTGTCAGGTGTCTCTCTCCCCGTGTCTCCCCCGTGTCTATCTGTCAGGTGTCTCTCTCCCCGTGTCTCCCCTGTCTATCTGTCAGGTGTCTCTCTCCCCGTGTCTCCCCGTGTCTATCTGTCAGGTGTCTCTGTCTCTCCCGTGTCTCCCCCGTGTCTATCTAGTCTGTCAGGTGTCTCTCTCTCCCGTGTCTCCCCCGTGTCTATCTGTCAGGTGTCTCTCTCCCCGTGTCTCCCCGTGTCTATCTGTCAGGTGGTCTCTCTCTCCCCGGTCTCCCCCGTGTCTATCTGTCGTTGTCTCTCTCCCCGTGTCTCCCCGTGTCTATCTGTCAGGTGTCTCTCTCTCCCCCGTGTCTCCCCGTGTCTATCTGTCAGGTGTCTCTCTCTCCCCGTTCTGTCTCCCCGTGTCTATCTGTCAGGTGTCTCTCTCTCCCCGTGTCTCCCCCGTGTCTATCTGTCAGGTGTCTCTCTCTCCCCGTGTCTATCTGTCAGGTCCTCTCCTCTCTCCCGTGTCTCCCCGTGTCTCCCCCGTGTCTATCTGTCAGGTGTCTCTCTCTCCGTGTCTCCCCCGTGTCTATCTGTCAGGTGTCTCTCTCTCCGTGTCTCCCCCGTGTCTATCTGTCAGGTGTCTCTCTCTCCCCGTGTCTCCCTCGTGTCTATCTGTCAGGTGTCTCTCTCTCTCCCCGTGTCTCCCCTGTGTCTATCTGTCAGGTGTCTCTCTCCCCGTGTCTCCCCCGTGTCTATCTGTCAGGTGTCTCTCTCTCCCCGTGTCTCCCCCGTGTCTATCTGTCAGGTGTCTCTCTCCCCGTGTCTCCCCCGTGTCTATCTGTCAGGTGTCTCTCTCTCCCCGTGTCTCCCCCGTGTCTATCTGTCAGGTGTCTTCTCTCCCCGTGTCTCCCCCGTGTCTATCTGTCAGGTGTCTCTCTCTCCGTGTCTCCCCGTGTCTATCTGTCAGGTCTCTCTCCTCTCCCCGTGTCTCCCCCGTGTCTATCTGTCAGGTGTCTCTCTCTCTCCCCGTGTCTCCCCCGTGTCTATCTGTCAGGTGTCTCTCTCCCCGTGTCTATCTGTCAGGTGTCTCTCTCTCTCCCCGTGTCTATCTGTCAGGTGTCTCTCTCCCCGTGTCTCCCCCGTGTCTATCTGTCAGGTGTCTCTCTCTCCCCGTGTCTCCCCCGTGTCTATCTGTCAGGTGTCTCTCTCTCTCCGTGTCTCCCCGTGTCATCTGTCAGGTGTCTCTCTCTCCCCGTGTCTCCCCCGTGTCTCCCCCGTGTCTATCTGTCAGGTGTCTCTCTCTCCCCGTGTCTCCCCCGTGTCTATCTGTCAGGTGTCTCTCCTCCGTGTCTCCCCAGTGTCTATCTGTCAGGTGTCCTCTCCTCCCCGTGTCTACCCGTGTCTATCTGTCAGGTGTCTCTCCCCGTGTCTCCCCCGTGTCTATCTGTCAGGTGTCTCTCTCTCCCCGTGTCTACCCCGTGTCTATCTGTCAGGTGTCTCTCTCTCCCCGTGTCTCCCCCGTGTCTATCTGTCAGGTGTCTCTCTCTCTCCGTGTCTCACCCGTGTCTATCTGTCAGGTGTCTCTCTCTCCCCGTGTCTCCCCTGTCTCCCCCGTGTCTATCTGTCAGGTGTCTCTCTCTCCCCGTGTCTCCCCGTGTCTATCTGTCAGGTGCTCTCCGTGTCTCCCCAGTGTCTATCTGTCAGGTGTCCTCTCTCCCCGTGTCTACCCCGTGTCTATCTGTCTATCTGTCAGGTCTCTCCCCGTGTCTCTCCCCGTGTCTATCTGTCAGGTGTCTCTCTCTCCCCGTGTCTACCCGTGTCTATCTGTCAGGTGTCTCTCTCTCCCCGTGTCTCCCCGTGTCTATCTGTCAGGTGTCTCTCTCCTCGTGTCTCCCCCGTGTCTATCTGTCAGGTGTCTCTCTCTCCCCGTCTACCCTCCCGTGTCTCTCCCCCCGTGTCTCCCCGTGTCTATCTGTCAGGGTGTCTCTCTCTCCCCGTGTCTCCCCCGTGTCTATCTGTCAGGTGTCTCTCCCCGTGTCTCCCCAGTGTCTATCTGTCAGGTGTCTCTCTCTCCCCGTGTCTCTCTCCCCGTGTCTCCCCGTGTATCTGTCAGGGTCTCCCCCGTGTCTCCCGTGTCTATCTGTCAGGTGTCTCTCTCTCCCCGTGTCTACCCGTGTCTATCTGTCAGGTGTCTCTCTCTCCGTCCCCGTGTCATCCCCGTGTCTATCTGTCAGGTGCTCTCTCTCTCCCCGTGTCTCCCCCGTGTCTATCTGTCAGGTGTCTCTCTCTCTCCCCGTGTCTCCCCATGTCCCCACCCCCGCATCTTCCCTCCCCCAATCCCCATGGCACTCTCCTAGTCGCCATGTGTATCTGGGTCAAGTGTCTCTCCCCCCGTGTCTCTCCCCCCACATCCCCCCGTGTCACCCCTCGTGTGTGCGCCTGACTTTGCACGTCTCCCAGAGTCGCCCTGTCCACCCCCCACCCCACTCAACCTCGTGTCCTCCCCGTGTCCTCCCCGTGTCTGTCTGTCCCCGTGTCCTCCCCGTGTTTGTCTGTCCCCGTGTCCTCCCCGTGTTTGTCTGTCCGCGTGTCCTCCCCGTGTCTGTCTGTCCGCGTGTCCTCCCCGTGTCTGTCTGTCCCCGTGTCCTCCCCGTGTTTGTCTGTCCCCGTGTCCTCCCCGTGTTTGTCTGTCCGCGTGTCCTCCCCGTGTCTGTCTGTCCGCGTGTCCTCCCCGTGTCTGTCTGTCCCCGTGTCCTCCCCGTGTCTGTCTGTCCCCGTGTCCTCCCCGTGTCCTCCCCGTGTTTGTCTGTCCCCGTGCCCCCTCCCCCCCACCTGTCCTCCATGCCGAGGCTGCGTCTCAGGTTCGCCTCGTACACGTGTCTCAGCGCGGGGCTCACGCTCCCGTCCAGCACGCGAGAGCCGCCGGAGACTCCTCCACCAACTCTCCCGCCTTGGCCCCTCACCTCCTCCACTCCCTCACCACCTCCTCCACCACCTCCACCACCTCCTCCACCTCCTGCTCCGCCGCCGCCACTCACTCCGCTCACCCCTCTCACGCATCCTCTCACTCGGCTCACCCCCCCGATCGCGCATTCTCTCCCGACCCCGCTAACCCGTCTCACGCCGCCGCAATCTCTCACGCCTCCACTCACGCCTCCTCTCACGGCCCCCACGCCTCCACTCACGCCCCCCACGCCTCCACTCACGGCGAGCCCCACGGCGAGCGGCCACCGCGACCCCGGGAGCCTCCGCGACGCCGTGACCGCCACCACGATCATCGCGGAACCAAACCGATTCGATTCGCCCGGGGGTATCGACGCGCGTAATCGAAAACCCCACGGGCGGAGGTGGTGTTCGCGGGGGGAGCCCGCAATCACGAGTCGAGATTCGTGAGTGCGGACGACTCCTATGGATCGATTCGCGTCAAGTCGCTTTTTTTTTGGCAGTCTGTGCAGGGCTGGGTTGATGGACTTTGAGTGCGCGGAATTTCGGAGCGATTTTAATTCTGCGAGTTGATTCGAAGCTTCCGCATCTTGTAGGAAATTTCCCAGACCAAGTCTTTTTTTTCATATACATGTATTTAGAAGCATGCGTTGAGATTAGATTATTTTGCTGCTATAAATTTCCCAATGAGAAGACACTTTATTGAGCTGTCATTTGTGGCCAGGTCGCTTCTGAAAAATAAGTTAATACCTCGGTGGGCTTTGTCTGGTAGGATGGGGATGGTTTAGTTTTATTTGTATGTTTGGGTGATTTGATTACTTTCTTGTACGCTGCACTATCAAGTTTTTGTACCGTTTGTTGTTGTAACCTTCTTACCCACCCCTATGGAATATCTGTGAAAAAGAGGTTTATAGCTTATCGGATTCCTCCAGTATAAATACATATTCTGATTCTGATATGTTGTGATGGCGGTTGTTGTGGAAATGGTAAGTAAAAAAAAATGCAAAGCTTAGAAAAATTACTCAGAAATTACTCAAATTGCAATGTATGCACACTCCTGGGGAAACAAGACAAGACCCTGCTGAAATAAATGACACGATACCCAGTGAGGCTTTCGTGGGTACACAAGCGTAGCAATAAATATATACTGCATATATCATTGTGGTTTTTATTGAGAATATTGTGGTGGTCGTGGTGGTTGTCAAGGTTGTGGTTTATCTAACCCAAAAAAACCACGTGACACGGGTTTCAATCGAAGTCTTTTTCTTAAATAAACGTAGGCGCGCAGACATCGGGACATCGGGACACAGGAACACGGAGACACGGCGACACTTTCTCTCTCTCTCTCCAACGGAATCATAACGTAGGCTGCCTTAAAACTGTGGTTGACACAATTTTTTAAGTCACGGGTCATCATGTCACCAGATCATTGCGAGTCAAGTCTCGTTCTTGAATCTTTAGGTGATGAGAGTCTTCACGTATCTACGTCATTGGGTTGAGGGAGTCACCAGGTAATTCGGTCAATAGGTCTTGATTACCTTGGTTGATTATTAGGTAATCAAGCTATTGGGTCACTGGGTCATTTATTTAAATTAGGAATGTAACGCATTGATTACACACTATTATTACGCTCACGATGATACACGTGTCACATTGCACGTAATAGAATCGGTTATTTACCATCTATGCACAATATATACAAATTATATGCCAATGTTACAATTAGGATAATGGAGCAATCAAGACTGTACAAACGATACAGAACAAATAAAAGACAATACGAGACGAAGAAGACGGTACAACAACAATAATAATAATAATATATTCTCGAACCGGACAATGAATATCAATTGGATCGTTACATGCCTATTTTAAACATTAACGAGTGCTCGAATATTCAGCTCGTCGAATCAGGTCATGGCTCCTCCAGGTCAAGAGGTCAATTATTTGTCAGGGCATCAGGTCACCAGGTCATTCAACGTCAAGGGTTGAGAGTCCTTGAATGCCGAGGCGGCCGAAGTCTTTTCGTGGCCAGGTCGCCGGTTCGTGGTGCCTCTGGGTCATTCGGTCATTCGGTCACCGGATCTCGTGTCATTAGGTCAAGAAGGTCTTTAGCTCGTGGGTCGTCCATCCTAAAGGTTTGTGGGTCCTTGAATGTTGAGGTGGCTCCCATCTTCGTATCGCAGCGTCGTCGGGGTCGTGGTGTTCCCGGGTTGTGCCCTTTGGTCACACCGAGTCTCTCGTGTCATCGGGTCCAAAGGTCGTCAGGTCACTCGGGCCTGAAGGTTTGTGGGTCCTTCCATCTTGAGGTGGCCGCGTCTTCGCATCGTCGGGTCGCCGGGTGATTGGGTTGACGGGGTCGTCGGGTCACGGGGTCAGCAGAGGGCGTTGATCTCGCCCCGCGTGCACCCCCACTTGCAGCAGACGCTGGAGAGGCCACCCGCCAGGTCCCTCTTCCGCCTGCCCCCACCAACCCCGCCGAGGGCGCCCTGAGCCAGATCCAGACTTCGTAGCAGCCCCCCTAGGAACCCCACGGACCCTGCCGGGGACTCGGCCCCCTCCGCCGCCGCCCCGCCCTCCCAGGGGTCCAGCGACTGTGACCCCAGCCAAGAGTGCGGCTCAGAGAACAGCGGGTCGCGGTCAGAGACGAGATCTGGGGAGATGGGGGGGTAAGGGAAGAGTCGGGGGGTAGGGTTAGGGGAAGGATTCGGGGTTATGTTGTAAGGGTGTGGATTAGAGATAGGGTTAGGAATAGGGGAAGTAAGCTTAGAGGTTAGGTGCAAATGCAAATGGTTATTTGGTAAGGTTAAGGGTATCAAGGGGGAAGCATTCTGCCTCGCATGGCCAGAATGCGCGACTGCTCTGAACTCAGAGCAGCTCATGGCGCCCTGGGTGCAGAGCTAAGAGCAGTGCGCTACGGAGGCAGTGTCTGTGCGCTTAGAATCTGGATCCGGGCGGAATCTAGATGGTTGTCTTCAGAATTTCAATCCGGTTGAATAATGAACTATCTCCTTTCTCTATAACTGCTGAATAAATCTCTAGCACCGCGACTGAGTTAGGAGTACAACAACGCCAATCTGCGTTTTATAACCAGAGAGCACTCTTGCATTGGAAGGTGAACAGGTACTGATCGTCGTGTAGGGTGATGGTCTTAATGATGGTGATGATGGTTGGTGGTAGTGGTGGTAATAATGATTATTGGTGAACAAATGTGAGTGAACGCACAGGTGCGTGAGTGAACACATGTGAGTGAACAAGGAGGAAAGTGAATTGACGCACAGGTGAGTGAGTGAATACAGATGAGTGAACGCACGTATGAATGTATTAACACAGAGGTGAATGAGAGAATGAACGCACAGATACGTGAGTGACACACAGGAGGTGAATGAGTGAACACAGGTAAGTGAATTGTCACATAGGTGAGTGAATTAATGCACAAATGAGTGAATGGACAGAGGTGAGTGAACACAGATTGGTGAACACAAGTGTGGGTGAGTTAATGAACACGCAGGTGAGTGACACGTGAGGGAGTGTTAACACACAAGTGGGTGAATTAACGCGTAGTAGAGTGAATGAATACCGAGATGAGTGAGTGAACACACAGGTGAATGAATGAATAAAGAGGTGCGTGAACCCAAAGTTGAGTAGGTGAACACACAGGTGAGTGAATGAACACACAGGTGGGTGAATGAACACACAGGTGGGTGAATGGGTGCACATACAGGTGAGTGAAGACACGTGAGTTCGCAAAGACAGGGGGGAGTGATCACCCAGGTGAGGGAACACACTTGATTGAGTGAATATACAGATGAGTGAACATACAGGAGAGTTAACACACACGTGAGTGAATACAAATATGAGCAAGCACACGATATGAAGTGAACACACGAGAGCGAGTGAACACACGAGAGCGAATTAATACAGAGGTGATGGAACAGAGAGGAGTGAATGAACACACAGGTGAGCGAATGAACACACAGGTGATTGAATTAACACAGGTGAGTGAATGAACACACAGGTGAGTGAATGAACACAAGTGAGTGAATGAGCACACAGGTGAGTGAATGAGCACACAGGTGAGTGAATGAACAGACAAGTGGGTGAATGAGCACACAGGTGAGCGAATGAACACACAGGTGAGCGAATGAACACACAGGTGAGCGAATGAACACACAGGTGAGCGAATGAACACACAGGTGAGCGAATAAACACACAGGTGAGTGAATAAGCACGCAGGTGATGGAACACTGAGGGGAGTGATTGAAGGCACAGGTGAGTTCGTATTTACACAGGTGAGTGTACACATGCTTCACACCCACCCCCCCACAACTCACCTACTACCGCCGCCTCCCCGGCACCCCCGAGCCCCCCACCACCGCCTCGCTTCCACCGGGACCCCCCGCAGGCGAAGATGACCGCGCGAATGAACTCGCGTCCGCAAAGCTTCACGCCGCCGCGGGAGCCCCCTCCCGCGGCGAAGGCGGCGGGGGCCGCCCCCATGAGGAGAGCGGCGGGCCCCCCCCCAGCCCCGGGGCCCCCCGTGGCCCCCGTGGCCCCCCACCGCGACGCGAGGAGCGCGAAGAGCAGCGGCGCGAGGAGCGCGAGGCGAGGACGCACGTGCGCGGCGCGGGGAATCATGGGTAACACGTGTGTGTGTGTGTGTAGACACAAACAAAGGTGCCCCCCCGCCGTGTAGCCTAAACAAACTGTTGGGGCAAGTGCTGTTAGCGAGCACCTGTGAAGGCCGGCACGGCACGCGAGGTGTGTGTGTGTAGGTCGGTGTGTGTGTGAATTTATGTCGGTGTTTTTGAATGTACGTATGTGAGTATGTATGACTTTATAGGTGGGTGAGTATGTATGAGTGGACACAGGTGAGTGAGTGTATCTGTATGAGTGTGTGTGTCTGTGTACAGGTACGTGTGCACACACGACTGTGTGACCGTTAGTGGAGACTCATACACATGGGCGTGCACACACACACAGGTGCACACACACACAGGTGCACACAGGGCAGACAACTATTTAACGCTTTAGAGAGGAGAGTGGCGACCGTGGTGATGGGGAGGTGGTGGGGAGATTGGAGAGACACAGAGACAGACTGGGGGAGACACGGGGATGATGAGTCTTGCAGAATGCGAGAGATGGGGAGAAACGTGCAACTTTTATAGGCGAAAGGAGGCGGAGCGAGCGTGTCTGCGAGTGTGTGCGTGCCTGCGTACGCGTGTGTGTGTTTGCGTGCCTGTTGACGTGTGTGTGTGCCTATTGACGTGTGTGTGTATGTGTGTGCCTGTTAAGATGTTTGTGCGTGTTTGCGTGCCTGTGGACGTGTGTGTGCGTGCCTGTGGACGTGTGTGTGTGCCTGTAGACGTGTGTGTGTGTGTGCCTGTTGACGTGTGTGTGTGTGCCTGTTGACGTGTGTGTGTGCCTGTGGACGTGTGTGTATGGGGAGTGTGGGGAGCGCTAGTGTAGCGGTTAGCGCGCTACGCTATGAACATATCGATCCCAGTTTGATTCCCGCTCACGGCCAACATCGGTGACGATTATCTGAACCGGTCCTGGGTCTCCCCTAGGTCGATTCAGCCTCAAATGAGTACCTGGTGCGGTGTGTAAACATCGCCACTGGGGAGACAAAGGCGGCTGGGTGTGGTTATGGTCACCCACTCCTCCTCGTGTGCCGTGCCGGCCTTCAAAGGTGCTACCCGCTAACAGCACTTGCCCCAACAGTCTGTACAGCCTACACGGGGGATCTTTGCCTTGAATCTAACATACATTGTATGCACATGGCCCATTTTAAGTGAGATCGTTTATTTTGATAACGTTCTAGAATAGCTAGAAATGTAGGCACACATGTAATCGAGTGTATCGTATAAGTAGACAAAAAATACTATATATAAAAGTATAAATGTTAGATTTGGGGACCTCCAAAAACTTAGGGGGTATTTTTCACGTTTTAGATTTCAAATCTATAGGTGTAGAGTATTTAAATCTAGATGTTTCTTTCCACCCTCAACATTTTGGTGGGGGTGCAATATTTCATTTAACTCTTGACGTTCTTGCAGCTTGGTGTACAAGAGATAGTGTGTGGATGTTTGTTGGGGGGTGACAAGAGTACATTTACATAAGACACCAGCCTTGCGATAGCTCAACTATTCGGAGACTGCCTGTAACAGTAAGACGCTAAAGCCGATAAAAAGCGGGTAGTCTGTCTCTCGTAGACAACTACACGATATGTGTGTACATACGAGTTCCCATGTGTGTGTGTGTGTGTGTCTATACTGGGGTGGTTAGAATAGTTGTTTATGCATCACCAGTAACTACATGGAGAGAAAAAAAAACCTGTATTAAAATTGTGATAGCAACGTCGTGTCATAAACATAACAGTTTTGCAATTTTAACTGATTAAATATGGAGCTGCCATAGTTGTGGATGCGTTAGCACACTGGCTCTAGCAATCCAGAGGTCGTAGGGTCCTCGCTTAACGCGTGTTCACACAACGCGTTTTCACTATAACGTGGTTCTTCCATTTGGGGACACTTCAAGCACAACGTGGAACGCTACAGTTATATAACGCGGACTGCACCTCGTTATAACGCGGACGGACTGCGCTTCGTTATAACGCGGACTGCACCTCGTTATAACGCGGAATGCGCCTCGTTATAACGCGGGTTCAAAGCAGTTGACGACGAACTACTTTCTTGAGCTGCACGGCTGAGCGGTACGATACAGTACCCGGAATAATACAGTAACGCGGCGGCGTATCCTCTGTTATGTGTCTCACTGTGTGTGCCTAGTACATCGCATCTCGACAAACTTTATCGTTACATTATGTATGGGGAAATCGTTTTTGCTTAACGCGTTTCTCGCTTAACGCGGCACTTTTCAACGAGACATTACAGTTAACTGCTAACATTGTACAGGTTCCTGGCTTTTGGAACCGGTATTCCATTCTGAAAACGGTTCCTGACTTACCGGTTTATCCTTAAGTGAAACTGTTACGTATGCAAGCGAGTTGGTATTACTGCTGCGTTGGCAGTGGTGTCAACGCCAACAGAATCACCAAATCCCGGCCACGGCAAAGATGATTGGCATGCGATGTCTTGACCAGTCTTGTCCACCCTTTCACAAACCCACACTGACCAGCGTAGTTAAGAATTCTCAAACAATCCCCTTGACTGACGCCGTGGAAATGCCTTCATCCAGCAGTGGATTGACAGACAGCTGACATAAGACGCCCATACGCACGCACTCAAACATAGGTCCTCGTTAACAGCGATTGCCCCAACAGGCTGAGTCGGCTACACGGGGGATCTTTGTCTTATGTACTTTTGTACACATTAGTGTGTGTGTGTCTTGTGCATATGTGGGGGAGCGATAGAGTAGGAGTTAGCGCGCTGTGCTACGAACCGAGTTCGAATGGTGTTGGCCGCTCTCTGCCAAAACCAGTGACAATTATTTGAACCGGTCCTGGGCCTCCCCTAGGGCAGCACAGCCTCAAATGAGTACCTGGTGCAGTGTGTAAACATCGCCACGAGGGAGACAAAGGCGTCCGGGCGTGGTGTTGACCACCCACCCCCTCGTGTGCTGCTCCAGCCTTGACAGGAGCTGACTAACAGAACCTGTTTGGGGTTAAGGGCTGAGAGAGAGGGGGATATTTGTCTTTGTCTCATTTGGTGCAGATGTGACCTCTGACGTCAATAATCATAATCCATGTAGGTGAGGCTGGACGAAGTGGGAGAGGGGTGTGGGGGGTAGCCCCCACCCTCCTAATCGATGTGGAGTGAGGAGGGATCTGGATCTGTGCGTGGCCTTTGATAAAAGCCATTAGAGAGAGAGAAAGTCCACCCGGGGCTGACCAAACAACTCCACGCGCGAGGCGCCGAACACGAGAAATGTCACGGCGAGTGGTGCGAGACACGCGTCATCACCACCATCATCATCGCCACCACCACCATCATCAATATCACCACCGACATCATCGTCATTATCATCGCCGCCACCAACATCATTTTCGCCATTATGCTAATCACCACCACCAACAAACGTCAGCTACAGCAGTATTTCTCAACACCACCACCATCATCAGCGTCATCATTGTCGTCGTCATGATTATCTCCAACATCGGCATCATCTTAATCAGCACCAGCAACTCCAATACTATCATCATCTTCACCGTTGACACCTTCATCATAAGCAGCAGCATCATCAGAAGCATTATCAACAGCAATACTATCATCACGATTCCCACCATCATTATCAGCAGCAGGATCTGCAACAGCATCTTCATGAATAACAGCAGCATATCCAACACTACCTTCATCATCACTAAACTACTACAATCTCTAATATAATAATAGGGGTTTTCCCCTTTTTTCTGGCAACAAAACTGAAACCTTTTACAAAGATTCATGTCTGTTTTAACCACAATACCAGATGACGCCTTTTGGCGTCATGTGGTCGAGCATCAATTGGGTCGAGGCTCAAAAGAAAGACGTCCCTTGGTGTGGACCAATCAGTTTCAAGGACAATGCATATATTATCATAGTATGTATTTGTTTGCATTTTGACTGCAGGTATTGTGGTTAATGCAGACATGAATCCCTGTAAAAAGGTTTCAGTTTTGTTGCCAGAAAAAAGGGGAAAACCCCTATTATTACATGTTGGTACTGGCAAAGGAGGTCTAATTATGTAGATACTACAATCTCCACCACCAACATCACCACCACCAATTTAACCATCAACACCATCACCAACACCATTACCTTCACTATAATCTTCAACATCATCCCTTTCACCATCATAATTTTAATCATTACCATAAAAACCAACACCATCATCATTATTACCACTATCATCGCCACCCAAGACAAAGATCCCCCGTGTAGCCTCTAACAGACTGTTGGGGCAAGTGCTGTTAGAGAGCACCTATTTCCGCTTCCACAACCACCACCGCTGTAATTATTTTCACTTTATATGCCGATGCCCCGTGGCAGGGCAGGACTTCCTGAACAAATAAACAGACGTAATACCAGACAAATATCACTAAATACCACTCGATACCACTCAATATCTTCACTCGCTTCCATACAACACCATCACCAATACACACACATACACACCGGGTCACTCAATCACGGTGGCGAGATGTTAACTACCTCGCCTGGAATACAGGAGGTAGTGGGTTCAATCCCGACTCTGACGGCTGTATATTTGGAGTTTGTAGAGTCTCTCTCCCCGACGTCGCATGGATTTTCCTCCAGGTTTTCTCTCCACATTTAGAAATAACATGCGCTTAGAGCATTTGGCAGATGTACATTTCCACATGATAAGCGACTTCGTTGAGCTATCATGTGTGGCCAGGTCGCTTCTGAAAAATAGCCATATAGTTCAGTGCGCCTTATCTAGTAAAATAAAATAATAAAAATTGTTCAGTTTTTTTTATTATTCCTGCTCACGGCCAACATCAGTGACCACTGTACGAAGCGGTCCTGTGCCTCCTCTCTCTACGTGTCGTCGTATTTCGAGGTTTTCGTTGTTTTGTTCTCTGAGAGTGTGACTGCACTGCGGTGACATCAACATTTATCTTGTCAACATTTAACAAATTATCCAATCCGTGTTAAATGACGAGAAAACACCATCGTAAGATAAAATAATATAGTACAGGCTGTGAAGTAAACCATACGTTTTAAACAATACACGGACACGCGTACAAAATAAAGAAAACTCATCCTCTGTGCATCATGCAACAAAAACCATCAACGATTCCTGATGAACTGCTTTGCGGTCCTCCGCAAGAGCTGCATTCGTACGAATGAGTGGAACCTTCTGCAATTCGCGTGTTGAGGATTGTCAACTCCAGCCGATGTCGCTCACGTGGAGAGGCTGCTTTGGATGACGAAGCGTGAAAGGAAAGATGATGAATCACACACGAGTCACGCTCCGTCAAGCCTTGTTGGTCAAATCATCGCCACATCAAGGGGATTAGATTTTTGTCTCGCATCATCGCCGATTCGACTCGGATTGATCTTCAGGCGCCAGAGAGAAGTGATCAACGTACATGGGCCAGAAGAGAAATCGGTGTGAGACGAAGGGTTGCAAAAACTTTAGTCGTCCCGATGTATTTCTACGGCTAAGACGAGGGAATCACGCAATGACCCACTCATTGATATCAAACT